AAGGCTCCTCAAAGCAGCTAGTGTTTTTTTTTCGGTTCAACTGTTAAGGAAACGGAATTTCTTTTCTGAAATAAATCAGATCATTTCCAATGTGCTGTCGAGTTCCAGATGAAATAAATCGATGGCCACGGTCAAAGAATGCGCATCTCCATTGTAACGTTTCAAGTCTCCTACTGCCGACTTTTGATTTGTTAAAAATAAACTGGCTAAAGTATCTCTTGAAAATGAGCACTGTGATACATTCGAATGAGCAGGGAAAGCTCACAGAAAATTTCAAGAAAACCGGTTGCTCAGTATTCTTTTTATTTATTCATTTTTTGCTGAAAATTAAGATACATATTCTTCGATTTCAGCTGTAGAAACGGCAGCATCACATTCCTCGCAAAATTTTAAAAAGGAGTAATTGGATTAAATGTCAACTTTTAGAACTAGCATCGCTAACGCCATTCAACAATGAGCTCCTGTAGACTTTCGACTGGTCGCGGTTAAAATTCGGTGAAGTTATCGAGGTCAAATGCGTGAAAAGGTTGTCCAATTACTCCGTGCGACAGTGTCATTTCAATTATTTTCACACAAGGCAAAAAAAGCCAAGGGAATCTATCACGTCGCATCTCGTGCAGTGAAAGAAGAAGCTGCCGACTCAAAGTGCCTTCAGGATCAATGGATGTGACCATCATTGCTTAGCATGTATCGTCTGTCACGTCGCTTGATTTTGAAGGCGTTTTAAACTGGGCGCGCACCGGTGTGATGCGATGCGATGCAAGATGCAATGGAGCGTGATCGGGTCCGCGAATAACCACGACACACGACACGGTCGACACGCGTACGTATTGAAGTGTTTTAAACCTCTTACATTCCATCACAGGAAAAAAAATACACATTGGATGTGGATATAGAGTCCAGCCTCTTAAAAACATGGACAAGAAAAAATACACTCGATTCAATCGGATTTTTGCTTAAATCAAGAACCAAGCCTCTTAGTTTGAGCGGATTTCCTTTTGATTTGAGCAGAAATCTGATTGAATCAAGAGTATTATTTCTTGTCAATGTTTTCAAGAGTCTGGACTCTAGATCCAATGTGTTTTTTTATCCAGTGATTATATCGGAGAGAGATAATGCAAATGCTTTCAAGATATTGTTGGAAAGTTGACAAAGTATAGCGACGGTGAAACTACCAGATCACGTATCCACTTCCATTCTTTTTTTTTCACTTTTTTGAAAGGAGAAACAATCAGTATTATTCCTTGAATTTTTCAGAGTTTTCTCCGCGCAGAGAAGGAAAATTACGGAGGTTTTTAAGAATTGCCGTTGTGTGGTTTTCTATTCAAAAACTGGAGTATGACAGGACGTCTGGAACGTCGCAAACCGATATACGTGGTTTGGTAGTTCCACAGTCGATGGATAATTTACGAAAGAGAGAGAGAAAAGATGTAATGCTCTCTGATTAAGTAATCCTGCTATAAGAGCATAAATAATGAAGTTCACAAGCACCAATAAAAAGAGTTTGAAATTAGACGGTTTAAACCCTGTATTTTCATCTAAAGCGGATCCAGAATACGATTGGCACATAAATAATTTTCAAATATAACTCGTAGTAAGAGGCGGGTACATTCATTGTTAGCTAATTCAAGTTTGTTGGTTGAAAGGGAGGAAGATATCAGGAGATGTCGTTTTTGTGGCGTTCTGACTGAGATCTTGGGAGGGTCCAGGGGTGCAGAAAGTTCTTCGTCAGGGGTGCGAATTGTTCTAGGCCTGCGCGATTTTCTGCAACCCTCAAGGTTTTCGCCAAGAGGTCAGCGAAACGTGATCATCAAAATTTTGTTTAATTTTTGGACGGCGGAAGGTTTCCGCGAAACACAACGTGCGACAAAAGAGGGTTTAAAATTTTAAAAAAACTCTCAGCCTCCGCAATTTTTAGGGCGAACACAATCGGCCTAGAACAATTTGCAACCCTTCCTTTGCCTATACATTTTCCCTTACTAACTGAGCTAAACAAAGCTTTTCTGAAGAGTTTCGTAAAATATTCCCAAATGATTTTGAATAAAATCACAGATAATTTCGACGCGATATTTTGGTTCATTCAATTTGCTTTTCTTTTTTACACCGAAAAAAAAAGAAAAAAAAAACATCGTCCAAGTTTTTGAAGTGTTGCGATTAAAGTCAAGAATACTGAGGCGTAGTCCTCCTTTTACGACGCTTTTAGTGTTGTGCCAGCCGGGAAAGGGAACGCGGCCGAGTTATCATCGCAGTGTGATGCGCCTTCAATCCGGCTAGCAGCAATATGCCTACACCCGTGGTCGAATAGTTATCTCGTTACGCCTGCCATGAATGCATTAAAAAATGGGTATCTCCGTTTGCAAACCACTACTAATGCTTAATTTTCTTGATAGATGTTTCTTAAAAGGCGCACACAGTTATTCCATAAAGTTTCCTAGCATTGTCCGAAATGATTAAACAGAAAATCACAGACAACTTCGACGCGATATTTTCGTTCACTTTATTTTCTTTTTTTTCCATCAAAAAAATTGGACTTCGTCCGAGTTTCTGAATCGTTCCAACAGGGGTGCAGAAATTCTTGGCCGTTCCATTTTTTTAGGCAGCCTTCGTTTTTTTTTTTTTTTTTTTTTTTTTTTTTTTTTTTTTTTTTTTTTTTTTTTTGAGGCTGCCTTCACATCGCTGTCTACATGAGACTTGCACGCTAACTGTTTCCTTTGCATAAAAGAGCAAGCTTCACAATTTCCTTGTTTGCATTAAAGTGCACGTTGAAATATTTCCCTCTCATAAGAAAGCGGACTTAACTATTTTCTTTGCATAAGAGAGTGCATTACACAGTTTCCTTTGCAAAAAGCTATGCGCTATGGTTTTTGCCTTCTACTTTCATATTTTTTTTACCCCTTTTCAGATGCCTTCACATTTTCCGCATTCGCTCTGCGATCAGCCGGTCGGCCGAGCGAGCACTTTCTGCATTCCTAGGAGGATTGATTTCAATAGCGATTTGGAATCGTAGATCGCTCTGCTCTGGTGCAGAGGGATAGCGGTTTGATATGTATCTACGTATGTTGGTTCTAACTTCCTCCTTACCAAAATTTTGAAGTCTACAAAAGTGCGAAAAATGATTCCAGTGTATATTACAATGATGGGATAGTCATAATATAACTAAAAATTATGTAACAAATTTTGTCCATACATATGTTTATCCATATATGTAAAATTTTCTTCGACAGTTTTCATGTGTCGGTGGAGGAGACGCGGCCAAATTCAAGGAGGTACATGAGCAGCGGCTGCGTGGATGCCATCACAACAATGGCACTAAGTAAAATGATATATTAAAAGAGCTTCACATGAGGGAGAGGAGGAGCTTCAATACTTCTATAAAGATGGATGCTTTTAAATGTAAATCACAAACTTAGTTTCTCTTAATTTGCCAAGCGGGTGGCTGAAGGTAATTAAGGCAACATCATGATAGCCATAAGAGCTCAAAATCATAGCCAAATGGTCAGCAATTTGCATGAACAGAGTAAATCATATACCACCACATTGTCACGCATTTAATTTTGAAATGTGACTAAAAATAGTGCTTTCTTCAGCATGCACTAAGACATTGATTCATGTTGACTATGCATCCGGCTCGGTTTTACACAGGTGAAGCATGACAAGTTTCTCGGAACCCCATGATGGGCAGGCTCCATCCAGAGGGAGAGAAGCACTGTGCCACGCACTGAAAGAGACTGCAGAGAAGCAATGGAGAATTCGTTTGCACGCTCAATATTTCACAAAGAACTTGTTTTGAGTCCATTTAAAGACAAAATTCCAAGGACAAACGCTGTATAATGTATATAATTTTGCGACCAAATTTTTTTTTTTTTACAACTTCAAATAGCCAACGAGGGCTAATCCTTGCGCTTTCCCCCTCCGTCCCTACAACCAGTCCCAGGCCACCATTGTTTGAGACCATCAAACCCCGGATCGCCTGGCTGGGAATCAAACCCGGGACCTCCCGATCAAGAGCTAGCGCTACAACCACTACACCATAGGAGGCCGACAAATTGTAAAGTTTCACATTTCTACACTAATTAATAACCAAGAAAAAAGCCTCACATTCCAATTAAAATTCACTGGGGCTGCTACGGCTTATGCGCAGTAGAACACATGAGCTTACCAAAGCAAGGTAGGTGCTGCACACTCATCGATCGGTGCTCCACACTCATTGGTCGGTGCGGCATGCGATTGTCTTATGCCGCAATCACACACTGAATTTGGCAGCTGAATGTGACAGTCAACAGTCAGCGCTCAACAGCTGAAATTTCACTAATTCGAGTTATATTCATCCAAATGTGTATCAAATCTATTCGAATGGTTCAGACAAATCCAACATTATCCGATGGTCCCTGAAAATCGTTGCTGAATTTTGCGTGTCACGTGCAAAATTCAGGCATCGGAGAATGTGAAAGTCAGCGAGGGCTGATTATCACATTCAAGCCACATTCGGCTCCTACATTCAACGTGTGATTGCAGCATTAAAGTTGTAAGCCTCCTGCCTAACAGGATGCACAGTCTATAAAATTCAATGTCTTCAGCATGCATTTATGTGTGAGCCATTGCTTTCATAATCGTCATACATTGACAACTGCAAGGATTAGCCCTTGTGGGCTATTGGAGGTAGTTAAAAAAGAAAAAATACCACATGAGCCTAATCCACACAATTCAACTTTTCATCTGATAAGAGGAGACCAATGGGTGGCACTAAGTAGATGGAAAGTTTGAGAGAAATGTTGAAGCTGCATCGCATTCAAGTTTCCGTTCAACTTGTCATCAAATTGTTATGTTTTCGTAAAAATATCACACACTCCAACCGTTTGTTTGACATGGGCAGAAGAAGAGTTGAATGAAAAGTTGACAAGAGTGAATTGGGCTTCAAATGAAGGTAGACTTCCTGCAGAAAAGGAAAGAAAAGGAAAAGGAAGAGATTCAAGAATAGGAAAATTGATAGTAAAACTTACAGTATTTAGGTGATCAGCAACTGACGGGGGTTTTATATATGTCTGTCACAAGAGACCATGCGCACTGGAAACTGGAGAGGTTCAACTGACCTTGTAAGTACTAGACGATAGAATTAGTGAAAAATGTTCTTTCGCCTAAGTCGATACACTACCCATGCTTTGATTTCAGCAAATCATCGCACATAACACTTGCAATGATTATGGTTAGGCAATCGAAGGAGCTTTTTTTTCCTGAAATCACGCCAGAGCAGCTGCACTAACTGAGAAACGAAATTACTGAATAGGATTGGAAACTCTAAAATCTTGATCAAGACTGAAATTCCGAAACTTTCAATTGAATATTGATTCTCATTGATAACAACCAAAACAAACACACGGGAGACATGAGGCGACCAAAAAAAGTGAGACTATTCTGCGCGCGCAGTTCACATGTTTGGCACAGTTTGGCAGCATTGTGTTCGTGTTGAAGTTTGTTTACATCGCATCGCAGAGCCATGTGTTTTCTGACATCTTGTGATAATTCAGATAATTGCCTCTTTTTCATTGTAATTCGCCACGGTTTTTTGTTTTAATCTCTTTTATCATTTGCTCCTAGAGTAAGTTACATCTAATTCTCTCACTTTTGCTAGTATGTAATCAACTTGGACCCAGGAGGCCGACAGTGGTCAGTGCAGTGTCACCAGAGTATCGCCATAATGTACGGAGCACCGAACAGTCTTCATGGGAACCTACGGAGCGTTTACTCCGATGAGGCCTTCTTTGGCATTTACTCATCTGAAGAAGTGAAGAATATGAGTGTGGTAAAGATAGTGACGACGAATTCTTTCAATGTCCTCGGCCATCCCCTACCCGGAGGACTCTACGACCCCAGATTAGGGCCATGTGATAGAATGTTGTCATGCACCACCTGTGGCTGGATGGCCATGAAATGCCCTGGTCACACTGGTCATATAGAGCTACCATTTGAGGTAATCAATCCACTGTTTCACAAACGAATCTTTGAAATTATATCAATCTCTTGCCTTCAATGTCACCATGTCTTATTGCCGCCAAAAGCTAAGTCATTACTCCAATGCCAGCTGAGGCTCTTGGATGCTGGATTTATTGTCGAAGCAGCCAACGTTGAGAGTCATATAATTGGAAATGACAATTCTTGTAGTGACAATGAATCACCGGAGGTATTTTTTAACTTCTTAACCAGTAAGCTTGATCAATACATTGAAAGCTTAAAGCAATCACAGGATAAAAGTGACTGTAAGGCAAGGCTAAACCAGTCTTTTAAGTCATATGACCAGGAAAGATCTAGCTTTTTCAAATTAGCTTTTGATCAAGTGAAAAAGAACAGAGTATGCCCTCTCTGCAAATATGACACTCCTATTCTAACATTTTCTGGGAACAAAATTTTGTCTGCCCCGCGAAAAAGGAAAACTATCGAAGGAACTGACCTGAATAAGTCAACTGATGGCACTAGCAAGTCATTTGAAAGAGTTAGAAGTGGGCAAGTGTTTCTAAGTCCGACTGAACTGAAAGACCATCTCAAAAGCATCTGGACTAACGACAAAACATTTATTGAAGAGCTAATTCCTGTCCTAAAGCGGAGCCCTTGCTCAGTTCCAACGGACATAATTTTCCTAGATGCCATTCTTGTGACTCCCTCAGCAATGAGACCTTTTAATATAGTTCGAAATTCCCCAGTTGAACATCCAAACAATACTGTGTATAAGTCCATCCTTGCCAATTGTTTTTTGCTGAAGAGTATTCTTTTCTTAGCTAATCCAAAAGATGATGAAACTATACCGGAAGAAATTATATCCATCACCAATCGGGCCCGTGGTCTGACTGTTGAGGAGAAGCTGCAGACAGCATGGCATGAGTTGCAGTCTAATGTCGACATTCTCTTACTGGGAAAGGTAAGCTCTGGAAACCATGTAATCCCTGGCTTAAAGCAGGTCATCGAAAAGAAAGAAGGTATAATCAGAATGAATATGATGGGAAAGCGTGTCAATTTTGCAGCACGATCTGTTATCACTCCGGATCCAAATATAGACATCAATGAAATTGGATTTCCAGAACCGTTCGCTAAGGTTTTAACTTATCCTGTCCCTGTAACACCGTGGAATGTTGTTGAGTTGAGGGAACTAGTCAAAAATGGCCCTATGATTTACCCAGGAGCTGTTGCGATTGTCAATGAAAATGGAACAGTACATCGCATCAGTGATAGTAAACCTGTTGAAAGAGAAAGTCTTGCCAAACGCCTGCTAACCCCCGAAGAAACGGCTAAAGGTGGGAAAGTTGTTTTACGTCACCTTATGAATGGTGACATTCTTCTAGCCAATCGTCAACCCACCTTACACAAACCTAGTATTATGGCTCACAAGGCAAGGATTCTGAAAGGGGAGAAAACATTGCGGTTACACTACGCTAATTGCAAAGCGTATAATGCAGACTTTGATGGTGATGAAATGAATACCCATTTTGCACAAAATGAAGTTGCGAGGAGTGAAGCTTACAGCATAGTAAACTCAACCAAACAATATCTAGTACCAAAAGATGGTACTCCTCTAAGTGGACTCATTCAAGATCATGTCATCGGTGCTGTACATTTGACAACAAGAGGATCCTTCTTTGACAGAGTAACCTACATGCACTTAGTTTATCAAGCACTGTCATTCATCCGAGAGCCCATCAAAGTGCTCCCACCGTGCATGATCAAACCAAAAGCTCTCTGGTCAGGGAAGCAGGTAGTTTCAACAGTAATCATTAACTTGACACCTAGGGGTAAAGTCCCTCTCAACCTGAATTCCTCATCAAAGATACCAGTCAAAGCCTGGGCCTACTCAAAATTGGCCCACCTGCTGAAAAACCCAAAGACGATGAGTGAGTCTGAGGTCATCATTCGGAATGGACAGTTACTATCTGGAGTTATTGATAAAACTCACTGTGGAGCAACGTCTTATGGCTTAGTTCATAGCTTTTACGAATTATATGGTGGTGAGGCTTCAAGCCGGTTGCTAAGCTCTTTCTCCAAGCTTTTCACATGCGTTCTACAGCTTGAAGGCTTTACACTTGATGTCAAAGATATTTTGGTGAAGCCTAAAGCAGATGAAGAACGGTCAAAAATAATTGAAGAAGTCAGGAGTATAGGATCTCTAGTAGCTGCTTGCGCAATGAATCTCCCACCAGACACCGATCCAGAAGCAATCTCCAAAGAATTAGAAATATCGCACCAACAAATTCCAAACTTTCGAGCAATTGTGGATAGGGAATACAAGTCAGCACTAGATGCACTCACCAACTCCATCAACTCAACGTGTTTGCCTCGGGGCCTTTTAGAGGAATTTCCAAGAAATAACTTACAACTCATGGTACAATCAGGAGCGAAAGGCTCCACCGTCAACACTATGCAAATTTCCTGTCTCCTTGGCCAAATCGAATTGGAAGGAAAACGCCCGCCTCTAATGACATCGGGACGTTCTTTGCCCAGCTTCAAGCCGTATGATACATCACCAAGGGCCGGTGGTTTTATTGATGGAAGATTCATGACAGGCATCCAGCCGCAAGAGTTTTTTTTCCATTGCATGGCTGGTCGTGAAGGTTTAATTGATACTGCTGTTAAGACCAGTCGTAGTGGTTATCTCCAGCGATGTCTTATCAAGCATCTGGAAGGATTGGTCGTAAATTATGATATGACCGTCCGCGATAGCGATGGTAGCGTTATTCAGTTTTTGTATGGTGAAGATGGGCTGGATGTATGCAAGTCTCAGTATTTCAAACCGAATTTATTACAGTTTTTAGAGAAAAATGTGGAATCAGTTGTCGATAAAGCATGCATCAGACAATTCAAGAAACAGGCGGAAGTAGACCAAGTTATTGCTTACATGGATAAAGTAAAATTATGGAGGAGAAGGAATCGTGCCATGCGGTCCAAAAAACAACGCTCATTTGTGAGATTTTCCGCAGACATGAAGAACAGCCTCAGAAACAATGCTCCTGGGCAAATCAATCCAGCATATGGGAGATCATATCTTGACTTGCTGCTGTGTAAAAAATGGGAAGAGTCGGACAGAAGAACTAAAGAAAGGTATGCCTCCTTAGTGTCTTTCAAAGAAGAGCTACAAAAAGCGAAAGTTGCCTCAAAGCCTGTCGCTTGGATTAGCTTTTTTTCTATTACTTAACTGTCTTTTTTAATGTCAATTGTTAAAATTTTTGGGTATGTTCAATAAGATATGCGTGAAATTAAGATGAGAAAGCATGTGCTGGGTGCTGCATATTGAAATTGATAGACAAAGGGATTTACAGAGAAGACGCTAGCAAGATATTGGATCTTTAATTTTTAGAGACCATTTAAATATGTGGGAAAAAAGGGATCAATAGTAGACAAAGGTTTAAAGAAATCTAGGGGTAAGCACAAAATTTGTACTTGTAAAATGCTTTTTCAATTAGATTGAATTTCTGCTTTGAACTTGTCATAAGAATCTTCTCAAAACGTCCTTGCTCTTGGTTTCCAAGTTATTCTGATCAAATATTCTTAACAGCCACTGTTACAAAGAAAGTCTGAGGATCACCTTTGCAAATTTATTCTGTTTTACTTGACCAGAATTCTTGCAATCTCTATTTCCATCTTTTTCTCTTACAGATATCAAGATTCAAACTTAGTCTGTCCAGACCCTGCTCTTTCAAGATATGCACCTGGAAGCTACTTTGGATCCATATCAGAGAAACTTGACGAAGTCGTAGAAAATTATATCGAAAATAGGTGAGATTGATTCTTTTGATACGTTTGATTAAGTGCGCTCATATCTCAAAAATTATTGAAGAATTCTCCTCATTCAGTAACGGCTTTCAGTTTTAATGTTGCAAGTGTCTTTTGCAGCATCTACTTACCACAAAAAAATTCTTAGGGGAAATAATTCCCTAGCCTATTGTCTTTTGATAATTTTTTGCCTTCTGCGCATTTTAGTATTAGTATACTTAAGTATTTTACGTGGGTAAAATCAGTAACTTTGGATATAAATGAAAAGTATTAAACCTAATCCAGAGCTACCGAAAATTGAGATATCTACTTAACAAACAAAACACACTTTGTCAGAAAAAAACCAAGAACAGCTACTCCAAAGCTTTTATTTTACACATTTACAACCACCTACATAAAAAAAAAACATCAAGTCATGTAAAAAATGAAGCAAAGTAATAAGGCACAATGAAACAATATTATTGTACACAGATGTGATGTATATTTACATATATTATATATTTTGACATTTTTACATATGTCATGAAACAAAATATTTTGCTAACAGTAGGCCATCAAAGAAGGAAAACCAAAGAAGTTTTCAAGAAATTGCATTGAATTTTTCTACAGAAAACATATAATATAACAGGAATATTGCAACGTTGCAAACAGAGGTAGGTGGTTTTGCACTTTGGTCTTTAATGCACATTTCTCAAAATGTGCAGTCAGTGAATATGGAATGATCCAAATTTATCCAAACTCCTCTTTTGTTGTCAAGCTTGGGACTGTCCAAAGGTAGGCAGAAAATAGTCAGAGATATGGTCAATTACAAAGCCCTGGTTTCCATTTGTCCGCCTGGAGAGCCTGTGGGAATCCTTGCTGCTCAGTCAATAGGAGAGCCGTCCACACAGATGACCCTGAACACATTTCACTTTGCTGGTCGAGGAGAAATGAATGTCACTCTAGGAGTTCCGCGTCTAAGGGAAATTCTCACTGTTGCAACCAAGAAACTCAAAACTCCATGCGTAGACGTACCTTTTTTGCCTTGCGATACTCCCAAAAAGTAAGTTTTGAATCCATTCTGAATAAGTCTAAATAAATAGCTTAGACCCTTAAACTGAGTCTATTGCAAACAATAGCTGTGGTAAAAGTAAGATATTATTATTTCAGGAAATGGCCAATATTATCTGGTGTTGAAGAGGTTGATTTACAAATTAAACAGGATACAGAGTACACGCCATAAAATCTAGTATTAACCAGGTCCAACTGACTGTTGCCAATTCATCCATGTATTTCATATATATTCCCTAAAGTCTGCATGGAGTTGCTATAGTTGATTATGTTAGGTCATTCTCCATTGATGGCAAGCACCCGGAACAATAAGTTAGAATTATTTCTTCTGGACCAGCATCCTGATCTCCGAATTTTATCTGGCTTCATCACCAAGAATAGACAAGACATAGTCATATCTTACACATCTTATCATACTGCCCTAAATTTTAACAGTAAGGCGACTGGCTGGCATGGATTTTTGGACTGAAGATTCAGGATAGGCCTCAGGAGACAAGTGTCTCTCACTTATGCTATGTTTCTTTTTCCTCCTTTATCGGGTTGTATCAGCACACTACTCACTTTTGGAATACAAGTAATGTGTTTGTTTTGACATGATTAACTTTGTCTGTGGCTATAATTTGGGAGTTGCATCCTCCAGTGCAAATACCATTCTAAAATTTGGCAGGAAATGAGAGGTTTATTAGCACAAGATCATAAAACAATATAAAATGACATTTTAAAGTCTCTGATCTACTTTACAGGTTGGAGAAGCGCGCAGAAAAACTAAAGAAAAACATGATGAAGATAACTTTAGAAGATGTCTTGGAATATATAAATGTTTCAGAGAGGCTGGATCTTGAACCGCACAGACATCTTGTGTATGAATTGCACATGCAGTTCTTACCTTGTCAAGCGTACAAAGACAAAACGAATGTGAAACCAAACGAAATCTTGAAACATGTAGAGAAATACTTTTTGCGAGAACTGCAAATTAATATTATGAAGGCTTCAAAAATCAAAGCTGCTTTTACACACGAGAACTTCAGCAAATCGAACAAAGCAACAGGCAATGAAAATGGAGAAGAAGAAGAAAAGGTAACAATATTGAACAACGCACACTATATAGTATACATAAAATATTATTTGAAGCTTTACCACCTGCCGAAACATACCTTGCTGGGGCAGGTGTTCATCTCCCCCCCCTTCCTCTATTCAGAGTTATAGAGGATGAGATCAGGAGAGTGGATCCTTCGTATCATTTCTTTATCTCAGATAATTTTCATAGTATCTCTAGCACGTATTATAAAATCTGTTTTTTAAACAATGTAATTGCCATTCATTGTACGTAATGTTGTTTCACATTTTATCGACTCTTAATGGATCCTCCAAGGCTATTTCAAGTTAACTCCAAGACTTCATTTTAATTATTTAACGTAGTATAAATTAGTAGAAGTAAACAATAATAATTTTTACAGTGCAAGTTGAGGGTTTACAACTATTTGTGTCAAAGATGACTGTTTAAAATTAACCTACAGCGCGACAGGCTTTAGTAATTCATAGATTTTTGGTGTTGTTAAGAAAGGCCTCATTGTCCTCCATTTCTCAATTTATTATTATTGAAAAAGATTGCAAAAAAAAAATTCCAAACAGTATCAATTAAAATAAGTTCATGGTCACCGTAAGCTAACTACTGCAAGTAACGACTATGAACTTGTTAAAGATTTTCAGTCCAAAGTTGCTGAAGTTTTGGGGTTGTATTCAAATCAGGTAATAAACTTACAGGTCACAATAATTATATTTCCCTTGTCTATTTTGAAGAATCAAAATCTCATCAACAAGTGGGATAACGTTCTCTTCAATTCTGAATTTTCACTTCCGAGGAACGAAGCCATCTTTAAGTATAGCACGGAAATCCTGCAGAGATTTTATTTATCTTTTTTTTTCTCCTAGTCTCTTTATGATGCTACTAGGAACGCATAACGATTTCCATTCAGTCAAATATTCTTATGTTTTATTAGCTTTCATTCTGTTGGATAGGATTTAGCAGTAATTGGTATTTATTTTTCTATGCATTTCTTTCGGTCACCTTGCCCTTGTTTACTTTTTGTTTAATATCACCATAAAGATTTAAAAATCGTCATTCTGTTGATTTTGTATTCAAATGTCTCATCAGTTGTCTCTTCACTGAATAGGATGAGGAAGGTGCCAAAGTGGTAGGAAAAAAGAAGCTAGACTTGGACTCTGATAGCTCTGGATCTGAAAATGAGGGAGATGAAGAAGATGCAACGGTCTCTAAACGAAGGTGAGAGGTCCAAATTTGTTTTGGTTTTTTTAAGTAAAACTAACTTGAGCGCCTGTCCTATGCACAAACTGAGGCTTTCAAACTGGCACTAATTCTTCAATTTCCCAATCATTTCTGCACAAAACTCCATGAAAATCTCAAGATCTGATCTATGATGTGTCCGGAACACACTGCTTACTTGATTTTGAAAGAGAACCTTACAGTAGGTCTTCAATTGAGCTAATGAAGGGTCATCTAAAAAAAAGCACATGTTAAGAATAGATACATTTTTTTTCAGAAGGGACAAAAAATTGTGCGGAATGTACAAAAAGCAACTCTATGATGTAGTAAAATTAATTTAGACGCTAACATTTTTTCATAAAATCGTCTCGTTTGAAAAGGTACAACCTGGTACTATTTTTTAAATTTTTGTATATAATTTTATTCAACTGAAAAAGGCTGTGGTATTTCCAGCTGATACGTCTCACAGTAAATCGAGTCAATAAGAGAGGTCGGACATGAATTTTTGGGTTAAAACGGCCAATTTTGATGTTTAATTCTTCAAATATTAAAGTTTAAGGGGGGTCTCTGAAAGAAAATTTCACAAGGAAACCAATCAAACCACTTTTAAAACCTCAAAGAATTATATGAACGGAGTTATAAGCTTTTAAAGTTTCCAAATTATGTCGGACTGCTCGTATTGACCCGATCTACTGTGCGTCTTGGTGAATGTGTTATTTTCTAGCCTTGTTACTCGCAGTTGTATATTTTAAAAATTGTCTACTCAGCATCTACTGGTATTATTGCAACGCTTTTTTTTTAAAAAAAAAATAAAACAAATTTTATCTAAATGAAACGTAACTACTACAATAATATGTGTTGTATCCATCTACATGATTTCAACAAACTATATTAATTTAATAAAATATAGAAGGTAACGTTAGATTATAAAATCTATCTAAAGAACAGGAATTTTAAAATTCTCTGTCTTTTTTTTTAGAAATATTCAAACATGTAAGTTATTAGTTTGATTACTTAATATTCTTCCTTTTGCATTCCATTCACACTCTCATTTATACCTTACAGATTTCCACCAACAAAGTAAATCTTGTTGGGAGTTCGAATTCGCAACACTGTGCATAAGAAACTTTCATGATTACTAGCTTTTTGGTGTCATGTACTTCAAGAGATAGACTTTGAAATGTATTGAAATCATATAAAAAATAGTTTGCTAGATTTTTTAAGTTTAGATCTTCTTATGCCTTTCTTTATGCAAATCCCGTTGCGGGCGACTAAGGAAAAAATGCCTTCTAACGTGGTAAATCCGATGTGTAGAGATCCGAGTTACAGATCATGCAATTATAAAATGAATTCTATACGTCTCTGATGTGCTCAACATGATAATTGTGTAGTGATACCAAAAAAAAGTCTGATGAATTGGCTGCATCCCTAAAAAACTGACCTGGCAGTTAAAGCCATAGTTAAGTATAAGCATAGTATAAGTTTAAATCATTATAATTAAAGCTTTCGGCAAACTATTGATACTGCCAAAGTCTCTTATAAAAAAGTACCTGCTCCCATATCATTGTCATTTTTCATTTTGCAGGACACAGCAGCAGGAACAACAGTATGACGAACCAGAAGAAGGAGAAAAAGAAGCTCCTGCAGATGAAGATGACATTTTAGCTCCAGAGCAAGATGATAGTGCTGAAGTACAAGACCGAGAATTCAATGTTTGTGAACAGTATCAATTCGTCAGTGAATACAAGTAGGCATCTCTTTACATTTCTGATTCTATCATTATGTATTCATAACATTCATACCTACAAGAAGGTACATTTCATGAGCACCGAGGAAATTAATTTTATCAAAGTGGTTCAGCTCTTAAAACATGTCACCTGTTGAAGTTATTCGAAAAAAAAAAAATTCCTGCTTTCATAAAAGAATTTTCATCAACACAAATGTTCATTTCTTGCTGAGTTAATTAACACATTCATTTCCAAGCTAGGCATAGTAACTAGGTTTGTGTTAGGATGCTGCAGCATTGCAGCAATTTGTAATAACTGTGGTTTTAAACATTTGCATGTCGCTGTTTTTTTGCCTGTTTACATGGTTGGACAAGATCGAATGTGCAAAAACATATCGGCAGTAAATGTGTATTATATATTAAATTTATATTTAAAAAAAAAGTTGGAACTTGTGAGGATTTCGTTTGAAGTGCATCAAAACATTCATAATTAAATACTGTAAAAGAAAAATGCGAATCCGGTTGTAGTGAGGATTAAGAAAAGATGAGAAAAATCGATGTATTTTTATATAATGTTTATTTTTTCCAGGTACGACACAGTTGACGGTCAGTGGTGTAAGGTTACATTATGGTTGCCGCTCAGTTGTCAACACATGGACTTCTCTTCTATGATTAGGAAGATTGCCTCCTCATCTGTGATCTATGAGATCCCAAATATTAAACGAGCAATCACCTATGAAAATGATGGGCGAACATTTTTAAAGACTGATGGAATTAACCTAAGTGAAATGTTTAGTTACTGTGATACTTTAGACATCAACAAATTGTACTCAAATGATATTCATTGTGTAGCAGAAAAGTATGGCATTGAAGCAGCAGCTAGAGTCATCGTAAAAGAAGTGCAAAATGTGTTTCAGGTAATCTCATCAGTATTTCATAAACATTTTAATATATATGCTATTACGTATATGGATTGTACTACAGGCATTCAAAACCGAAAAACAAGAAATTTTTTGACGTTTTTACAATCCTGAAATGAGTCACAAATAATCTTGAAACCCCTAAAAAAACTTTTAAATTTGGGAAATCTTAGATATTTTTGCAATTTCATCAAGAGGCTTTGACATGAAGTCTGGCACCTTTTTCCTAAATGATTCACTTTCTCTCACCATTTCATCATTTTAAATAAGAAAAATCCTACCCGGAGAACAGAAAGCGTAAGGAAAGCTAACGGTAGTTATTGAACATACTGAAAGATGAAGGCAGAAGTATGTACTGCAAAAATCGTGCCTTGGCTCTTATTTAAATTATGTATATCTTCTCTAGCAACATCCTTAAACCGGAAATAGCCTTTATCTGCTCTATTGCAGAGATACGGCTTTGTAGGAATATTGACGGTGTAAAACGGCAATCGCATAACTCGTTTATGAGTCGTTTCCCATCGGTTGTTGTCAACAGAATGTTATTGAAAATCATGTAAATAGGTTTTTGTTCAAGGAGCAATGATCGCTGAAGTACTTGAAGTAAAAAAATTAAATCACCTCAATTTAAATAATTGAATTTTGACAACGAGAAATTAAGCAATTATCAGGCCAGTATAGATTTTCTCATAGAGTATATTTTTTGATGTTTTCCAAAATCGAACTGTAACACTAACGTACAAATTTTTCTGGAGATATTGAATTTTAAAGCTTAGGAAAGATGCGTTTTTTTGCTTGGGCGTCGAGGACACTTAGTGCAACATCAAAATAAAGTTTGGTCTGAAGCAAAGTAGGTGCTAAAATTGTCATTTTTGAGACAACCTCTTCTTAATTATTTTTGTTTCAGGTTTATGGGATTACGGTAGATCCGCGACATCTTCTGCTCGTAGCTGACTATATGACTTATGATGGCACTTATTCCCCAATGAATAGGAAAGGCATTGAGAAGAATTCCTCTCCAATCCAACAGATGTCTTTTGAATGCTCTCTCAACTTCTTAAAGAATGCAGCTCTTCAAGGCAAAGCCGATCTATTACAATCTCCGTCTAGTCGTATTTTTGTAGGAAAACATTGTAGGTTAGGAACTGGAATGATGGATGTTCTAATAAAAACTTAAAACTCAAATTCGTAAGTTTTGGTTAATGAGCTTGCTAATTACAATCCAAAAAAAAACTTAATTTGCAGGATGAGAGACCCACTTGATAATACTTATTTTAAATTTTTGTCACCAGATTAAGTGTTCTGAAGGTGACAAAATACCTGACCCAATAGGGCGAGGAATTGAAATTATTCTGATTAGTATTTTTAAGAACTAAAACCTTCACTCAGATCTTTTTTCCTTAATCCCCTACATTCTCAACAAGGCATCTTTTCAAGCAGCAACACACTCAGCTTCAAACCCCTCTCTTTTTTCCAACTGAATTTTTCGGTCACATAGGGGGTCAGATGTAGAGTTCTTAAAAAATTTCATTGGCAACATATTCTTTTAATTGCCAAAAGAGGAATGACAGTAATTTTAAATCATCTCAAGGTAATAGAGAGTTCAAAAACAAGTGGAATGCTGAAGATATAATGCATTTATCATGACTGAACCACATAAAAATTACAATTTTCAAAAACAGTGTGCCATATAGGCTATATCATTTACTTAGCATAACATGGGGCAGCAATAAAATATGAATACTTGCTAATATCTCTGGGATGGTTGCAGATATTGACTTGTAGTTTGAACGAAACTTCTTCAAATAAAAGTAGAAATTTTCTTTGGCAGAGCCGACAACCCGGGCCTTCAGATGGGGAAGGGCAAGGGGCGACTTGAGATTTTTAAGCAGGAATCCCTATTGTTTGAAAAACTAGATAAAAGTTCTTGGAGAAAACCGCTACCTGTCACAGTTTCAAAATAATGGTTACTTGAAGTTCAAACTGATTTAAATTTGGTATCTCTTCTGCTTACTGGCAGATTCATATGAAACTCGATGTCAAAAATTTTTCATTAAGAATTTATTTACCTATACAAGAGATTCAAATTGGGATCCTACAGATTAGAGGAAGAGCGAGCTCTTAATGCTCTTGTAAGAAGAATAGATCTTTCTTGAGCATGCCCATGAATTCTAAGTACCCTAAACCATTACAGTAATTGCTACATCTTTGTCGCTACAATAATGGCATATCAACGGTGTAAGTCGGCAATCACATAACTCGTATGCGGTGTCTGAAAATCTCCGCCTCTGTGTAATTTTTTAAAGGAGAACAAATTGGCATCATTCCTTGAAGTTTTTGCAGAATTGTCTTTGCACAGAGAAGAAAAATCAAGACACTTTTAAAGAATTGCCGTTGAGTAGTTTTCCGTTTCAAAAATGAAGTATGACAGGAACTCTGCGACGTCGCAAACCGAGTTATGTGATTGCCGACTTACACCGTCGATATCCTCAGGTTACAATCACTCGCAACCCTTTTTTAAGGAGGTAGACTCAGACCCAACAGTTCCTCTAAAACTTTTCAAAACTTCCTCTTTTGGCAAACTTTAGCACACTTTTTTTTCCTTCCCAGGCTGGCCTTTGAATGAGACTTTTAGGGGTTTTTCAAGGTGATACTAATTTATAATTAACTATTGCTTAAAAAAACAGCAAGGAAAGAAATTTTTTTTTTTTTTTTTTGGGGTGACCATGAGAAAAATTGGCAAACTCTACGCATTAAATGCTTCCCATCTGTAGCCACTGGTTCATTACCTACTTGGTTATTATTTTAAAAATGAATCATTCACTTTTTCAAAAGTCTTTTTCATTTACAGGTTCAAAATACAAATGTGTTGTTTAAAGTAATGTCGTTCTAACGTTTAAAGTAAATTATTCTAAGCATTTCAACAATTAGAGTTACGAGATAATCATAAAAAACAAGACCGCGCGTCGCGTCGGATTCACCTTAGCGTCAATTCAAAAAACCCGCGGAAATCGAGCACTCCGAACAAGCACCAGACACCTCCGAAAACGCACCAAACCGGTTTGTTTTCGGGGTGCCCTGTTGACGATCGGGTCGTCTCTTATCACTGTAAACATTACAATTTTCTTTGGTTATGTGGTGATTTCTAAAAATCGCACCCCTTAAATCCGCAGTTAAAAATGTGGTTTTCGGTCAATTTAGGATTAATTTGTTTCAAAAATTGTAACGTCCTTAAGAATAGTATCTTGAAATCCAGTTTAATTCCAATTTCCTGCTGTGGTATCCCTAGAACTCAGGTGCTCTTCAAAAGTTACGACAACAAGAACCTAGGGCATTCCACCATACTTTGGCAGGATGGCTCTGATATGCAAGAATTACCCGTCATAGTCCGGAAAATTCGTGGAGCGGAAGTATTTATGCTGTATGATATAGATGGCAAATCATCTAGTGGCAAACATCCAAAACAAGACTCACCTCCAACTAGCAGTGGCTCAGCGGAACATATGCGGTATGATTTCAGTTCATGTCTCTCTGTTCAAGAAGTTTTTAAGTATCTTGAAACCATCCCTGCGGAAGAAGTTCAACCAGCAATTGCCTGTGCTGCCCTTCGTAGAATTGTAAACCTAGAAAATAACAAAACTTTTCGCAATAGAACTATGAGACTCACAGCAAATAAACCCAAAGAAAACTTTACTAGGACAGCTTTATTTAACCAGTTGGTTGAAATTATAGTTAACAGAGGTGATAATACTATTTTACTAGAAACTTTACGAATTTTAGACCGTGATAATCTTAAAAAGAATGAAGAAAAATATCTGAACATGTTATCAGAGGAAATATTAATCAGAGCTGCCGATGGCAAATTTAACCTTTCTCAAATTTGTGAGATAGTACAAATTTTTTCCACCCTGGGAGACGGTGGACATGTTGATAAACTTTGGATTGCCATTGCAGAGGACACCAACAGTATTAATGAAGAAAATATCATGGATGTTTTTCGAACTCTTCTATACTTCAAAGATAGTCAGACTGTAATTTTGAATATTTTAGAAAAGAAACTTCCTCAATTTTGGTCGTGTCTATCTGGGAGCAACATTGCAGAAATTTTAAGTATTTTTGTAACAGCCTCTTTGAATCCTGGGAAAATATTTAGTAGCATTATCAAATGGATTCACATGAATATAGAGTCAGTTTTAGTCGAGGATATCATAGAAATTTTAAACAATTTACAAGCTCTTGATTTTAATCATAAAACTGTCACATTATCTCTAGAAAATATTGTTACCAGTAGACGTGGGATTATATTCAATGAGTTATTCATCACTAGTGTAGCTAGTTACTGTCTTTACTTTAGAGTGAAATCTCCAAAATTATTAAAATGTTGTGCTGATTTTATTACAAGTCAAGGCCGAAATCTATCTCCCTCAGCGCTGAAAGCCATATTTTGGCCCATTGGTTTTTTGAATTATCACCCAGAAAACGGCGCAGAGTTCTGGAAAGTTGTAGAAACAGCATTCAATGAAAAATTTATACAGTTTTGTCCAGAGGACGTCCTTGAAATTTTGTTGAGCTGTGTTTATCTTGAAAAGTACCCTCTAAATTTTTCTCAAAAAATATTCAATCCCTTTTTCTTAGATCGCTTACACTCTACATCCAACATCGAGCTGATTGAGAAAATGCGCACAAAACTGAAAATACTTGATTGTGTCATGAGCCTAGAGTGTAAACATTATCAAGGGCCTTTACTGCCGTATGAACACTCGAATGAAGCAAAAACTTGGGTAGACCCTCGGATTAGGAATGCACTCATGCAAATAAACCTAGCGCTTAATTCAATCTTAACAAGCGGTAATCAACTTTCAACATCCGTAACTTTGCCACAGCTGCCTCTCGTGAATTTATTCACAGTGGATGCCCTAATTCATCCCAAAGACCCCACAGGCGGAATAAAACTTGACAAAAATTCTGTCGCAATTTTAATTCATCCTCCAGAGCACTACTGTTTTCAAAGCAGTGAATTAATTGGATCTCAAGTGATGAGAAAGCGAATCTTGAAAAAATTAGGCTTGAAAGTTGTCAGTTTGGATTATAGCCGTTTGATTGTTCTAGGGATCTATCCCAAAAAATTGTTTGCTTATGTAAATTCAAATATGAAGCACCCTGATTCAACTTCATAATCATGGCCTCTACTTTCCATCTAGATGACCTTAAGTACGGATTAACTGTTCCCACCATTGAAAGAAATAGAGAAGTATCCGCAAAAAAAATTGTCAGACTCTATTTCTTCTCTAATAATTTGTCTTAGTTCTCTCAGCTGATCAACATCCATGCTCTAGGTAGTCAATGTTTGCCTATAAAGGCATCACAATGCCCTTCTAAGTTGTATATCTGATACTGCAACGCTGCTGCTAGCAAGATACTTTGTATCGGGGATTTTAAGTTTTTCTCCATGAAATTTTCTGATGATACCTTGAATCATTTTAAATGTAAAGACTATCAAGAATATCGAAACATATTGTGATTAATTCTAGATAATTTTGCAGGAGAGAATTCTGGAACAGAGCTCCAATTAAAAGTTTTTTGTGAAAAACTCTCATCCTGAACTTTACCAATCAAAAATTGTAAATTATTCTCCAGGGGCCATTTTATTTAATTTGGGAATGAAATTATCACCATTGTTAATTGTTGATTTACCAGGCCTAGGCCTACCTAGCAAATTTAGGTAACTAATTTCATAGCTCATATAATTCTACAAACAGTTTGGTTTTGTCCTTGTTATTTATTATTTATTGTTTGTATCATAGCTCTATGTAAAACTGAAAATAAAATTAAAATTTGAAACTTTTTCCATCATAACTCATTTTAATTAAATCCTTACGAAACCACGTAGCCACATACAAGTAGCGTTTCCATGTAAATTATGACACTAAATAAGTATTTGCATTGGTTGAAACTTCATTTTTCTCAGTAGCAGATGAAAACTGAAATCTTTATCCAAAGTTTTTTTCTTATACTTACTTTATGATCTATCTCCTTTTACGATTTACATCCCTTGCCTTACTCTCTGTTATAGGGCTAAACTTGTAAGCATATTAATACCTAGTGAATTTTGAAATCATTATTTGTTATTTGAATTGGCACAATGTTTCAGAAATTCCTGTTCATACTTCATCTCTAGTAGTATCGGCTGGTTTTGGGCTTTAAAAAATGTTAAAAACAAAATGTATGGGTCAGAAAAACCTCGTAGTACCTATGTTCTTTTTAAGTAAAATTTATCAAGTGTTTCCGATAGAGGAAAAAGTTATCTTTGAAACAAAGTTGGCATCAAAATTTTGTTGAACTCTAAAGTCACTCATTTATAAAACACAAAATAAACTGCCAAATATGTGAACAATATAAAAACAAAAATTGTAGGTATAATTTTTGTTAAATTTTACTAAAATATAAAAGTAAAAAATTTGTGAAAGTGCAAAATGGCATTTTAATTTTAACATGAAACAGAACAAAATGAGTTTCTCAACGCAGACATCTTAACAGTTTCTAAGAATTTTCACTCTGAAAGTTATGAGCGTTTAACATTATTGAACGGCCAATGCTACCAGGAATTCGCTGAAGAAAATTGTCTAAGCCATAATTTTCCCCACTATTTTTAGAAAATACCCTTTACGATATCAAAAGAAGTTCATTACCTAGGTCTGAAAGAACACTGTCTTTTTCATATTCTTTCAGTAAGTTTTGTAAAAGTAGATCGCAATGAAAAATTTCTAACATTGTGAATTAAGGTACCTATTTAAGTGTTCTTCTGGTTCAATGATTTCAATACAGATTTTTATGCAAATGAAATATTTTATGACCACCTTTGAAATTGCAAAAAAAAAAAAATATGACTGAGCCCCTGTCCAAGTTCACAACACAAAGTAATCCTGTATCTTTTCAAAATTGGTATGCAAAGTCTTCAACCAAATTTCCTAGTTGCCATGCATGGGACCTTTAATTATTTCAAAATCTTTTACTTTATTAAAATTTACCCAGTTTCATTTCTTCTGAATTCGGCTAGCTTTCCGGTCTTAAAAAAAATTGTAATTTCTGGACATCTTTGCCGAGACTAATGAGTCTCAGTAAAATACATTTTTCTCAAAATTTAAAAAAAATTATTTCCAAGTATTACAAAGTGACTAAGGTCGTTTTGTGCTACGTGATAAATTGCGGTTCTAAAAATCATGAATGAGAACACTCAAAGGACCAGAAACTGGTTTCCTGAGGTACTCAAGATTTTTTTCTTATCAGTAATTTGAATTTCCCGCGTCGTAGCAGCTGTTTCTCCCCTCCATTCTTCAAGGACCCTTCCCCTCCCACCAAAGAACGTAATGTAAACAACAACAGTCAGACACTTGAAATGAAAAGTAAATCTTCCATTATCTTCAAGCTAAAAAGAAGTTCTAGTTAATTAAATATCGCTCAACAGAAGAGGTTTCAAACAGTCTTCATAAACTGTTCTCTGAATCTCTACGTTTACCTATCAAAGAAGAAATTAAACGCACATCCAAACTTGTAAGAAAGTCATAAAGTGACATAAGCTCTGTTTCTTGTGATAAAAGTTTTTTTTGTTATTGAGATAAGAATTTTACACCCAAACTTCTCCCAGTGTCATTAACAGTGACTGAATATATAGCGACAAACACAGCTGACCTCCACTACTTCCAGTTATCATGGCTTCTACTAGTGCAACATGGTAAAATGTTTTATTCATTACCCACCACTATACTAATTACCACCTATTAGAGATTGAATGCGATGGATGTCACTTAGTTTAATTGAGAGTATGCCTCAATTATGGGACTTTCCCCTTGAATAATTAGTGCATTTGACTTTCCTTCTGAATAATTAGAGTATCTTCTCTTGCATTTTGGTACACTGCCTGTTCAGTCATCATTGTAGTGAGTACCCAGCCTTGTGAAGACTCAGCAGGAAGTAAGCAGCTCGAGGTTACTGGTGTAGCTCCTAACGTTCTTATTTGTCATCAACAGGCCTAGTTTCCTTAAAAATGAGACATTCGTTTGGTTTATTTAACTCTCCCTGTAGTCGTAACTTTATTTTCGTTCTATTGTTTATTTTCCCGAAGGCCATGAATTTTTATGCTGTCAATTGGATTAAAAAGTTTGTTCTAATTTTTCAGTAGTTCATCTGTAGTGCATGCAACTGAAAAAGTTGCTTTATTTTTATTAAAATATTGCTCATTTCACCTCTGATTTCTATCGTTTTGACTGGCTCATACCTAAGTCCTGGCTGATTTATTTATCTGCTAATTGGATGATGCTGATGGCTTAAAACTTTTCCATTCCTAATGAATTTTTTCAACAAAAACCCCTAGCTTCCTTTATTGCTCGAAATTTTTACAGGGTAATTTTTCCTCAAGCACAGAAAAAATCATAAACTTTTTCGAGACATTATTTTGATAAGTTTTTTACTAGAATTTTTTTTTTTTTTTTTGAGAGAGAGAAGGAATAAATATCAAGCATGACAGGAAGTCCTTATCACTCAACTGAGGAACATGGTGGTCCAAGTTAAGCCCTTGATGCTGCACCTTGCTCAACTTTTTAAATTTATCATTGAAGTTGCTACTCTGATAAAAACTTTACCCCTACTTTAATAAAGACGCATTTCATAGTTATGTTAATATTTTGTTTTTTATTCGTTACTTTTGTTTGTTCACAGCAAACCACAATATTCAATGGGGGAGCATACTTTTAAAGTCTCCATGGATCTATTTGAGCTGAACAGGGACCGTCTGGTGAAAGAGCTCAAAAAAGACGGGAAGTGCCCAGAAAATTCTGTCATTGTTATGAAAGGAGGATCAGGTGTTAGCCTTTATGATACAGACATTGAGTATCTATTCAGACAGGTAAAATGCACTTTATTCCCAATTTTTAATTAGTTTAAATAGCACCCAATAGACCTGTGCGAAGTGTTGCCTCCAAGTTTTTAGTGAGGCAGGCAAGAAAAGAGGAATTATTAATTGAAATCAATGCAGCATCAACTTAGCACTGTTGGTGTATTTTCTAAACTGGGTGAAATCCCTCAAAGCTGTTCTGCTGTGCTAAGGAAGAACGCCGTATGAACCCTCAGGCGTTGCCTAATTTCCTTTGATAAAAACCGAATTTACTGGGAAAATTCTGAATATTATCTTCCAAAATTTTCAGACACTTTTGTACGCAATTTAATCTAAAATATTTGAAAATTTCAAGGAGAAATGTGCATGAATGTCATCAAAAATACATAATTTATTGAGGGAAATTTGCAACTTTCGTATGTTCATACGGCATTCTTCCTTGGCATGGCAGTGTTGGAAGGAAGCATCGGAGGAACGTGAAGTGGACTTTCAGTATATTCTGAAAAGTAATCTCATGTCTCCCGTTTGGTTGTTCAGAACAAAAGTGCCGTAGGCATCTCATTATGCCCAGGATATTTCAATTTTGCGGAAGGAATGAATAATATCAATTGGAACCATTTTTAATAGTTGATGCCTCAAAGAATAAGGCTATGGCTGGCTATGAACAGAAATGCTGTCTTTATATTTGTTCTTTTCGTTTGACTCTGTCGAGTTGAAAGTATTCAGAAGAATCATATTTCTCACAGAGCCAATATTGTATTTTATAGGAAGGCTATTTTCATTGGGCATTTGGTGTTGAAGAGCCAGACTTTTATGCAGCAATAGAGGTGAATACAGGGAAGTCGCACCTTTTTGCACCGAGATTACCAGCCGAGTACAGTGTGTGGATGGGCCCTCTTCTTACCTTGGAGGATTTCAAAAACAGATACAAAGTGAACGAAACTCATTTTGTGGATGAGGTTAGAATTCTTTCCATAATTTTCTTCCCAGTTTAACAGTAGTATTTAATGCTCAGTTACATGTAGCATTTATTTTGGTCTCGAGTTTTAATTTTTAAAGTTCAGTAAAGTTAATTTATCGACATTATGTCTAAAAATTTTAGCGGACTTTCAGCATGCACAAGTTAATAATCTCAGAAGCATCCTTTTGAAAAAGGAAGAGTCTTCTAAAAAAATCTGCTACCATCATGAGAGACTAAATCGGTAGCAAAATTTGTGGAAAAGAAAAAAAAGGAATGGGCTCTCTTAATGACAGGTACCAATATTTATTGCCATGTTACGAAAGAAGGCAGCAGTGAGTAAGTGCAAGAATGAAATTTTGAGAAAATAGACTTACTTAGTAGTTATTGAAAGGAAAAAATCTTTGCTCTTTTTAAAACTGCCACCGATTCCAGTCCGGGAATGACTCTCAGAAATCGTTTTGATTATTGACAATTAATCAATTTTATATTTTAACCATTTACAAAAGACCTTTTTCATTCTAATGTTAAACAAGATAGCCATCAGTACTGTCTTCTGCATGCTTTCATGGTTGCTTTTTAGACATGTATAAATCAAATTTTAAGATTAATAATTGTTAGGAAAGGGCACCATTTCTTCATACCTGTCTAGTCTCTTGTTCCAAAATTCTTTTCTCTATGTTTCAGCTAAGCACCGTTCTGAAAAGTATGAATCCATCAGTATTACTAGTATTGGTAAGTACCTCAGTATTTTTAAACTTTGCTACTCATTTGTTGTGTACCTATATTTTCATTTTGGTTATAACCATTTGACATGCTAAAATCTTAGTGAAACCAATCATTATATTTGATTGTTTCTTGTTTCATGATAAAAACAAACTAATAAAGACTGAGGCAGTCTGTAAATGACTGTAAATTTGTTCGATTGTAGGTTTACCAAAAAAGAAGGTTATGAAAATGAACTATTGAGCTGATTTTTGTCTCTTTTATTCATATTAATAACACTGAAATCAATAATTTAGGAAGGGGGGAAGAAAAACAAATTCCACATACTTGGACAAGCCAATCTCTTCGGGATCATGAAAATCGAACTCCTTGGGGTCGAGTACCTGGGAAACCATCTGTTTCCGTGGAATCTACATCAATTTTTGACCGAAGGGAAATTATGGAGGGGACCCTTGTCCCCCTCTTTAAGGAATCATTTCTGGGCATAAAGTGGTCTGATTTTGGATTTTCAGGGGTCAGTTTCACGTTGAATTTCCCGTAATTTACAATTTCAATGCAATCGAACCGCAATTCTATCAAGAACCCTGACTTTTGGCATCATACTCCCCCTTTACCTCCTAAGGGGGGCTGGGGGGGTTTCGGGACCATGAATTTCGGATTCCTCGCGGTCAATTCCCTTTTCAACCCTGCAGTCCTTGACTTCGTACGACATTAACCAACCAAGAAGAAGGCTTGGTACGGGTAGTCTAGGACACCCTGTATTGGTTAAACATTCTTTAAAACAGTACTATGAAAAATAATAATGAAGTATTTTGACTGTATTCTTATCTGCACTTGCTGTTTAACCGAAGATTGGTTATATTGACTGGCGGAGCAGTTACAGTATAAAAAAAATTATTTTAATTGGTTGGAGTATTTCCTTTCTCTGATTAAACGCAAATACATATCTACCTAAACTACAGTTGTATCGAATTTTTCCGTTTTTTCAGGCTGGAGAAAATTCAGATAGTAAATTAAAATTCGCTAATATTCCTGATTTCGAAGGCATGGAAAGGTAAAAATTTTGTCAACTTCTCTATGTTTTTATGCATTCTTTGTCAATTTATTCCTGATCATAACAAGTTTACCTACTATTTAAAGTAATGTTTTCAGGGTTTTTTCACTAACACTTCTGCTTATTCTCTCATCTGTTGAAGATTTGAGCTATCTTTTCACAACTGAATTCATCTGATAATTTTACAAGTTTAAGTAGTTCAGTATTTCAGAACTTGAATCCTTCTATAAGATGAAATAACTATAGTGTGTGAAATTTAAACAATCAAGTTTTTAGTAGCAACATTGTATATTTTGACATTCTTTTTTTAAAAAAACGTCGCAGCATTGATTTTCAAGAGTGGACAAAGCACTAAACTTCAGAGGGATGAACTGTTTACACTATACATTAGATTCTCTCTCTGCTTTGAATATGGTTTTCTACATTTTCAGTAAAGAGTGTCATTTCAATGATATGCGCAGACCTGGGCGCAAAGCGGCTGTATGAGAGCATAGAGTGTCCTTCGAGGGTGGATTTGTGCATTGGCCAGGGAAAACCTTCCAGTTTTATAAATTTCACAATCTTCTAATTTTTTTCTCTCTCCTGTTTTAGTTTCAACATTGATAATGAAATTTTATTTCCGGTGATGGCTGAGCTGTAAGTATCTAGCAAATTGTAAATCTAGCGTTAAGGCAAAGGAACTCATTTTATTCTGTAATAGACGCTATTAGTGCCACGTCACAGAAAAGCGATATATATCGATTTTTTCGCATTGGTAGCATTGAAAGAGGTTATGCCAATGTTATTGTTTGGATCCAATTCGATATAATGGAGAATCCCTATGATGACGTTGCCACTAATAGCGTCTATTTGTCGTCAGGAAAAAATTGGTGGTTAATAGATCAATATCCTCCATAGAATATCACTTATCTATATCTGTTGTGATTTGTAAATGAGGAAAAAGCTACTTAAGTAGAGAAATAACCCAAATTGGACTAACTTCATTTCACGTTGCCTAATTTTCTCTCATTTTTTATTACTCAAACAGAGAATTAAAATACTTAAACTTTTAAACTCTAGATGAATTTACCCTACATTATGAATAATATATTCACGAAATTTCAAGTTTCAGTGTTGCTTAGTTTTCTTCTAAAAAAAAATTTAAAACATCAGAGAAACTTTGGCAATTTCCGATGTAGTTAGGGTGATTCCACTTAAGTCTGTCCTTATGAGACTCAAAAGTACCAGCAGGAAAGTATGGTGAAGAAAACTTTTTATGGCTCTAAAAACAAAAGTTCTTACTACGAGAAGAGTACCAAGTAAAAAATACCTAGAAATAGGTAATAAATAGTCCAAAAAATAATAGACAGAAAAACATGAATGTTCTACAGGCTAAAAAGTTCAACATTTTTGCAGAAAGTAAGGAAAATTATCTTGTTTCATAGTCTGTGTTACATTTTGCATGTTTGAAAGAATGTTAATGTTAAAATATTTCATTCGTTTAATGCTGACTCGATTGTCTCTTTGCCATTTTTTTATCAATTTATCATCATTTCAGTGGTTTTTAACCTGAATTGATCCATTTTTTAACATCAATTCTTTTGATTTCCAGACGTGTAGTCAAAACCGACATGGAAATTGATGTTTTGAGGTATATATGCAGGATTTCATCCGAAGCCCATCGAATGGTGATGACCAAGGTTCGCCCAGATATGTACGAGTATCAGGCAGAGGCAATATTTTTACAATACGTGTATTTTGTTGGTGGCAGTCGGCACACAGCCTATACCTGTATCTGTGGCTCTGGGCCTAATTCCGGAGTTTTGCACTACGGTCATGCTGCAGCACCAAACAGGAAACAAATCAAGGATGGAGACATGCTGTGAGTTCTCAAATCTTTCTTCTCAATCAACAAGTCTACTGCTTGCTTTTCAGCGAAGTTTCTTACTAGGCCAGGCTGCATGCAAGTTGCAGTAATCTCCAAATATCTCCCTCCAGACCCTTTCTGAAGACATTTGCGTCTTTTCAGAAGGGTCAATACAACATCCTCGCTTACACTAGCCACCAACATATTGCATTTATCATCCAAGGCTGGATTTACAAAGGGTGACATGATTGTCCATGGTAGCATTTTTGGGGGTGGCAAATTAAGGAAACGTGGCTGTAGATTTTGAGAGTAATATTTTTCTTTCTCCTTTTTTGCCTGTAAGTAATCAAATTTCATCATTTTTCGAATTTAGATTTAAAATTAAGGAAACTTGCGTTGGTGGAGCGCTCTTATCTTCACAAAACATCAACACAGTGCACCCGATAAAATTTCATTCCTTTCTCATGAGCAATTAGAAAATGTCCATGAAAAATTTCCTGTAATTGCCTGTGATTTGAAAATTGTTGAGATTGCACGAGTCATTGATTTCTGAAACCAATTGTGGTATGATTACTTTTAGATACCTAAGTGTTAATCTGACGATGAATGTCTGATAAATCTAGGCAGACAGAAGGGAAAGATCCTACAGTCTCCTACAGATTTTTACCAAACTAGAAGAAAAGTTGGGCAATGAAACTTTTCAAACTTTCTGTAACCAGTAATAATCTCTTTGTCAGCAAAACATTATGTATGTATATTTTCTATGTCAATAAAACACTTCCTTAGTGAAACTGATTTTTTCTTCAAGAAGATGAACTCAAATATGTGAGGATAATATTTTTAAGTGACTGCTTTTATTTCATGAAAATACCACTCTTCATTTTGGATCACATTAATTACCAGCTGATGAAGTGTGTGATTCGCCAAAATGCAGTAAATTTCTGCTGGTAATATAAAATAACAACATTCTTTCTCTGCAAAATAATTTCTTATTTATTTCATGTTTTCCAGTTTATTTGATATGGGTGCTTCTTATTACGGGTATGCATCGGATATCACCTGCTCCTTTCCAGCCAATGGCAAATTCACTGAAGATCAGAAACTAATATACAATGCTGTCTTGGCTTCTAATCGAGCCGTGCAGAAAGCAGCAAAGCCAGGTTGGTGGTTGGGTTTGCCGAATTTTAAAATTATTTGTATTTTTTCTTTTCTTCTTTCTTGCTTTTAAGTTTGGTTTTCCAAATCAAAGTTTATTATCAATGAGTATTCCAGTCACTGCGTAAAATGACCGTCCATCTAAAAAGTTGTGTTTGGTTGATTTAACCTGCATTGAATAATGCATTGATTTCAGGGCTTAAAGGAAACAGAAGAGGGATTTACAATCATCAATGTTACTATCTGAAGCATAGTAACCTAAGGGTGTGAAGTGTGACCCTGGAGGTGTTAGAGGCTACAGAGATGGATCTCTGGCGTAGATCGGCTAGTATTTCCAGAAGGAATCGCACCCAGAATGAGACAGCATGGGAGATCATGGTTGCCAAACAAACCATTGTGCATGACATTATAATAAAACAACTTATATGGTATGGTCATGTTATGAGACTAACAAAACTCAGGTTGCCAAAAAAGGTCCTAGATTGGGTTTCTCCTGTGAGACGGCGCATTAGGCGCCCAACGAGAGGATTGAGGAATGGTATTGCATTTAAAGTGGCAAGTGCTTGATGCTTGAAGGGTTGTGAATTGATAGAGAACAGCGGAAGTTGAAGGTTGTAGAGTACCCAGGGATTTCCATAAATCGACATGTATGAGTGTATTAAGCAACGTCTTTTTGTTCTTTATTTCAGGAGTCAGTTGGGTGGACATGCACAAATTAGCCAATGAAGTATTATTAACCAAGCTTGTTGAAATGAAGCTACTGAAAGGAAATGTTACAGAAATGATGGAGGTTTGTTTTTCTGAAGTTTGCTCAGTGACAGCTATCTCTGACTAAATTTTTAAAATACCTACTTATAAGTTTATTGAGTGTATCTAAACATTGAGGTGATTCCAGTTTTTTTTTTATGTTCGATTCATAACTTTTTATAAACTGGCTCTAAGTTTATTTATTTATTTTTTTTGCCTTGACCCTTTTCCTGATGATGAGCGTCATCAAGGATGTCACTGCTGATTTGAAGCAATGACAGAGGATTGGTTAACATCTTAGAAGGTATGGAAATGCGCAAGAACAGAGAGAAGTTGGTTTTGGAATGTTGCAAAAGATTGTTTACTCAAGGTAACGGTTAGTAGCCTCCATAAGAACCAAGTCAAACAAAATGTTAACAGCAATATATCAGTCAAAATTTGAAGAAGGAACTGTAGGATCCCAATACGCGTCGGCATTTTCTTTAATTTATTCTGTGAGATTGAGCTTACTAACTTTCCAATTCTCTTTTCTTTTTCAAAGAGCCGTATATGTAGTACTGTAGTGGTTTAATCATGACGTTATTCTTCAAGTGCCTGTTAATTTTAATCGTTTATTTTCCTTGCAGGCTAATATGGGAGGAATATTTCAGCCTCACGGCCTGGGTCATCTGATAGGGATTGAAGTTCACGATGTTGGCGGTTACCTGCCAGGAACTCCTGAGCGACCAACACAACCCGGTCTTTCATCATTGCGGACAGCTCGCATTTTGCAAAAGGGCATGTACATGACCATCGAACCTGGCTGTTACTTTATTGACATTGTAAGTGTATAATTTCAGCAATGTTACCAAAGGGTGTTCTAAAAAGTTATACAAGATCAAAATTTAATATAATGCAGAAATTTGCAATTTCTTGGTGACGAGGAGTGTTGACAGCAAAGCACTACGTAATAAGGCAAGGAAAAATAAGTCAACATTTCTAGAAAGAAAATCTGTAATTTAGTGTATTTAGTGTATTGCCACTTTTGATTGAGTGTTGACTTTGGTTTGATTATTGGGTTAATGGTCCGTTATAATAAATTCGATCTGTTTATGCCACGTTTTCATGTGTCTATCTTTTTTGGAATAGTCTCAATTTTGATACAATTTATCATGTATTTTCAATTTATTTTACCATTGAACGTATTGTATGCTTCATGATTTTAAAAAAATCAAACCTCAAGGTTTGGATTATCAAAATTATAATGGTGTGAATAAAAACTTGATAGCTGAGATTTTCTGAATAGCGAGCAATAGAGAACGTGCAAAATTGTGTTTGGAGGTGTTTCTTCTCTGGAGCTATCATTTTTGAAAATGTGACACTTTTTAACTTAAAATTAGAAGGCAGTAGTTTTGCATCTGTTTTTACTCGAAACTGTCCATGGAATGGTGTGCCCCAATTCTAACTATTCTGAATATTTTGCTCCTTTTCTCATGATTCAGAAACTTGATTCTGCTCTCGCTGACCCGAAGCTGAAAGATTTCTTCAATGTGGAGGTATTGGAGAGGTTCAGAGGATTCGGAGGTGTGCGTATAGAGGATGATGTTCTTATTACCGAGGATGGCTGTGAAAACTTTACCGAAGTGCCAAGAACGTAAGTAAAACTTATTCAATAACTTTACTTCCTTTATTTTTTAGAGTTTATAAGTTTTATTTTGCAGGATTTCGAAAATTGTGGACTTTCTACACTCTTATCAACACCATTTTTTTTCTCTTATAAACAATTTTCACGTTGATATTGAGCTCAGAAACTTGGCACTAATACATGTTTTATTATTTTTCACTAACTGTTGAGGAATGAACATCTGAACATAATTCTGGCATCATTTCTGACTCATTTAAATAGCGTATCAATGGCAAAGTTCCAAAACCACGCATCTTCATTTGTGGCGTTGCAGACTTCCTGTCATACTCTCTTTTTCTTCAAAAGACTGGTCATCATAATTCCTTGAAAACTTTCCTGCTTTTCCTTCGCTATCAGCAGAATATTCTGTATGAATTTTAAGCCATACAGCTGCCTTGTTTCTTTTCGAATTAACTAAGTAAAAGAGGAAATTTTGAAACGTGGCAATGGAGATACGTCGTTTTACATTATGACCATTGAAAGGTGCCACTAATTTCCTTATGCAGTCAGGTGCTTTTAAGGATAAACCAAAGATACTGATACCTCTTCTTGCCAATTTTCATTTCATTTAATGTAATTTAATCAAATTTTCTACTTAATAGAGTACTTTCCCCTTGGAACAGCTTATCAATTTCTACATTCCATCCTTTTTTTTCTTCAATTTTTTGGATGTTCTTGATTCACCGTCGATGTTAATTAATAATTATTTTTCCTTTTGTATTACAGTGTGGAAGAAATTGAAAAACTAATGGCTGACAGTCATAATGCCGTACCATATCCCACGCCCAGTGGACAACCAAAATTTTAATTATGTTATCTTCAAAAAAATCATATTTTTCTAAAACCAATTTTTATCTAACATTTACAATCGTAGTATCAGAAACTTGTCCACCTACATGAATAGTCTATTGCTCACATTCCTAGTTTTAAGCTTTCTTGTTCATTCTATGAAAACTTTTAATTCAGTTTCTTCCATTTCAAAACCATATTATACCCAATACCCATGTACATTTTGTCTATGGGCCAATTTTCATACAATCTCAACGCTTTTGCAAGTTATAAATATGTACAATGGGCCACTAAAGAAGGTCTGAACTGAATAGAAACGTCACGTGTTTTCACTTCCAAATCTTATGTAGAGAACGATTCTTACATCGGGAATATAGGTAATCAACCGCTGGAAGAAGTACTAACAAGTATTCCTCACACAGATCAAGTAGAAAGGAGATACTACAAATGATGTAATTTTATTTTTTCCATTAAACTATGTTAACGATAAATACTTATATTTTGTTTAGGAGTTGATTTTCAGACTTCCCATTGTAAGATTCGATTTCCTCGAGAACTTTCAAAGAAACAACAGGTAGTTTCATAACGCAATTCATACCTTGTACAGAGGCTCATTCAACAAATAAAAAGATGTCAGGAGTTTTAGTTAAAATATCTTTATTTCTGCGGCCTTGTGTAGTTAAAACATTGTAGCACTCCATAACATGCTTTTAAATGATTGCTCTGAATATTCTCAAAATTTTGATCGAAAAACATTGGCTTTCCTCTTAAACTTTTCAATACTGTGCTCTTATTATTGACATCAGCTTCAGTAATATTTTCTTGACCTTCAATCGATAAATTTTAAAAATCCTTCAACAATCATTGAATTTCTATACTTCTGTTGCATGGAAATGTATATGCAAATCGAGCTGTTTGATCTCAAAAGCAAATCCAATGATTGAGTATCAACGTATATCTACTCATACAATAAGCATGGAGTAGATAAAGTATTTTCCTGTTTATTTCTCATTATTCAAGTAAGATGACAGTGCCTTTTTCATGTTCTATCTTTACCAATAAAGGATGGACACTCCTGTGATCTCTGAATGTAGGACTCTAATTTATTGCTCTTCTGCTTCATAACTTGTCTTGAGCAGTATCAATATTTGCTCATTTAGTATTTGAACTGATTAGGGTAAGCTTTGGGTCAGTTGATCATGATACAATATACTTTTTTGATAGTTGCTTTCAATAGGTTAACAAAAAATAATGAAATCTGTATTATCACCAAGTTTGAAGCATCGCTATTAATCGAAAGATGGTTGTTGGAAAGACATAGTAGATTACAGCATACTTCGTAAGATTTTTTTCTTCTTTGGAAAGTATCTCCATTAATACTTGATATATTTTAAAATATTTCAATGGTCGAAGTGCCAAACCACGTATCTTTGTTTACAACATTGCTGACTTCCTATCACATTTAATTTTCTCCTTTGGAGTATTGGTAAACGTTATTTTTTCATGACTGCCTTGATTCTTTTTCCTCTTAGAAGAATACGCTGTATAAGTTTCAAGCCATAAAGTTAGCTTCTTTAGGAAAAAATAAAATTGATAGAGAAATTTTGAAACATCGCAATAGAGGTACGTGGTTTCCGACTAAGGCCATCAATTTGTGGTACAAACAGAAAAACTCCCTGTGGTTCAATATCAGTTCGTATTGAAAAAGAATGTGAAGCTAAAACTACCTTAGTGTGATATCTGTAAGAGACTCCATGTTTCAATTTTTTTAATCACAGCTTTTAATAAGCCCAGCTGGAAAAAAGAAGGGTTCGCAAGATACCTCATGAAGTTCAGAAAGTTTCATTCATACGGGTCTTCAATTTTTAGCAGTCATACTTGAGGCAAGTTTACAATAACGGTGCTACTTAAGATTTAAGCCAAAGAAAATAAAACGTGTATGAACTGAAATCCGGGTGGTCATTCCAATAAATGTATTATTGATTGATTGTGTTCTTTTTCTTACAAACCCATTTACCTAGAAGGGAAAATTGCTCAACCATGAGAACTAGGGGTGCATAAAATAGGGAAGCTCCCATGAGAACAGGAGAAAATTAGGGAAGCCTGTTATATTTTTTTAAACATTCATATTTCAGTATTTCAACAGAGAAACAGTCCAATTTTACGGAGGCAAATTTTGTTTTTTATTATTTTGGGGAACTGCTCTTAAATTCTGATAGAAAAGGAAAAGGTCAATTAAATTAGGGGTAAGACTTGGACTTTTTACACTTGTAACTACAACTGTCATCACAAATCTGTAATAAGTCAAATAATTACATTAAAGGGTTAAACGTAATCATTATGGAACAAATTAGATCACTTCTATAGAGGACATTAGTAAAATTACCAAAACAGGATACTATAACGGGAACGTAAACTATTATTTTTTATATCAATTATTGAATTTATGATCTTTCACAAAAAAAAAGAGGTAAATTTTGAGTTATGAAATTATGCTTAATCAGTTTTAACTTGTCAAGTCAACTATATTCCGTCAATGCTACCCACAGCCCATTTCAGCAAGTTTTAACTCATTGCAAGTGGAAATTCAGGCTACATGCAGGTCCACCAATAAATTATCTAGAATGCGGCACAGCCAGGAAGTAGCACGAACGACACAATGATAATGAATGAAGATAGAAACAGAGTTCTCAGTATAAGCCTTTTCTCTGATGGCATGAAAGGCAAAACTATGTATGTAAAATGCTGCAAAAGTGCAATGTGGCATATTTACTACATTGCTTTTCTTTTTTTCTTCTAAAAAAAAAACCGATTGAATGATTCTATATTGATTTTTGTTCGATGAAGTATTTGCCAAAAAATTTATTTATAAGGTATTTTTTTGGCACAAGGACATAATTGTTAGAGCATAACATTTGATACAGTGAAATAATTATTTGACCGAGTGAAGATTCAAGAGAAAATGGTCAAAATGGCAAGAGTGTACTGTTGCATTTCACACATAGATTATTAAAAAAAAAAAAAATAGTTAGTTTTTGAGTGTTCTATGATGTCAGTATTAAAACTTATCCACAGATTTGAAGCGAAAATTAGGTAACAGAATTTAATAAATAAAATAATTAAGGGTAAACATCAAACTTCGTCAAGATGCTGGGACTGCAACTAAATCCATTGTGTACATTTGTAATTCTTCCATTTCTTTATTTAGCAAGTGAATCTCTATGGCTTGTTCTGCATTGATCTCGACGTCTAAGTATAGATCAGAAGAATCTTTAGAGCTAGGTATAGTGACCTTTCCGTTCAGTTTAGATTCAGCAGAGCAAGACTGGGCAGCAGTGACTATTATTTCAGATTTGTTATCTTTAAGGTGAACAGTTTTGGAAATAGGCAGCGATGAAAATTTTTCAAAAACTATTTCCTCGTTGTTTGAACTCTGAATCTGGAAAAACATAAAAATACATTTATTTAAAGGGATTACACCAATATACACTACACTAATTCTAGTGCAGTTCCATTAAAATTTCTGAAATTTCCTTGAGGAGAAACGAACAAACCTGGAATGTCCCGCAAACTGGTTTTGTAAATTATCATAAAAAGAGCGATCCTATTGTTAGTGTCCCAATTAAATCTAGTTGAACCTCAATGATAATTAAAGGTGTTTGTATCAGCAGAGCCTATGAGTATCAAAATTCGCGTGATGTCCGGGCGGAATCGTATGACAATTACCATGTCCCATTGCAAACATCTCGGCTCTTACATTGTCAAACAGCCAAATTCTTTGGCTTTGAGCTAATGATGATTTCTAAGTCAACCTGTTGAAGTATCATAGGTTAGGTCAACATTGGGGTTCTTTGGTTGCTTTGTCTAAAGCTTCTACGATTTTCACACACAAAATTATATTACATACCTGAACTGTGATTGGTTCCGTAATGAACGTAACGTCCGTTACAGGCTCTGGTATTGACTTATGAAGATCGCAAAACTCAGTGATAAATCCAGCCTGACGTGCAGCACCTCGGGCTAGAACTTCGTCTGGATTAATAGAGGATAGCACTTCCGCATTCGGGAAGAGGCTTTTAACGTGAGATTGTAATCTTGGAGTTTTCAGCGGTTCTCCACATAATATGACCTAAAAAATTCAATGAAAGTAGAACAATCTTATGAACTGAGAAATCAAGAATACTTTACCTAATGAAGTAAAGAACTTAAGAGAACATTTTCCGCAAAGAATGAGTGTAACTTTCAATTAGTTTCATGTAAAAATGATCCATGGATGGAATTGCATCATTTAATTATTTATTTAAATTATCCACACTGCCATGCTAAGGAAGAACGCTATGTGAACATTCAAATGTTGCAAAATTTTCTCACAGAAAATATTTGTATCAGTGAAAGTTATGCATATTTTTCATTGAGATTTTTAGACACTTTAAATCTGATTACGAATAAAATTCTCTGAAAAATTGGGGAAAAGTGTCGACCAATTTTCCTTAGCATTAGTAAGTTGTCGAAAGTAAGAGCCTGATGCAAAAACGGCTTTTTTTGCCCCCCTCTGGAATTTCTTCAGACTTTGTCCATTGATTTCTCATACTATAGCGCTTCTTTTCCCCAATTTTCAGACTCTCAAAAAATTTTGGGGAGGCGCTGGGGGGATGGAAGGCAAAACCTAAGAACCTCGATATCTCTCGAACGAAGAAAGATATTGAGGTCCAGTTTGGACGGAAAATTGTTTAAAATTGCATACTTTAGGATTTTAAAGGTCAAAATCCCGAAATCACATTTTTAAGTTAACATATGTGCTTTTTTCCAGTTTTTGGGTTTAGAAAAGTTCTTTTGAGCAAAGAACTTACAAAGATCCCAGTTTTTTGTTTGAACCAAAACCAGTTTTTTAAATTGTTCGTCTTTTTCCGCATCCAACGAGTGGTTCATTAAGCTAGGGAACCAAATGGTTCCGGATTTATGAGCAATTGAAGTTTCCACTCAACGCGCGCCGACCGATTTTCGTGCGCTAAAAAGCCGGATTTGACTGTTATTAAATCAGATTGAATGTTCAAACCGTGCAAAGTTCATTTTTAGGGACTCTGACAGGTCGCCAAGTTCAGAAATTACGGATACTTCCAAAAAAGTCACTTATTTAAAATAATACAGGCCCACTGAGCGGCCGCTCGGCGGGCTGCTAAAATAGCACTATAGAGCTATAATTTTGAATAAGTGACTTTTTCAGAAAAAAGTAAAATTTTAACCTTGTCTCTTCTTTTTCCAGAGTTTGATTAGGTTTGGTTTGGTAGGTTTTTTTTTCCCTTTAATGTTCTCTACTTCAATTTAATTACCTCATTGATATCTGTGGCCTGCAATTGTGCTGACTGCAAAGCATCATTGATTGGCGCATCTAAGGGACCAAACAACGATGGGATAAGAGATTCAAACCTAGCTCTAGACATTTGGTAATTGAAATCTATTCCTTCAAATAAAGAGTCTACAGAGACACTTGCGGAGCTGAGGGTAGACAATACTTTGATACATGTTTCTGCTGCTGAACGCAACTTCCTGATTGATCGCTTGCTTTCGTTTGGATCGACTTTGTACTTCCTGAAACACAAAATAAAGTAAAGGAAAGATCATTACATAGTTGATTTGATACTCACAACTGCCCAATCGAAACTCGAATTTGAGTTAACAGGCACATTGCACCCAGGAAGGTTTTACAGATATCTCTGCTCAAAAAAAGTACAAAGCTGTAAAACCAAAATGCAGTTATGACAGACTGAAATACTCGATTCAAAAAGCATGGTTTTGAGGAAAAGGCGTTCCAAGTCATGATAAACAATGTTTGGGGCTAAAAATTGTCTAATAGAAAGAAGCCTTCCAGTGATGTAAAACTTGAATAAGCCACTTTCAACTAGATATTTAGGATACAGTAGAGTCAATCATTTATAGTAAATAACTCCGGCATCAATATTTCAGAATATTTTTATCTCATCATGCTGTCTGCATGAAGTTTTTCTTTCCATGGGTGCCAAATTTTGCAAAAATTACTTAATGATGCTTAATAATGAGCCTAACTTCTTATGCGGGAAAGAAGGGAGGGACTAGTTTTTATACCTTTTCATTTCTTCACAAAAACATTGGATTAGTTTAGAAACCAGCTCATGACCTCCTATATCAAAGTTGGTTTCCGAGGCTAAAATCTGAATAAAACCATTTCTCAGCCGTAGGATAGCAGCATCACAACTCACACCACCAACACGATACACACAGATATACCTGAAAAAAATAAATCATAGATTTTAATGAATCAGCAGAAAAATAAAAAATGTTGGCTCAAGTGTTGAAGAACCCGACACAGAAAAATGTGTTGTTCATCAAACCCATTCTAGAAAGGAAATAAAGGTGTCTTAACAATTTTTCTTACGTAAGTAATTTCTCCTGACTTTTTGCAAATACCCTGAAATTTTCCGGTTTTCTTTGACTGAGACCACCCTGGTAAAAACTCATTGTGCTCAGGAGACTGTAAAGGATATCATGTCAAATAATTATGAAATTTGGTCACTGCCAAAATCTTTTATTTTCTACATGGAGTGGTTTGCAAATTTAAAGCCAGTGCATTCATTGCCCTCCAGTGCAGGGTGAAATTTGAAAGATCTAGGATAAGGATAGGCAAATGAGAGTTATGAAGTTTAGTAAAAAATCTGATCACAGAACTTACTTAGTTTCCGGAGAGGCTTCTTTGAAAGAGTGATACGCTAGTGGTGCCACACTTGGCTGATTCACAATCTGCAGTACTTTCCACCCAGCTTCTACAGCAGATTGTTTGATATACTGACGACTTTCAGCAGAATAGTAGGTGGGAACAACTAGTACACAACATATTTCATCGCACTCTCCGTGAATTGCACTTTTTGCTATGTCTGAAAATAAAAAATATGTAAAAGAGGTTGATTATTAAGAGATGAAGCTGAAGCCACATACAGCTAAATAAATTGGGGAAAAAATAATAAGATTGTTTATGGTGGTACATTCAAGAGACATTAAAGGGGATGGCAACCCTAGAATCGAAAATGAGATAGTATTAAAAATTCAAGTGGGAAGGTATATGAAACAAAATGGCTCTGTCCCGAATGAAAAATTCGCAAATTCGGCGAAGATATGAAAGATTGTAAGTCTGACTGGTGACGTCATGCGCTCCTGGTGCGACTGCGGTTCACACACACACAACTTGAAGTCTGGCGCATTCGCTGTCTGGTGCCACGAAGTCGCCTTAATAGTCACACCTAAGCAAAGAAGCGGAAGAATAGCGGCTCAACGAATGTAGATATTCGCAAACAGATTTCGGCATCGCTCATTGCACACTTTTCTTCGCCGATTTAACCAAACTTGTTCAAGGCAAACATTTATTTAGAGAACTTGCATACATCGTTTTAAAATTGCTTTCAGAAAATTTGGCCACAAACTTGACTTGTTTGTCCTGTCTTACGGGAGCAGGAAGGGTTCATTTTTGCCCTGAATCCTTTGTTGTTGCAACATATCTACTATGAACGCATATTAAAGTGCTGAAAAATTCACTTCTCAGCCTTGTTTTCATTGAAATTAACACACAGCAAGGTCCAATTTCACAGTCTATTGTCTTGAGAGGAATGTAGAGAACATGAAATAAAAAAAGTGACCGAGCAATAACACGTTTGCTTTCCTTGCCAAGGCCTTTTCAGTAAAGGTCCATCTCTGCTATCAGGTACCTCAATAAAATCTTCACTAAGTCAAAATTTAGTTGTTGTTGTTGTTGTAGTATGAAAATAACTTACTGTACAGAAGAGAGTAAATACTGGTGTTAATCATTGCGGGTGTAAATGTTTTTGTTTTATTTCCAAAATTAATTTCATATGCAACGTGGTTGGATTTCTGTATAATTGTGCATGGATTCTTTGCAATGATTGACTCCAGATCGCTTTCATCCAGACTAAGATCCATTAACAGCTTATTGTTCGTAATTATTGTGCCAGCATTTGTTTGAGTTATCATGCTGGACTTGGCAGCATTTCCAACAATCTGGAAAAAAATGAAGGGTTGGTATTTTGATCAAATTTCATCATGATATCAAATCAAATTAAGTTCAATTGAATTAGTGAATATTTAATAAATCATTTTCGGATGGAAAAGAAAGTTTATATTTTTACTGAGCTTGCATAAACAGATAGATTGTTAAAATTATATATTAGTCATAAAAACTGGGTACTCCAGCTTAGCAAAGATCTAGGTTTTTAGCAGAGAAATATAGATTAATAGAATAAATATCTCAGAATAAAGATGAATGAATGAAGCACTAGCTGTAAATGGCAACAGCCACTATTATAGGCAAAAATAGCTTTTTCAAATCTGCCATCTTTTAGGAGTAGGTATGTGTAAAGTTTCATACTTTTCAATTTTCCAGCAAAAAATGGCCTAGGAAGAAATCATTAAGAGCACCAAAAGATAGCGGATGTCAACATCTGTAGGTTATATATGTGACATTGGTGACAGGTCTTGTGTAAATTGGATAATGATTTGATTCAGAAATGATGGGTGAGCGTTTACATGTTTTCTCCAAAAAGTTACAGCGATTTGTTCATATTTCCTGAGGGAGTTGCCAAACATTTGGTATCTTATTTTGAATTTTACTAAACATTGACCATTTTGCATTTTTGTGTGAATTTCAGTAAAGTTTTGTTCCACAAGCTCCCTCACGAACAAGTCTTCAATGCAAAAGAAGTGTTATCTGTAAAAACAGCGGATGTTCCTTTCTTTTGGAAATCACTATGACTTACTTAATTTTGCACCTAAGTAAATACATCATCAAAGACATATCTTTCAGAGGAGTTACTCTTCAAGAGAAAATCTTAACGGAGTCCTCTTAGATCTAGGGGTGACAAAGTGCAAAGCTTGGAAAACGTCAAACGCAATTTTTTCGAAACCCCTGACACTCAACATTCACTATTCTCTCACATGACGCTTCAGATACTGATATTATTTTTTTAATTTATATTATTAATTCATCGATAGGTGTAATAAAACAAATTTAAAAAAATAAAAATACTTACCTAAAATAAGTAACAATATGATGTGAATTCACGGCATATGGGTACTAACCTGTTCTTTTTCAGTGACAGCAACAACAGCTGGCGTTGATCTTTCACCAGCAGCATTTGCCAAAACTTCCACTTTGCCATCCTCCTGCAACAGCAGAAATAAAAATTAACTTTCAATATTACATTAGGTAACGCTAGCATATTATTCTTATATTTAGTGCAAGCTTCAACTGTAAAATATATAGCCAAGGACCAAATATCAAGGTTGCCAGATTGTGCAATAAATTTTTGATATTTTGCATGGGTTTAAATCCAGAAAAGTTCTGATTTTCCAGCCCTGTACGGCGACAACAACGGATACGACTAGAGCTTTGGGAATGAGGCTGCTGTTACATAGGTGCACAGTGTGCATGCTTGTACTGAGGTTGAATAGAAACAACAAGGAACTAAGAAGAATAAATCAAAATCTGAAAAACCTAATAACTGCTGCTGATTTCATTTCCATACAGAAGGTTTGTACGTGGAGAAATGCTATCTTCCAAGAGTGCTTGGAATTTGATCAGCTCAAAACCAAGAAATTAGTTAACATTAATTTAAAGCTTGAAGAGCAGTGTTGATTGCAGAGCAGAAGGTTAATAAACTTGGTCTTCCTACAGAATGGCTAGGGATGTTGCTCAAGTAGGTTGCACTAACATAAAGGAACGCTGAAAAGTAACGTCATGCAACTTTCGACTGATAGGTAATAGCATTGGACAAAAGTATCTACGTTTGCTAGGGACCAAATTCGACTGACTCTTCCGAATCTCCGGAGGAGGAATAACTGAGCAAGGTTTAATTGCAGAGATAAAAAACCATGGAGTATTAAAAATTCATAAAAAGAAATTCTTACTTTGCAGATGGCGATGCTGGCGCTTGTATTTCCAACATAGATTCCGAATACTGTAAATCGAGACATAGCTACGAGGTTTTACAGCACATAGATTGGCTATAATGCAGCCACATGAACTTGGGAACTTCAAATGCAGACAAAAATGTAGAAATAGTAAATTTTACAACTAAAAGTCACACACGCACGTTGTAAATAAAACACACGCTGCAATTTTAACCTCAATGTTGATTGCTGATTCAAAACGGTGAGCCGGTCTTTGACAACAACAAATAAGAGGTGTGCTCGTAATTTGAAGATCCATTGGAAAGAGATTTCCTGAGTACGTCACAGAGTGAATTTTCACATTTAAATAAAGCGTAAATAATAAAAATCTATATTTCATTCTTCACTGATTTGCAAATGACGAGCACAAGTGATTGTCGTGAATAAAGAGTGCATGTTGTGTTGTGGTAGAGAACTTGGCGCCATCCCATTATCAGAATGAAATAATCAGTAACAGTAATCATAACCAGTAAATCACCTACATACTATTTCTCAGGAACTATTACTTCCTTTTGCAGAATAGTTCTCGACTCATTGACTGTCACAGCCAAGAGGCTGCACTAAAGTTTGGATCCCATAGTTCAGGTCAGTAAGAGTAACTTATTTGTTCTCTCAACCAATTATTCCTTTCATGCGAAACCTCATCTCTAAGAACCCATGCGTACAAATTTACGCGCCTCTAAAGTGAGTCAGAAAATCTGTCCGGCAGTGTTGCCGAAGAGAGCTACAAGAGTCAGGAGATGCGTCGTCTAAGTAAACTGTTTGGATACAGAATCGCCCGATTCCAAATGGTCGGCGTTGTTGGACCTTGTTAGAAGTACCGGACAAATTGTGTGTTTATGTATAAAAGCCTAATGTTTCTACCAAATGCTCAACGATCGCAGAAGGTCAATGGGACCATTGGGTTGCCTTTGCAAACAGAAGAATCTAACGGAATCGGACAGATTTACTTCGAAAACGCATCTAGAGTTGCAATCCTGCCCATCGGACCCAGAAAGCAAACTAAATGTACTTGCGAACTTTTGATTCGCACATTTCAACAAGTACCTAACCATTCAAGGTGATGTGTCACAATTTCTGGTACTTATAGTCAAATTGGTGTGCGATATGTTGCATTGATTAAGTCAAAAATATTGACAGATTTTGAATTGTTAGCCAAGGTGAAGCCGATGCCTCTGCACGTGAGCCTAAAAAATCCTGAAAATTGGCAACATCCAAAGAAGTGGAAGCAGGATCCTTCTTGGAAAAAACTTTATCATCCGAAACAGAAACCAAGAACTGTGTTGAAGGTGAAAGTTTTTTCAAAAAGGATCTTTCTTTCATTTTTCTAAAATTTGCCAATTTTTTATTTAGAATGATTCTTTAGGCTCATTGGAGGAATTACTTAAAATTTGAAATCATACATGAAAGAAAAAGATAAGCTCTCTAGTTTTCCAAGGTGTAACAGAATCCTTGACCCTCTGGTTTAAGTCCCTTATATCATGGATCGGTCCGCAGTAATCGAGGGGCCAGAAGCAACTGGTATCTATTCCATGGCTCTGCATTTAAGTGATTCAAGTGTCGTTTATTAACATGTGAGTGTGTTATGTTTCTGCTTTTGGGTTCCTGAGATGGACCCAAGATGTCTCATTCTATGAACATGACGAAATTCCCCTTTATCCCTTGATCACTTGGAACCAAATTTGTTGGAGTTGTTTCTCCAATTGAAAACCCGTCAATTTGGCTCAAAATGGTAAGATAATCCCCTGAAACTTCTTCATCCTTCTGTTAGGTTTAAGATTTATTATTAGGTAACCTCTAGAACTTAGAGTAAAAATCTTTTTCTAAATCAGTAGGTCTATTATAAGTAGTAGTTTTTAACTGCAATTTTATGAGGTGTTCTTTATTTCATTATTTCCTTTTTGGTTTTTTTTGTAGGAACATGCAAGCTTTCCTTAAAACTGGGAAACTTGGGAAAGATGCCCCTTCCTCATCATCAGCAGAACCTGGAACATCTCAGCCTGTAGTGCCTAAACTTACCCCTTGGGTGGAAAAATATCGACCACGGACAGTTGAGGAGGTAGTTGAGCAATCCGAGATCATCAGTGTCCTGAAGCAAGTTCTCTCAGGAGGTGACCTCCCGCATTTTCTGTTCTATGGTCCACCAGGCACAGGTAAAACAACCACTATTCTTGCAGCTGCGAGACAGTTATTCGGAGATATTTACAGGGACAGAATTTTGGAACTCAACGCCTCAGATGATCGAGGAATTCAAGTCATTCGTGATAAAGTTAAAACGTTTTCTCAGCTAACTGCAGCAGCCAATAAACCTGATGGAACACCATGTCCGCCGTACAAAATTGTCATCTTAGATGAAGCTGATTCCATGACTCATGCAGCCCAATCTGCCCTTAGGCGCATTATGGAGAAAGAAACCCGCACCACCAGATTTTGTTTGATTTGTAATTATATCTCTTGTATTATTCCTCCAATTGCTTCTCGATGTGCGAAATTTAGGTTTAAACCAATTAAAAGTGAAAAAATAGAAGAGAGGCTTGAGGAAATTGCCAAAAACGAAAATGTATCATGTGGTAAGGACACTATCAAAGTACTTGTTGAAACATGTGGAGGTGATTTGAGGCGTGCCATCACATGCCTCCAGTCTTGCTCGAGGTTGAAAGGAAGTGAGTCTGTTGTGATGGAAGATGTTCTAGAAGTCACAGGAATCGTTCCCCCTCAATGGGTAGAGAAGTTCATCACTGTCTGTAAAAATTGTGATCATAAGGAATTAGAAATTTTTGTGGATGATTTGATTCAGGAAGCGTACTCAGCGTTCCAGGTTTTAGAACAACTGCATGAGAAAATAATTGAGAGCGATTTTACGGATGACCAAAAAGCCATCATCTGTGAGAAAATAGCTATTGCCAGTGGGCGACTGCAAGATGGGGCTAGTGAATATCTACAGCTGATGGATCTAGGTTGTTGTATGATAAACGTTTTATCAAAGAAATGATTTTGTCTTTTCCTTTTCATTTTAAGCTTTCATAGTTTTTTCAAGTTCGCATTTCTGAGCCTTGTACCTGGTATGCTCAAAACCTTCAGAAGCCATGGATGTTTTTTCATCTCTTTATCACTGATAATGCTTCACCTGCATGAAAACCAAGTATCAGAGGAATGCAGTGTAGTAACAGTCATGAAATCTTTTATTTAATAATTGATGTCCCTTTTTTAACCAAAGGAGAGGCAAAAAAAAAATTAAACTTTCTCTTTAATTCCTTGTTTTGATCTGCATTTACAAAGCTGCATTTACTTAATCTCATACCATCATGCAATATCAATTTTTCTGTAATTCAAATTGTCCACAAGAATAAGTTCACCTACTGTTTTACGAGATTTTGTTAAGTTGTGTAAAGAAACTTTTAACAGAATAGGATCCTCTCTTTGAATGTACACTCTTATATTGTTTTTAAGTCACTTATCAGTAGATTTAGTCAATTTAAGTCTGCAATGATAGTATTTTATTGTTCATCTTGGCCGGCTCATAACAATGTGGAAATGTTAATATCAATTGAAGATATCATCTATTACTTTAATTTGCTGTAAAATGAAAGATTATACTGTTATGAAAAAATTGTTGAATCAATTTAAAAAAGGGGATCAATTTGTCTGTCAATACTGGTCCATGTCGCATTCCAATTTCCTTTCATTTAAACACTTGATTTTAAAATGTATGTATTCAAAACTTTTTATCAAATAAATTTTGGAAATTTCAATGTCTTTGTGTGTCAATGTATGGCCTCCGGGTTTCTACGGGCACTAGATTGCTATAGGTTTCTAATGGCATGTATGCCAAAGTGTTGGGGGGAAAATCGAAAAAAAGTATTACCTATATAATTTTTTGGGATCTACTCAGAGACGAGACATTCTGGAGATTACGCAACTTCTTCTAACCTACGGTGTAAAAGTCACTCAAGAAAGCCAATTCTCTGATCCACTTATTGGCGACTCATCGTATTGGATCAACTAAAGCTTCTAAGCAAGTTTTAAGTATGAATAAACTCTATTTTTTATCTTAACGATGAAGAGCACGTTCAAAACGCTAATTACGGAAATGCGTATCTCGTGATAAAATATCATTTTCCAATCATACAATGTTTGATCTGGCCATATGAGATCAAACTAAAGCTTATCTGATTAGGAATTGTAAGCGTGAAACTCTTTTTTCAGTCTTTAAATGATCCAAATCCGCCAACAACAGGTTTAAAACACTAATTGCAAAAATGCGTAACTCGTGATGAAATGTCATTTCTTAGTGCCGAAAACGCGAATCTCGGCATTTTCCCCGTATTTTCTAACAGTTCGAGAAATTATTCAAAATGCTGATGGAGTCTGAAAAAGCATCTTATTCTTGCTATCCTCAAGAATTATTACCCTTCTACTAACAATAAGGAGGAATGTAGACAGTTTTTTCACTTTTTTGGAAAACCGTGTTTTCCGAGCTACACACTTCTGCACTTTCACCATCTGTAGGTATATGAACGCAGATATGTGCAACGTCGTAATCGAAGATATGCATTTCTCGACCTCAATCATCGATATTCCTTTAGCAGGCAGACGAAATTGAAGGCGCCTGGGCAATGTTCAGATACAACTATTCGTACTCATGGGATGTCCGTGTGGCATACACGCAAAATTGCAGGCGCTCTGTTTTCCTTAATGCTAACTCTTAGCCACCGCCTCTATTGTTGCTCCAGGGATGCTCCTGTTCCGCATAGTCATGCAATCGCATTAACTGTTCCGTAACAAACCTCGGAATTTTGATGAGCCGTGTAGCATCACTGCAACGGCAATGTTGCAAAATGGTGCTTATTTAAAGGAATGATTTTGAGAATGCTCGTGAGGAAACGGTTTTGGTAGAATTTATTGCAGTGCGGAGTGACGTGCGGTCGTCAAAACGCCTTCATGTATTCGGGTATGTAATTCTCTTCCGTGACGCCCGAATAGTTGTGTCGTAGTAGCCATCCGTGATAAGGTCTATAAAATTAAACATGATAAGGTATCATTATATAAAAAAATATGAGACTTCAAAGACCGAACGTTTCCTGTCGGTTACGTTGCGCAAACTCCGTAGAAGATGGAGGAAGGGGAAACCCTAAAGAATGGTTTTTCTCCCCCAAAATCTTCGAATTTATCTACTTTTATTACCTCTGAGGAAAATTTTGTATACCGAGAAAGGCAGTGGATCCTTAAGTTTCGTTACAAACTTTAATGTTCAGTTTGGCTCAAATTGACATGGTTGTTTGGCTGCTGGGAAGACAGTTGAGTTGAACGATATGGAAAAACAACCAATTACTCCGTAGTGAGGTTTTGAAAATAGCAAGATCACCGTCTTAACACCATGTTAACATACCATGTCAACACTGCGATGCGAAACATTTTTATGAGGAAGCATGCACCATCATAATCTTCCAGCACTAGCGCTTTTTTGAACGTGCGCATGTTTGGAGACCTTAACGCAGGGTAGAAAAGTAGATAAGAGTAAAACAAATATCGTCATCACCAGGAACAAACACAGTATAAGAAATTTCCTTTCTTCAATCTTCCTCTTCTTCAAATTCGGCCCGAGACTCAGTTTCAACTTAATGTGAGTTGGCTCCTCACAGAAGAACTCGGTCCATTTTTGAAGAATCAAAGCATCAGGAAATTGATAAAGTCGCGATAAAAATCAGTAATAGTTTACTTTAACGGCGCAAGGGGCAACGCTGGAATTAATTTAAGGTATATAAGAAAAAGGAACAATCAAAGTTCCAGTTTATGCTTAACAAATTTCATTTTAACTCCTGGCAGGATGCAACTAATCGGGCTCCGCGGATGTCCGTATTGCATACGCCCAGAGTTGAAGGCGTTTTGACTGTCCGGGCACTCACTAGTCACAGTTAAACCCGTAGCGCGCCGCCGCGCCGCGTGCCGACATGCGGCGACGGTTATCTGCAAGGATCCAAAATGGCAGAACGCTTTCAATTTTTCCTTTATTGCAAGGTGTCTAGCATCAGGATTTTCTCGACTTTCCCGATTATATCAGGATTTGAGGTCAATAAGGATTTAACCCCGATTTCATCAGGATTTGAGGAAAGTCAGCCGTCTGATCAGATTTTTTTATCGAGCTATTTTTGTGAAGTCACATTCGCCTACGCTAAAAATCAGGATTTGGAAAAATTACGAAATCAGGATTTAGCAGTCAAAAATTAGGATTTTCCAAAATGAAAAAAGAAGAAGAAAAAAAAACAAACTAGACAGCCTGTTATACTAAAAAGATATGTCCTAGGCCCGAATGAGTAACATTTGTGCTGCAGTTTTAAAATCGCGATGTCCTGAGCATGATTTATAGAACAACTATTCATGCTTAAAGAGATTTCTCCGAAGTTTAAATGAAGAACAGTTGAAGGCACTCCGTCATAAGTCCTCGCAGTAAAAGCCCACCGCACCACAAGACGAGCCTTTCAGAGAGGCTGGACATGAAATGTTTGACTAAAGCTGCAACTTTGGATGTTAATTTCTGCACATTGTAGATTGTATCAGATGCCGCTCGAAGGAAATTTTACAATAAAATCAATGAAACCACCTCTGAAACCTCTGTGTTTCGTATTGACATCAATAAAAGCTTTTAATGTTGCCCCACTTTGTATGACGCCTCTCGTCAACTCGCTCTACCGAGCGCTGTTGAGGCGGTTTGTGTCTGAAGTCGAAACGCCTTTACTTTTTTGCGTATGCAACACGGACACCATTGGAGCTCGAATAGTTGTATCCAGGCGTTACAATGAAATTTGTCCAGTATCCATCGCGTGCGAAAATATATCTGAAACTTTGATTGTTTGTTATACACCGTAACTTAATTCCAGCGTTGCCTATTGTGCATATGAAGGAAATTATTGATTTTTATCGCGAAATTGTCAATTTCCTATTAATATTTTGATTGTGTAAATGTATAACACCGTTGCCGTCCTAAAATACGAGCTGCACCCTTAAACCTCTCTGTTCTAGGAACAACAAATGGTCGTTTTATGATCTCCTCAGGAAAAAATCGGGCGCGCATCTCTACGTATTACTATTTTTTTTCGCTAAAGAGTTAGAGAAAACTCCAAGAAGCCGATATTATCAGCTGCGATCAAGCGGGGCGTTCTTGCCTCGCGGCCTTTTCGAGTGGCCTCAGGGAAAAATTTCCGCGAGGCACTTACAGAAAAATGCCAAATTTCACGGTGAAATTTGCGATTTGCCCTGTTTTTCCAGGCGGGCAAAGAAATTGAAATAAAGATTACCACATTTGAATATTGCCTCACGCCCCAAAAATTGCGTCACGTGTGCCGGGATTCATGGCTCTCAAAATTGAGTAACTTGGCCACATTAATTGGACTACATTTTGAAATTTGGAACCATAAATTCTGGCTATTCTGGAAAAACACTTATGTGCATAGGGAAACTAATGGCACATACGTTGTTTTTAAACTGGGCTAGAAGCCATAGGTCCAAATTGCAAAATGTACTCCAATTGGCTGTGTAAATCCACGGTCAGGGCCGGATTTAGGGGGTGGCCACATGGGCCGCGGCTCATGTCGGCAAATTTAGGGGGCGGCAAATTTTGCAATTTTTTTAAATGTAGGTTTAAAAAAATCGGATTCAGAATAAAAAACTACAAACGAGATAAGGCAACAAAATCTCTCCTTTCCTGAGAGTGTAGTAATTTCTATTTTGTCGTCTTTCGGTGATACACGAGACAGCGCGGCGTGACGCTGAGAGCAATATGATGACGAGGACTTATTGAGATACAAAGAAGCCCTCAGCGCGGCGGTCGGCATGTAACATATCGACGGTGAAACTACCAAACCACGTATCTCGGTTTGCGACGTCGCAGACTTCCTGTCATACTTTATTTTTTAAATGAAAAACTACTTTACGTCCAGTCTTGAAAATTTCTGTGATTTTTCCTCTTCGTGCGGAGAAAATTCTGTGAAAATTTCAAGGAATGATATTGATTTGGTCTACTTCAAAAAAATAAAATGCGAGCGTAGATTTTTAAACACCGCAAACGAGATACGTGGTTTGGTAGTTTCACCGTCGATATACCTAGTAGCGCCTACAAAACTGCGTGAATACTTCACGCATTGCGTCGAACACAGTGCGGTCAGCAGCGCAGCGGTCGGCGTGAAACGCATAGCGCCTACAAGACTGCATGAATACTTCACGCAGTGCGCCAAACACAGTGCAGTCAGCGCGACGCGGAAGCGGAAGTTGAAATTATTAACCCCCATTTAACGTTTGTTCTTACACAATGTTTTCATACGACGTTTTTCCTGCTCAAGTCGAGGGAGAGCGCACTTAGGAATAAGACGGAAGCTCTCGGTGCTCATGTGTCCCCAGCCGTTTCTTTACGCCAAATCCACCAATTTTTAGCCTCTCAACTTCTCAAGCTTCATCTGATAATTTCCACCGTATTTTCCACGATTCCTTCATAGAATGGCCACCCATAGACAATCGTATCGAAATCATCTAATATTTTTGAGGAGCCTCTTCGGAAACGGTCAAAACGAGCTGCATCTCGAGACGGTGTATCTTTTTCTCCTCACAGCAAAATTTCTTGTTTTTTTCTTTTCCGAGCTTTTACCAAAGAGGGGCACCCCCCCCCCTCCCTCTCCATCCCCCAGTCTCTGCCGAAGGTGGAATCCGTAGGTTTCCAGCCGCTGAAAATGCGAGGCGGGAAGGCGGAAGATCTCAAAAGCTCCGATCTGTTGCATGTCGTATCGCGCCGAATTCACTAATTCTCATGCACTTACAGCCCTATCTGATAATTTGGAGTGGGTCCCAATGAGAGGAGGGGGGAGATGGGTGCGGATTCACTCAAATTTCATTTTTTTTCACCGCGACGAAGGCCAAGAGGCGCTTAATTCGCCAGCGCGACGGAGAGCAATCAAAACTAATCTGTTATCATTTCGGGAGGCGCTAGGTCTCGCGAGCGGGTCCCGCGATCCCAGCGCGCCGCGGCGCCGAGGGGTGGTAGGTGATGCTGCCTCCGCCGCCCGGGGAGGGGGGGAGAGGTCACGTGTGGAGTTTGTAGAGTTGTCATTTTTAAGGATTCCTTCTATTACACGCGAAGACCCCGTAGCGGGCCGGAGGAGGAACTGAACCGAACCGCAAGGAAGAACCGCGCAACTCCCCACGGCCGGCCGGCGCCGGATGCGCTGTTTCCGCCGAACGCGGCAGCACACGACTTGAATGGGAGCGAGATGAAAAACAACACAAGGCCACGCCATATTGAATGAGTGGAGCGGAGGAGTCAGTGGATTCGGTTGTGAATTTTTGGCGTGAGTCCGTAATTTCGTGATAACTTCCGATCCCGCAGCTCGCGGATAGTAAATATTGGATCCTCGCTGTGTTGTGTTAGTTTCGCCGGTTCGTTTCATTTCCCGGGGACGCGAGATTCCAGCCGCGAACCGCTAATGAAGATCGTTTTAAATGTGTAATTCACACCATGTCAGTGCGGGGTATATAAAATCGATTTGTCAGTCAAGTTAACCAAATCTCTGAACGTCCTTGATTGACCTATCCAGGTAATAACACGAACCCCCACGAACAACCCCTTGTGGGGTGTCCTCGTAATCGGGAGCTCAAGCCGAGTTTGATTATCCGATTATTAATTTCGGGAGTCCGTTCCTGTTTTAATTAGAGCCGTCTGAAATTATAGGCTTAATCACTGTCTAGACTCCATTCGGCGGCTAGTCTTTTGTGTTGCCGTTCAACTTTCAACTTTTGTTTTCGATACTTTTCATGATATTTCGAAGTGTAGGTTGTTCTACTGCTAATTGTATTCAAATTTTCACTTAAATCCCGTACCTCCTGAAATTCACGCCACTCTCTCAGCCGTGTTTAGATATGTGATACTTTGTTTACAATCCATCAACTCCAATGTCTGCCAACTTTTAGGGTCATTAGGCTTGAGTGTAAGAGTGTAATTAGCTACAATCACAGCAAGAGCCTACTTTTGCTCCTAGGTCAAGCTATTTGGCCTTTTAATGACTTAGTTTCACTGATTGATATCAACTCTTAAACTGCATTGAGGTTAACGACCCCAGTGGAGACCTGTTTAGTGTTTTTGACGTTATTGTGTTTTATGGCTCACACTCTGAAGGAACCCCAGCTCTTTCTTTAATGCTTTTGTAAGATTTATTCGAGAAGCCAGTCTTGACTTTCCCAATTTTTCATCTTAATCAATTAGTTTAATCCTTACTGCCTTTCTCCAGAGCATCATCTATTCATTCTCGTCAGCGGCTAACCTCACAGTCATCTACCTCCTCCTTCCGTTCTTTTGACTATGTTAAGAATGTTGGTTGCAGATAATTTTTATCTTTACCGAAGTATCTTTGATTATGTAAACCTGTGAAGTTTAACCTCAAAGAAGTTAATAAAATAATCATTTCACTTGTACGTTAGATAACAATCAAGCCAGAATAATTCTATTTACATCCAAAAGATGCAAGTGCAATGAATTTTTAGAACATAATTTTTGCTCTACCTGGTTTCTGTTTGTCAGATTAAGTGGTTAATGTGACTATAGTTACTGATGCATCCATGTTCTCTCAGTCAAGATTCGTCTGGTTCATCCGTGCAGGCTTTACCTGTCTGTTGAACAAAAGCACGACTTTTTAGTTATTTATCTTTTGTTGTTCAATTAAACCTTAAGTCTTCCTCTGTGATATATAAATACAATATGACTTTCTGTTCACAGGTTAACTGAATCCGAAATGGAAGTGGACGATGACTCTGTTGTTGATCTGAGTGTTTCCAGGTATTTGTCCTCATGCATTGTCAATAAGTCACTCGTTCAATTTTTTTTTTTTTTTTTTTAAAAAAAGTTTATTTCACTTCAGTTTACATGAGTAGCACAGCCAGTTGTATCAAAATTTCATAACAAAAGTAAAATGAATCATCCCACCACCCTATAAGTAAGAACTAGTGGTTCCCTCTTCCCCCTCCCCTTCAACAAGTTAGTTGATACTTTCAACATCCAAAAAAGCCAAACAATGCCTGATTTATCTATTAATGGAAGAAGCAACTCAGATTTCCCGTACAATTTTCGATGTTTTCTATAATTTTTCACTTTCTTCTCTTTTTATTATCTTTTTGCTACTGGCCTAGTACTCAGGTAACTTTCCTACTGCATGATGGAACCAACATTTTTTCTCTCCATGTAAACAATTTGCTCATCATTGGGTTAGCAAAAATTTTTAGGAATAATGTAAATCATTGTAGACCAGTTAATTTTGTCTCACTTTTAATACAACTGAAAGCAGAAGTGATCAAGTGGTCCTCAACTTGATTTTTTGATTTCTCACCTTAATTTCCATGTATATTTTTCTTTTTCCACAGTACTCGAAGAGCACCTCCAATTGGTGGTGTTGATTGGCCTGCTCGGAATGAAGCGCACTCAGCCCGACGAAGTCTCCGTCCAAGAACGGAAGTGCCAAGCTATGCAGAAGCTCCTGATGTAGTCGTTGTATCTGATGACGAGCCTCGTGTAAATGGATATGCAAATGGAGTTGATGATTCTGAAGGGAGTGATGCTGAAATGCCACCCCTTCCACCAATTAAAGTAAGTTTGCTTTGATTTAATTTTAGTTTGCTTAATTTAATGCCAGTACGTAAGGACACAGAATTTTTCCCTCCTGTTTTTCAACACCTTTAAAAGCGCCCAAGTAAGCAAGCCTCATGTGTGGTTCTGATCCACCCCATTCATTTCAAATATGAATCAGTCCTAATCAGATATTCAGCAGTTTCTTCCTTGTGCGTGATCCCTGGTCACATTAGAGGTCTTTGACGTTACACATCAGTACTGAATTCAAACACTTTTAGATCACATTTTCCTTTCATCATTTTGCATGTGAGCACCACTAGAATTTCTCTTTTTCTAAATTTTATGCAAAACATGTACATTTTTTGGAAAATTTCAAAATCAACATGAAATCTAGAGTTTAAAGTTAATTGTTCCCATAATAATTAGTCCACTGTAAGTCGTCAATTGCAAAGAAATGAGAGAGAAGGAAAATTAAGTACAAATTGGTTCATGCAGGTATGGACTATTATCATAATATTTCTTTTTAATATTAACATCTTTTTTAGGAGCTGACTCCGGCTGAACTGAAAGAAAGAGAAGATAGAGAACGATTCGTCCGGAAACTTCGGGACGAACTTCGCAATGAAGAGATGACGCTTGTCCTTCTCAAAAAACTGAGGCAGTCGCAGCAGATGAAAGAAAATATAGCTGTCGCACCAACAACAAATGCACAAACTCCTGTGTTACCTCCTAACATCAAGTTGCCAGCCTCATCCTCTTTGCAGATTACGGCCACTCAGCCAACGCCACCTCCTCAGGCACGGCCCAGCCATCAGACGAGCAAGACGTCAACTCCAGTTCCACCACTCATTAGAGGGGTAAGTTCTGCTTTCAAATTCGTTAGTAGGATTATTTTTGAAGCTCAATATGATTTCTGAATAGGATCCTGCAAATTTGATATACCTTATTTTGGAACAAAAAGAAATTTGTAATCCATTCATGGGGATGTTTCCCCTCTTTTATCCAAGACCGACAAAGCTGAAATTGCAAAAACAGAATTCTTTTTCGGGTTTTTCCTTCTTAATAGAACAAAACTTAGAAATGCATCCAATCCATCTCTCATCTCTTAACTTTAATCTCTCTAAGGTTCAGAGGGGCTGAAATATTGGTCAATTTTCTGTCAGCACAATCATCGGTATCTTTCTGCTGAATTTCTTGAAAATGGAAGTTCGTTAGGAGAGCGAACCGCTTGGATCCTTGGGCAATTCAAAAAGGAGAATTCTTTCTAGATCACGTTGTCTTGACCATTTGGGTGAGAACTAAACAACGTAAAGATAGTCGAAATGACTGGCATTGCAATGAGTGTTGTTGAAATAACTGTTCCTGATGTGAAAAGTTCCCAAAACTGAAACAGGTTTTCCCTTTTCAAGTCATCTTCGCAAAATAATATTTTATTTCTCTCTGTTCTAGCAACCTCCAATGCGTAATGGGCAGGCAAACATTGTTCCTGCTGCTCATCTAGGTAGTAATCGAAGCTCTGCTCCTGGCATGCCCCCTAACATGCACGTTACACCCCAAAATATTCAAAAAGGTAAGTAAAATGAGTAAAATCTAAAATAGTCCTTTTGGCGTCAAACCTTTTTTGTCAAATGTTGGAAGCATAGGCCTAAAAGTATTTCTTACATTACAAGTACTTTGTTGAGCCAAAATGAAGATAACAATTAGTAGCGTCTGTTTTAGGAATCAGATGAACAGGAGTGAGAAATAAAAAAAGAAAAATGTGTTTTTAAGGCACCTATTTGATTCAAAGATCTAATCCATTTTCTCCTTAATCTCTCTAACTCAATTGAAAGTTAACTTGATCTATAGAATATCTTGATCCAAACCCAATTAAATGTATTAAGTTAATCGGATTCAGTCTCAACCTAATCTGCCGATCAAATTGAGTGGAAACAATCCAAAATGTATCAATTACCTATTGCGTTTGATCTACATCTAGTTCAGTCTGTTTTCAATGTGAATCAAATTTTATCAAAGCCAAGCAATTTTATTTTAGTATCTTTTGTATACTTGTTCAGCTAAAAAGTTGAAACTGCTCTTAACACTTCCGTGAGGAAAAGTGTTTTATTTGTGGCTGGTAATATGTAATCTTAAATCATAATTACCCTGTATAATTCGTTTTCATTTGAATAATTTGTTTGCTTTTTCAGCCAATGTTCGTGGCCCGTCTCAGAATGTTGGAATGAATTTCTCCAATAGCAGTCCAGGGGATCGCTTGAAAGAACAGCATCATGGACCTAGTCCTCAACAGGTATGTATCTCATTTATTTTACTGCTTGACTGTTTTTCTTTTCTATTTTATTCTAAATTTTTCTCTTTCCTTTCTTTGTTTTGAAAATTTGAGTCATTTTTCACCATCAGCTAGCTCTCTACTCTCATATTTTGACTTCAACTCTTTCATGCACTTCAAAATAGAAGGAAAACAAGCATAACATTGCAACTAACAACAATATGGTGGGCAGAATGAGAGCAGAGCATCTAACAAAGCTAGGCAGTATCAGAAAAATCTATAGGAAGACTAAATTCTTACCGTGCGATTCCTCTACATATACTTTACAAGTTTTTAAAATCAAAGAAATCAAACCTTTGAAAAATTCCATTGTTAATTACGTTAACTGAAAACGAAGAGGTCTATTTCTCTTTAGGTCTTCTATGAGGTCTCCGTCTTAAACTGTCACTTTTTTTGTGCCTGCTGGTAGATTAAAAACAGCTAAAGTCAGTAGAATTTCTTTTCTGAAATCTGCGGACACTGTAGTAGTCCTTGATGCTGATATCCAGTATTCAAGACCTAGTATTAAAATCTTGCTCAAATGGGTTCCCTGAGGAACTTTGCTGTCATAAAATGAATCAGTTGCACAAGCTAACCAACTAGTGAGACTGAAAACGTAGTGTTTGACTGTGTTACTTGGAATTGGTTGTCTTTGGCGTCAGCAAAGCTTTGAAATTCAAATGCTCTGAAACGCCAATCATCATCTGTTTTCTTTCTCCTTTTACAAGCTTGCCCCAACTTTGGAAAATAAAATGGCCACTGTGGGTCCCAGTTTACCGCATGTCCAGGAACAACAGGTATTTTTGGTCATTTACAACTTCAATATTTCTTTGTCAGTACTAACAGTGGAGCTGATTTGTGCTTTATTGATGCAAATGAAGGAAGCTCAGACCATCACGGAATATTTCTAGTCCCTCAACTAACGGAATGAGATCCCTTCTGAATTGTCTCTTCCCTGTATTCAAAGTCTTTAATATGTTTAATCCGAAAGATTTTAAGTTGTAAAGTGTCTATGGATCATGAGCGATAGCCGCCATTTTACCTAGAGCTAAGTTTCCTTTTTAAAATTTGAAATCACCAATTGAAGAAATCACGATGTTTGTTTCAGGAACGTCCTCGTGTTGAAGATACGCAGACTCCTGCTCAAAGACAGGCAGCTGCCAAACTAGCTTTAAGAAAGCAGTTGGAGAAAACTCTCCTCCAGGTAAACTATTTTAACATCAAGAGAAATAAGTTTCAATAAAGCATTGCCATTTTAGTTAATTGAATAGAATGGTTAATACCTGAAAAAAAGGTTCACGTTTTTCCGTCATTTACAGTGAAATCAATGTCCATCTTCAGCTTTATGCATGAAAAATTGAAAACTGTTGATGTTCGAAGTATGGAAATTTTGATCAGCCTGATCAGGGAAAACTTGAAAAAGTTAGGGAATTGCTTCTCACTGAGATTTTAGACATCCCTTAGCCTTTATTGCTTTTTTTATGAAAATTAATTTGGTATAATTTTTTTAAATAATATCTTAATTTTGAAGTAAGACTAGAACTGTCTTGAGAAGTTCTTAGAACTTGCATTAGATAAGTCGACCCTTTTTAACTTCATGTTTGCAAACGACAGCGCTGTCGCTGTATGCAGATAAGTAAAACGGAATACTGCGTATGGCAGTTTCAAGCTCTATCATAGACTAGTCAATGGTCATATCTCCCGATCTTCATTACATTTGCCTTCAAATTAGATTATATTTGAATGCATACTTAAAGTAGACTGATTTAGTGGCTATCTCATTCAATACAATATCAAACTCTTGGTCCAAACCAAAACAAATAATATAACCTTACATAACCTTCATGTACTTATTCTTCGTGAGTTAGTCATTGACAGGTCATAAATCAAGGACTCATTTAACACGAGAAATTTCTAATGTAAGAAATGCTTGGGCACATTTTACCACCATGACACAAAGGACGCGAGTCAAAGACAAAGTCGTGTGTTTGTTCACAATTAAAGTATGATGGAGCCACTAAATCAGTCGGATAAAAACTCAGGTTATTATGACTTTCTTCCTTCTGAATGATATGATCTTCTCTGTTTCAGATTCCTCCACCGAAACCTCCTCCACCGGAAATGCACTTCATCCCAAATCCCTCCAATACGGAATTCATCTATCTGTTGGGTTTGGAATATATAGTAGATTACATAACCAAAAGTCACGAGAAGACCCCTCCCACGCCTCCAGAACCTTTCCGGTGCTCTCAGTGTTCAACTAGTTTTACTCCTGTTTGGAAGTGGGAGAAAAGTACTGTAAAAGGTAATTATATTAATTTTTCATCTCATCTTTTTTTCTCAAATGAGGTCAGCCGCGAGGAAAGCAAGATCTGGTAAAACTTTCATTGCGTTCTTTTCCAAGAGCACTGACTTGAAGATGAAAAAGTTTGATGCGATATTAATGTTTCTTCTAACATCCTTCTTATTAATGACGACATCCATCAAATAAAGCATCAATATCACCTATCGAGTTGGTGTTAAGATGATATAATTTCTGTCAAACTGAAAGGTTTGTGAGAAGATTGGTCTTTCACACAGCCACTTAATAGCTTTCATTTGTTTCGTAGCTGCCCCTCTATAACAGGGTGTCTTCCAAAATTTACTTCTGGATTTTCCTGATATTTTCAATTAATTCAGGATTTTTAAATTTTCCTGATTTTTTGCGTGAATAAATTTGCACTGGTTTAATTTCTAAACCAACATATTTAAAGAATTCAGTCAAATCCTTAAGGCACTCAGGATTGCCTGATCCATGACAAATTTTATTACTATTCCGAAGACACCGAATTTCCTGACGTTTTCCGGTTTGTACTGAAGATAGAAACCATGTACTAAAACTTGAATTTCAGTATATTACAATTTTCTCTTTTCTCTCTTGCAGGCAAAGATCCTAAAGTCATTTGTGAGCAGTGCGTGACTACCAATGTCAAGAAAGCTTTGAAAGCTGAACACACGAATCGCTTGAAAACGGCTTTCGTCAAGGCGTTGCAACAGGAGCAGGAGATCGAGCAACGGCTCGCTCAGAGCTCTCCGCAACCTCCTGATCCGCCTCCATCCGTTCCTGCTCCCGCACCAACTCCCACGCCCAAAGCATCAACCCCCAATCATAATCATAACCACAACCACAGTCATAGCCACAACCACAACCATAATCGCGAACACCACCCTCCCCCTCCACCACCACCACAAAGGCGGAACCCTACCCCACCCACGCCATCCCCTGTCCCGTCTCCCTCTCCTCGTGAACATCCCCTGGCCAAACTGGCTGCTGAAACAAATAAATTCAATCCGCATCATGCCGCTGCTGCCCTGCATCAGCAACTGCTTCGCGGATTACCTCCGCACCAGGCTCCGCTCCCTGCTCACATGTTGCCATTCTCCCACCTGTTGTACCCGTACCAACTTGCGATGGCACAGGCTAGTGGAAAGGGATCCATTGCAGCGTTGTCCCCTGCGAATCTGGCTGAGCTTCATAGGCAAGCAGCAGACCTGCAGCGGCAGTATTTACTAGATCTTATTCCTAACCCGAGTTCTTCGCGATCCCATGGGCAATCCCATTTGAACAATTGGAAAACGTGATAACCTTACCCGTGTATTCTGGGCATTTATTTGACAATTGAAATCTAATTCCTTGTTTGTTTGTTTCCTCCATCCATGTAGTAATGTCTTATCCAAGCTGCTCATTTTTTCTCTAGAACGCCAGCTCTGCAAGCTGAAGGTGTTATCTTTGCTTTGACGAGCAATATCTGCTTCTCTTTTGTCCTTTTACAATTGACATCTGCATTTTTTGGCTTTATTTATTGAAATTTTTAATATGAATATAAATGTTGAAGAAACAATTATGAGAATTTCTTGTAGTAAGTAAGCTACCTCTATTTCAGTGTTCTGCCTTCCTCCTAAAATTCTCGAGCCCTCTTTGGGGGAAACCCCAATCCTAGGAGCGTAATTAACTTTTACTTTAACTTCACGCATTCGCATGAAATTTTTCTGCTGGGCTGAAAAATTGATAAGGTGTGTCCACTTTTTTAGGAGCCACAATTACCCAGCCTCCCAATTTTTAGGCGCATGGAGCTTGAGAAAGGCAGAACACTGCTCTATTTAAGGGAATGTTGTCTCTTATTACTAAGCAACCGGTTAAATGTGAGGTCTATAAGTTAAGAATTTCGCCTAAGTTATAGAAGAGAAAAAGAAGAATTTGAGCTGTGGAAAAAGAGAGTCCAGATTTAACTGGGAATCTCTTCATTTTAATTCATGCAATAAAAACCTAGAATTAAGTAGACTAATCAGCGAGTTTCTGAAAATTTGGTTGATTTTTTTTTGTTTTGTACATTGTTATTGAGCAATTGTAAATGATGTATGAAAAATCATCTCGACGCATTGATTAGTCCCTTGTAATAAATGTAATGTCTGTGATTCCAAATCGAAGAGGTAATCCATTGATTACTTAGATGAATATTTGTAAGCCGCAAGTATTTAGAGAAACTTCTTGGGCTCTTTTGGTATTGATATATTTTTGACAGTAACGTGTATTCTTCGTTGTTTCCTATTGCTTTTTATATGAATGTATAGATTTTACATTGTTTTTATTATGATTATTTTTTACAATCTGTTGTTTTTTACCGCTCCTATGTAAGAATTCGGCGCATTGTAAACGATTCTCCTTCCTTGACCTGCGGCATAATTGTTAGCGGTCACTTCGTTTATTCAATCTGTCATATTTTTTGTCAGCACCCTATCTATCTTTCATTAAGCCACCATAATATTAGAAAGTCTGGCTCTTTATCAATGGCACGAATCAAGTGTCTTTCCATCACTGCAAAGTAGCAAAATGGACTATCATTGAATCCTAAAAAAATTAATGTATCTTGGTTTACTTCTTTCAAGCGTAACTAAAAGATGGTGTTGGCTAAACCATCTATGTAAGTTCAAATGAAGTTCGCTGTAAGGTATTTTCAGCATTTTCCTCTATGAACAACATTCTGAATGTTTTAGCAATCTCTGTGTTACTAGAATGAAGCCTGTTAAATGTTGAGTAACAGTGAAAATTAGTAAATGCATCTGTTTAGGATAGAAATCAAGAAAACCAGTGATCTAATTGTAAAAATATTCCGCCTGCATTTCCCTCATTTGCTGGTTATCTTTATCTTTGCGCCTCCCGTTGTTTACATGTTTACCCCGCACATTGATATAAAATGCTCTCAATATGTACTATTAATTTTTTACAATTATCCAGGCAAAGTGTAACATGCGTAACATTACATAAAGACAAACATCTGGAACTTGAATTAGATAAGTTTTCAGATTAACTGTGTACTCATAGTTCCTGTCATCTCCCCATTATCATGACTTAGTTGTGTAGTTCATGACCAGTATTTCTATATCAGTGTTAAATCATTTGATAGAAGTAAGTGCAAAATCAAATGCTGAATTTAATCCAAACAAAATCACTTTCCAATTAAGTATGTGGAATTTTCAGTTATAGCACAATTAAATTACTTCAACAGCTAGAATCAAAGATCGTCGCATGATGGAAAAATTGTATTATCGCAATGCAAGTGTTAAATACTAATTATCTCTAGTTCTACCTGCAGTTCATTAGACACTGTTTTCCTATCCATTGTGGTTGATGTAGTGTGATAAATTCTCACTGACATTGTCCGTTTGTGTATAACGTCATCTAACTTGGCACCCTTCGGAGTCTGTCAATTCTTGTCCCCTGTCTTCAAATAGTTTTTAGAATATACGTTACTTTGGTCTTTTTCGATAGCACAATTTTACTGTAGTACATAATTGTTCATATTTTTAAAGCTGTCGGGAAAATGTTTTTTCTTGTAAATAAAAAGCAGCAAAACTACTTTTTCGTCGTTTATCTTTGCATCGATCCGTAAGATTTTACCCCTTCCTCGCTTCGCCCATTTTATCAGGAAAAGCGTCTCTAACAATTAAAATTCTCCTAAAGTGAAGGGAGAAATTGGGGATCCTTGAAGAATTGGCTAAAATAAAAAGTCAACTGCTCATTGTCAAATTTAGTAGAACAAATTACAACTATAACACTGCAAGGAAAAAAACAAAAAAAAACAAAAAAAAATTCAAACTACTCAGAGTTACTTTTTTTTCATTTTCAAATCAAAGAATAATCACTGGAAATTTCAATCTAATCCCTAAGAAGATTCTCATTTTAATAAAATAGAATATCTGCAAAACATACTAAAACAGTGCAAATCAGGATACTTTCCCATGCGAGAGACGGCGTATAGGTACTGGGAGTAAGAAAAAAGGCCTATCAATTTTCATTGAGGTTCAAAGATGGTCATTTGACAAGATAAAGAGAAAACAACAGTCTTGGAGGACAATTTTATGTTCTTAAACTTTATCAGGAAACAGTACCCAAATTGCATATAAACAATAAAAAACCAGATTTTACAAACTAAAGACTAGGTTTCAATTAAAAGTACCTTAAAATAAAATGGAATGAATGTACAGTTACAGTTCTGTGTGAACAGGATGTGAATATGTATTGAATTGCGCTTTGAACTCTTCATTTGGATGAACGAAGACTCCTTCCATTGCTTTCCATGAGATCATGCTCTTTTTAACTCTTGAGTCGAATCCAGCAACTTCGTACTGGCCAGTGATAGGACGGTTGTAAACTTTGGAGCTGACACCAAGGAATCTGAGTTTTTCACAGAAAAAAATCATTTGTTAAAATTAAAAATTGAACAGCATAACATCCTTCTAAGAAATTAAATTTAATTTGTTCGAGTGGACACAAGTATAAAATCATAAAAAAATTCAAGGAACTTAATGCACTTATTCAAAGGAAAGAAAATTGAATCTAAAATCGAGATATTGGAAACTTCAATTGATAAGAAATTTATGAAGAGAAAAAGGTGGAAGCAGTTAATTTAAGTATTTTCATCAACTGCCTGAGTGATAAACTGCATATCTTCGTTTGCGACATTGCAAACTTCTTTTCATACTTACATTTTTCTTCAGAAAACTAGCCAACATAACTTCTTGGAAACTTTTGTAATTTTTCTTGTCCGCTAGCAGAATATTCGTTACAATATAGATTTAAAGCTATTCAGTTGGCTTGTTTCTCCTCGAAAAAATAAAATAGGAGTGAAAATTTTGAAACACTGCAATGGAGATGCATCCGTTAGGACTGTGGCCATTGCTACTTTATAATTGTTGAAATTTGATGAGAGACACGGGTGCAGAAACTTCTGCCAAAAAATATGAGGACCACAAGGCAAATGAGAAAGCCAGTTTTCATTGCCTGGCATGAAAATTGCACCTTCTTGGCAAGAAATTGAGGCGATTCGAAAATAAAAGGCAAACGGGGAAAAAATTTATACTTCGGAAAAAAGGTTTCTGAACTTAAATGACTGGACACTTTTTGCATTCTTGATCAGTGATTTATGCCCAACTTCAGAACTCTTGAAACCACTGATTCAAGGTAACAAAATAAAATTATTAATATGCTATAAACAGGAAATCAGAACACAACATACTTGTTTGTGTCTACATGTCTTAATTTTATCGTGTCTCTCCTCAGCCAATCGCCTGTGTCACAGTAAACTTCCCAATGGTCTCCAGAGTCACCCTCTCCATTTTTACCATAAGCAGACACCTCCTGATTTCCAGAAAGTGGTGATGGAAAGAGATGGGAGTGTAAATTCATCTTTGTTTCTAGGTGCAGCAGTCGGATTATGTCTCCACATTTGACAGCATCACTGAAATGACAATCAGAGAGTGAAAATCCAAATGTATACAGATCAATATATTTATGAACCCAGGATTTTGGAGGAAAAAATGACGAAACTTCCAACTGCAAACATGGTTTTTCCAAAATTAAGCTACCATGCTCCATCCTACATCTTTAGAAATAAAAAATAAAAATAGTTATTTTAAGTAACGATACCATCAAAAAAATTCCTAACAGTTATTAGGCTTCATAAGCATTACATAGGAGATTCGAGAAACAATATTTTGGTTTTTTCATGGCTAAGGTATAACTTCTTTTTCAAAAGCTATTTTATAGATCAATTTAGGAATAAAGACTCTAGTCAAAAATTTGAGGGATCTTTTCAACAACTTGATTCATCCCTGAAATTCAGTGATTTTGGTTATTATTTTATCTTTTAATGTAAATGGTGACGGTATTTGATACACTGAACCCTCCAGATTGGAAGAATGTGATTTCTTTGACAACTCACAGACAAATAATTTAATGACGCACGACTGCAACACAAAGTAAAGAGCTGCTCTATAATGTCACATTTCAAGAGGAAGAGAGAAAAGGAGAGAAAGTATTATTACCCTCTACTACGATATTGCGCCATGGCGGGGGTGATCGCCCAATGCGAATTTACATCCTCTTGCAATTTTGTAGCTGTCACCGACTGCTGACCACTCCCTGTTCCATATTTGATGTCATGAGAGTGAAGGCGGACTTCAAACTCTGGATTCATGAGTTTAAGGACAGATCCATAGGTGACAAATTCTGCCGAACGCCCTGAGAAAACATAGCAAACATCCGTTGTACACTTTGATCTGATTTTACCTCAAATTAAGTAGTTAAAGTAAGTTCAGGGTTGAGATTAATCCGCAAACTAAGAGCAATAATATCTTCATTCAAAACTTACCGCTATCTACTTAATTCACTCACTTAAGAACAAACTTAGGAGATTGGGAGACTGATCATTGCTTTATCTGCTTCAATTTGGAAAAATTCACTTTGGTTTGTTTACAAAGAGGACCTAGCACAAACAGTGATATTAAGCTGGCGGGTAGAGTATACAATGTAGTTGGTCATCTCAAATTTGAAGCGAAAATAATCGGCCGAGGCAAAACTAATCTTCCTTTCCACAAGACTGCAACAGGAAAATGCTAAAAAAATTTTGAAAGAAGTGCTGAGCACGAATTCATTCAAAAATTAGCGGTGCTTCATCTTCTGGTGAAATACTTTTGGATAGTTTGAATAATTAGGAGCGTCAGATTGACAGTGTTTATCGAGTTGAAGAGTACACATTTCAAACCCCAATAACTCTGCTACTATTCGTTTTAAGATACTAAAATATTTTGCTGGTCATAGCTTACAATTGCATTTTTGTTTCTGAAAATTGTATTGCTTACTTTAGAGTTGTGTAAGGTAAAGATCAGTTTAAAGGTGAAGTGAGATGGGTGAAGTGATAGCGGACCTTTAGAGCATCCTTAAGATCTATTAAGTACAAGAGATGAAATAAAATAGAACTTACTAGCTTGAGCTCTTAGGAAGAGGAGGCATGTGTGAAATAAAACACTTAAAACTTTTAAACTAGGATTAAAAATCATCTTAAATTAATTCACAAAATACTTGTTTCAAGAATGCATAGTCGCTGATTTGGAAACATAACCTGTAATCAACACGATTCATAACAAAAATCTCCACCAATCACGTCACAATACGTTGTCGGTGAGCGGTGAGGAGTCTTTCGTCCAATCGGAGGCCAGGAACTTTTGATGACTCTTGTTTTGTTTTTGTTGTCATTTCTTATCAGTATCAGTACGAGCTCACCTGTTCAATTTGTTGAATTTCAATATCATTATCATTATTATCAATACCTGTCGAAGTGTCAAGCTGTCGACAGATGTAAAGTTCTGTGATATTTTCTCGCAATGAATAATTTGTCTTTTTATTTTAATTTCAATTTTATTCCCAGTTTTTAATGATGTCTGTTCTCAGTGATTTTGAAAAGGTTCCTCAATTTGGGTGGAAAGTTAATCTTGATCATACGTACGAAGAACACAAATCTCCTTTCTGTCTGCCCAGAATCAAACAGATCATCTATCTTCTTCCTCTGTTGGTTCGGTAAGTATGTTTTGATTGTAATCACTGAGCGTACTATCGAAGGCGGCTTTTTAAATTTTAAAGATACGCTTCTACTATCGTGAAAAATGCAATATGATCAAAAGGTATTCATGATGAAATCAAAAGTTTAAAGTCGCCAGTAGTATGAATCTGTTATAACGGATGCTGGCTTCCAAAGCCTTTCATATGATGTTACCAACTCTCATACATGCTTTTGTCAGGTGTGTCTAAACGAGTACCAAATTCTGTGAGTGTATACCTATGAAACCTCAATTCAACCATACCTAAACGCAGTGTTAAATTTTTATCCGAAACGCATTCACTTCTCAAAAGAGCTGGTATGAACATACCTTTTACCTGTCATTGTTTGGGCGGAACATCTCTTTCAAGTATCTGTTTCAAGTATCGGTCTGCTCGACCGAATAGGACACCACTGAAGAGTCCTGCATTGAACTCCTTCAAGATGATGTAGTCTTTTTTTAGATCAAGCAGAATTCACTCCTAATGGCTGGTGTAAGAAAAAAAAGTGAGTGTTTTTAAGAAAGGGATCATATTAACTCATTCAGAAATTGCAGTTGTTCCAGCCTTCTCAACCTTTTACTTATGTTTAGTACCTTTTTTAACATTTTGCAGACTTTGTTATTAATCCAATTTTGCTTCTTTTTCCCCCTTTTCTTTCTTCTTTTTTTTCTTCCTGTTTTGCAGTTATTTTATTTATAACGTATCATGTATCATTTGTGGAAGAGTTCCTGTGATGGATTTCTTGCGTCTCAGAAAAGCCCAACAAAAGTATGGTAAGTTTTTGAGGAAATTTTTCTTATCTGAGTACAAGGATAACAGTGCTTACTACTCGACAGAAATTAGAATTTGATTTTCCGTTACGATTAACTTCTTGAAAAAGTAAAAAAAAATTTAGAACTAGGTAATGGTAGACAAAATATTTTAACAAATCTCCGGCAAGGTTTAAAGTCTGGTACAACATTGTTTCACTTCAAAGTAAGCAGCAGATTGAGTAAGGATTCTGATTTTATAACTTTGTATGAACAATGTCAAGGTATATCTACAGAAAATACTATTGTCTCTAAAACCTTCTGTAGTCTTGATCAAAATTGGAATTTTGTTTATTTGTATGTTTTTTTTCATTTGTTTTCATGTAATTGGTAATCATTTTTATGTAACCTATCTCTGTTGTGTAGGAGTACCCTTTGGTGGCATTGGTGGAGGGTCGATTGGCCGAGGATTCCGGGGTGAATTTTGCCGTTTTCAAATGATACCCGGGCTGTATGACTATGACACCGCTGAAGCCAATCAGTTCATTTTGACCATTAGAGATGAGGACAAGAAGACAGTTTTCCAGCAAGTTTTATCTGCTGCTGTGTAAGATTACATTTATACTGAAGCAACTGCACGCACTTCTTCCTCCTATTATTCTCAGCTCCCATCTGAGGCCGCAGTATTTCTCAGATAGTATGGTTGTTAAAATAGTATGCTTAGATAATATGGTGCCCTATAAGTTGTTATCGAGTCATTCCTTGAGAATTCGGAATTTGGGAAAAAAGGTTTATATTTTTTCTTTCAGAATTGAGCTGTTCAAAAAAAGTGGCAAAAACTTATTGCGTCAAGCACTCCACGAATCCATTCCAAAAATGTAAAACTAAGAATTTCAGACAAAATAAAAATTGGAAAATGTTGTGTCAATTAACATTTCTTACCAGAAAATGGTCTGAATTTTGGTCATCACAGAATTTGATTTTTGCAAGTTAACTTTCAAAAATCATCAAAATCAATTGAAATTCGTAAAACATATTATGTTTATGGCTAAGTTTTACAAATGAGTAAAAACCATGTTGTTGAAGGAATCGGAAAGTTTTTGACAGCCTTTGAAGGCAGAGATGAGTCTTGCCATTTTTTATGGAACTCCAAAACCCACTTCCCTCCGGTGTAACTAAGGTGCCTAACAGACTTTAACTAAATTTGTCACCCAAAAAAGAAAATGAAAAATTACTGACTTTTGTTTGCTTACTTTTAAAGTTTTAAATAATGCATTCAGTAGATAAAAATTATCCAAAACTTGATTCCTAGGTGTAGCACCTCTAAAATGTTTCTATCTCCATACTTAAATGTAGCTCAACATTAATACTACATCAAGGTGTTTAGTGATTACATTATAGTTTAAGAACAGGGGAGGGGAGAAAGTAACTGAAGCGTGAGATATCAAACATTTTTGTGATCTTTTGTTACTATTCAAAGGTTGTAAAGTGCTTGTGCATTTTGTGCTTTGTGCTTGAAGCAACAAGCTTCCCAAGCCATTAAAAGAACTTTTCATTAAATCAGAAAATTCAAATCTATTCCTAAATAACATAAAAAATTACTTCATAGAAAACCCTTTTTACGAGTTAAAAGAATATCTCGACGCAAATCTCCCCAATCCCTAAATTGCCTGAATGTAGTCCCCTAAGTCCTAAGTCTTAGTTCTTCATTTACTGTTTTTAATTTGTTTGTTAAAATTTTTGTTACATTTATTTGATGTTAAATTTTGTTCCATTATATTATTTGACGAGTGTTAAGCTCATAAATTTGTATGAATTTCATGAGGCTGTTGCATTAATAAAATATATTATTATTATTATTATTATTATTATTATTTTTTTTTCTTGTAGGGAACCCAGAAAGAGTGGTGCATTGTCAAGCTGGGACTGGAATTTTCCCGGTAAAAACGCAAGTTATACTGGTTTGTTCCCTCGCTCTTGGACCGAGTACAATATACCGGAGCACAATCTTAGATTAATTTGTCGCCAAGTTTCTCCTGTTATTCCACACAACTACAAGGTGAGTTTTACAGAAATGCTGCATTGGAAAGGAAAGCCAAACAACTTGTCGATCTACCGGAACAGTTTATTTTTGCTTTTTCCTCAAATACCTCATTCACTGATTTATTAGAATTTGATGTGATCCATTGAAAAATCACCAACAGATTGTTATAACATCAACAGTAATCGTATCTTAAGAGGGATGTTGACCGATATTGCGGTTTTCTTGGAAATAAATATTTACTTTATCTACGACAAGTGGGTAATTTTCAGATCAAATTTCTGCATGCTTCTCCTCCATAGCATAACAGATAAACAACTAAAAAAACCTCCACCTGCGATTCTCAAGATTCGAGACTGATGAGTTAGTAGGTGAATCTGCATGAAAAAGGAGGGATTTGACGGGATGACAAGATTTATTTTGTATTTTTTTCTTGTACTTCAGGATAGCTGTTTGCCAGGAGGAGTTTTTCTTTGGACGTGTGAAAATAATAGCGATACCTTGAAAAACGTAACAATTACCTTTACTTTTAGCAGTGGCTGTGGAAACAACAAACATGTTTCAGGTGTGTAATTCTTCTTAGCCATCCAGGTGTTTCAAAGAAACTATCTCTAACTCAATTATTTATAAACGCACCACTTGTGACCCATCATCTAGAGCCATCTTGTTACATCCGTCTGAAAATCCTACCTTTTAATTTTCAATGATTTATGAAAGTGTCCTTTGACATTAGCATTTTTCTTAATTAATCTAATTATCAAGAACTACTTTTCTTAAAATGATAATCATGCCTATGGAACTATTTTGATTTAGTGTGTGTAATTAAAGTTAAACCCCATCTTCAAGATTATTCAATCATATACACAAAGCTACTCCAGTACTTCACGCTCGCCGGAAATAATTTAGCTGTAGAATTTTTGGTTGTCTCTCGGCTGAATGGCTGAGTTAAGATTAACGCAAATGTAAACAAGCAACAGGAACTGTCCAGTCGAGGATTGTTTAATCTGAAAACAACTAAAGTAGTTGATTTTAACAACGTAATCTCTTCTTTTTTGCACTGAGCTATCTTGTTCTCAGGAGAAAAATTCTAGACTGGTGGTTTTTGGAGTAATTCATTTTTTGAATGTATAAAGTTGCTTTTTTTGAAGGACATCAAGAATACTGACAGAGTCAAGGATACTTCAGCCTGAAAGTTGCTTGACAGTTGTAAATTCATTCCTCAATTAATGTTCTGCAAGCAAAAAGCTTTTCTGCACCCCCAAAAAATTGTAAGCTTACTAAGGGATTTAACCTTTCTTTAATATATTTACTTTATATTATGTTTGTTTCCATCTCAGATTCATGCGAAACAGACTCTTTCTCTTCCAAGGGGAATCTCGCTCAAGTATCAGGTGCTACAATTAAACAGAAGCTTAACAATATGAATTGTTCCTATTCTATAGCTGCTCTCAAAAATGTAAGTGTTACTTTTATCAATATGTGAGACTTGAATGTCATCCTCAAATGTAGGTATCCATAGGTGGAATGGAACTGACAAACGTTATTTACATGGCACTATTATTTTTTAGGTGATACGAATCTGAAGTTTGAAAAAGTTGAGATATTTTACTTTTTCTCTCAGAATGTTTTTGAAGTGTGAGATAGTCTAAACAACTTTCTTGCCCTCATAGTTCAGGGAGAAACAGAATTTTCCAAGAATTACAATTAAATTTTCCTTTTTTCCCAAAAGTAATGTTTTACATACAAATTGAATCAGTGACAAGAAAACACACCAACCCAAAAAAATAAAAATAATCAAGACACACACAAAACTGCACAGCAAGCAAAGAATTTAGTCTAAGACTAAGATTTTTGTTGCCGAAAGATAAGCACTCATGGTCACTTTAAAGGTCCAAATTCAAACAGATGCGCTAACTTCAATGACCTTCATGAAAAATTACTGTCGTTAATGAAAATTGAGCATTTTCAAGCTACCGAGTTGGTGTGTTTTTGTTCTCACCGATTCAATTGGGAGTGAGATAAATCTTTGGACATGCTTTTCGTGGATAACATTTATCATGTTTTTCAAAGAATGAAACCTCCCTCATTAAATGTAGATATGTAATTGGCACCTGAATGAATCTATCTATTTGCTCTCAGACTTGCACAACCGACCCAGCAACTCGCGGCAGTGAATTCGAGATTTTCACCTATTTTTGAGCCTTGTACATACATCTAAAATACAGGGAGAAATTTATTCGCTGCTATTGCATTCATCTAGCAATGTCTCAGTTTCCATATGCAAATCTCTAATGTGGTTCACCATTCCCAATCTAATTACAGGCTCTCTAATTTCTGTAATTCCATCACACTTGCTACTTTGTGCCTCTAAATCTCATTAATTTGAAGTTGTGTCCTTTTTATCAGGTTGAGCAGAATATTACTGTCACTACATATTTTGATCCAGCTGGAAGTGGTGAAACTCTCTGGGAAACTTTAAAATGTGATGGAAATTTGAGCGCCTTGAACCAAACCAGTCATATTGGAAGTAGGTTTGCGCCATCAATCATTAATCTGTTAAAGGATGGTTTTAAGATAGCAAAAAGTGCAAGTGAAGCAATTTTAGATGCTATTTTCCATCATTGTGAGTGAAAGAATGATTATTTTTTCAATACACGGAAAATTAAATTTGCTGAAGTAACATCCCGGATGTTAAAAATCTGCGCGACAACTCTTGAATGTTGATATGAACGCTATCGTTGTTAATTCAACGTAGCTAGGATGTTACTTTAACAGCCAAAGTGTCCATAACAACATTCAAGAGTTTTCCCGCAGATTTTTAACATCTGGGATGTTACTTCAGCAATTTTTTTCTTGTGTAAGACTTTCAGCTCGCATTAAAGTTTAAAAATTAAAGAGAAGTAGTTGCTAACAAATTCAGATTAGATTTCTTTTGTAAAGCCACTTCATTGGATCATATATTTAAAAAAACATATTGCTATCAGTATGAATTCAAGATTCTCATCGCAACAAGAAGAAAAAATGAATTTTATTCAATTCTGTAAAGTAGCAAACTTTTAATTTTGTATACCCTCTCTTTTCTTTCTGGAAAATCTGTTTTAATAAATTGTTCAAAGAATTTATTTTACATATTTTTAAAAGTAGGTTTATCATAGTGATACACGTCTCTAATCTTCCTCTTGATACTCTAAATGGTGAAAATTTTAAAAATAAAGGGGGAAAATTAATTATGGCTATATTGACACATTTTTTATATTTTTATTTTTGAATCCAGAAAATGTTGGTGTAGCTGTTGCCTGTGAATGCCAAATTAGTCCAGGAGGTGCTAGCAACGCACAATTTGCTCTCACTTGGGACATGCCTGTGATAAAATTCCTTGAAAGTCCCAAAACTTTTACAAGGTTAGTTAATCAAGGCTTCCCAATTTACTCAAACCAGTGCACTTCGATTAACAGTTAAGCAGGGGTAAAGAAAACGCAGAACTGCGGGTCATGTTAGAGGTGACAGGTGATAAGTAGGAAAACCACAACTTTCTTTCCCTCTGAATTTTTGCGATGGTCATCATACAAGGAAATATTGTGATCACAATATACTTTGCAATACTGCAAGAAAACTTCCAGACTGAGTCTGTCCAAAAGTTTAGTGACTGCAAGTCATAATTTTACCCCAGGAGATTTGAAGGTATCTCAATCTACTTGTAAGAATTTCAAAATTTTAACCCTTCAACTCATTTTCTATGGAAAAGTGTCCTTTTGTTATGTGCTTTAAATTTTATTTCAAAGCTATCATTAAAATTTAGGAAACTCTCTGAGTCCTAAGAAAAAGTTGGAAACTTTCTAAATCCATAACTGAAAAGACTTTGTTTCTCAGAAAAGAACTTTCTACCTCTTGCACCTTTATTAGAATATTTGTGATTTTTCAATCGTCAAAGCACCCCTTTCGTATATTTGCGAAGTTCAGACAAGCTGAAATATTGGTCAGCTTTTTGTCAGCACATACATTTTACTTCTTTTTGAAACTCGAGGAAAAGTTATGAAGCAAATTCTAGGAATATCTCTAGCATTTTTTAGAATCGGACAAATACGGTACTTGCTTGCTGTACGTTTTAAAATGATTTGATGTCTGCAAGAACAGATTTACTCAGTTCAGATTCAGTGTCTCTTAATTCGTGACTTCAAAGTTTTTTACTTCTCCTTGCAGGATGTTTAATTTCGCTAGTGTGTGCTTTTCTTTTTGGTCTACAACTCTATGTCTTGTACTGTTTTTCACTTTCAAACATTACAGACAAATTTTTTTATCAATTTCGCAGGTACTACACAAAATATTTTGGTTCAGAAGGTAGTAACAGCCCCAGTATGTGTGAATATGCTCTAGAAAATTACACAAAGTGGGAAAAAGAAATTTTTCAATGGCAGCAACCAACTCTTAATTCTACGTAAGTAACCCTCACTAACTCAGCAATATCCAGAGCATTGTAACTAAACGGAGACAAATCTACGCAATGTCTCTAATTTGGTTCCTTCAATTTTTTTATTTTTAAGTACTTATTTTAATTTCCCTTGTCAGGCTCGGCACACATTAGCATGCCATCATTACGCAATGATTAAAACTACCATTCTTGGCTGACAAATGATAATTTCTCCCAAATAAACACATATCAAATCTTATTTAGATTGTTCATTCAATGGCAAACCCTAATTTTCCAGCAAACCTATGCTTACCGAAGCAGGCTGATGATGAAAGTGCCGTTCTTTACCATGTTACAAATTTCTGATTCACCCTAATGGATGCTTTTTCTCCTACCCAAAGTCTTTCATCCTTAAAACAACACTTTTGTCTTTTGTGTTTCTCCAGAACTTTACCCAGTTGGTACAAGAGTGCTATTTTCAATGAACTGTACTATGTTGCTGATGGCGGTACGCAATGGCTTCTCATGGATGATGTAGATGAACTTCCATCTACTGATATACGGTAAGCAGATCACAAAGATTCTGCATTCAGCATGTGTTTTTGTCAAGACGGTCATTAAGGCAGGTTTTTTAATTTCCTCTAGTTTGATTGGTTTTAATGATCTGTCTTGTTTGGGAGAATGGCAAATTTTTCTCCTTTTCGAGAGAAAAAAAAATAAAACAAGAATTTTTCCATGCCCAGGCCAATTTAAGCTCATGTGAAACAAAAGTAATAGTTCCTGTTACTGCTTGTCAAGTAGGAAGGGGTAAAAATGTATCGATCAGTCATTAGGACTCGCTTGTTTTCTAGACAGGAAAGTGTGAAAATGAGTCTGCTCTGCGGAAACGGTAAATTAATTGGAAAGAAAATGGGGCGTGGTGAAGTACCTACGATTTTGGTGCTGAAGACTTAATCATTTTTCTTTGTAGATAAGCTTTGATCTTAAACTGGTATAGATTTTCTGCAAACATTGTTGTGTCTGCTCTGTAATGTAGGCTCATACATTTTTGTTCATTATGGTCTATTGCAAAATTGTTCTCAATTTAATCCAGTGTTCTGTGATATTAATCATGGAAGATCGCATCGTGAATCTGTATTTAATTTTCTTATATACTAATTTTTTTGAGTCTTATCGCTACTTAATGATAAGCCATAAGATTTTGGTTCAAAGGACGATACGTACTTACGCTGGATTATTCTGCCATGCTAAGGAAAAACGCCATATGAGCATTCAGGCGTTACCATATTTCCTTCAATAAAAAACGAACTTCTAGGAAAATTCTAACTATATTTCCTCCAATTTTTCAGAAAATTTTGTTCGCAATTTAATCTAAAATAACTGAAAATTTCCAGGAAGAATATGCACAACTTTCTTCAAAAATACATGTCTTATTCGGGGAGATTTGGCAACTCTCGAAAGTTCATACGGCGTTCTTCTTTAGCACGGAAGTATTGGTGCTCCATGAAAACAGTCTAACATAATAGCCGATAGTAGCTCCTTCATATCACTTTTACAATTACCATAATGAAAGCAACAAAAAAGGGAATAGTATTTAAACAAATAAAAACCATAATCAAATTTATCTCTACCAGAACAGAAATACTATTTAAAATAAGCCAGATCAACCTAAAGACTGTAATATTGACTATAAGTAAATTTCGAGACTCTAAACTCTTTTATTTTTAATGAGCCCTGATATAAAAAGTTGCTCTGCTCTACTTTTGAGGCCAAAACTTACTAAAGCCTTTTTCCTTTGATTTCGACAATACTTCTGGGTTTTGTTTAAGACGTGAGAGTGGCTTCCTGCCAGGCAGTAAATCTGATCATTTCATAGTATGATGTAGGGGCTTTTTCTCAAGCTTAAGGATAAAAAGAAAATTCTTAAGATGAAGCGACTACTTCTTTCAGTGTTCCATTGCATAAAAGGAATCCATAAATTGAAAAAAAAAAGAAAAAAAAAAATTATCCTCTCAAGGTAACAGAGCCACTAAGAGAAGAATCCTCTCAAGGGATATGGCCCATGAACTGAACTATAGCACTCAGAAACGTGCATTATTTGCTAATTTTTTAAATCAGGTAACACAACTACTTTAATTATGCTTTTTATTGTATTTTAGGATAGAGTACGGAAGGTTTGGCTACCTCGAGGGACACGAGTACATGATGTATAACACGTACGATGTTCATTTTTATGCATCTTGGGCTTTGATCCAGTTGTGGCCTCGTTTACAAGAAAGTATTCAGTATGAGTTTCGATCGACAATTGATTATCAATCGCTGGATACAAGGAAGAACTTATACAATGGAAAACCCATGTATAGAAAAGTGAAGCACACCATACCTCATGATCTCGGCGCTCCAGGCAAGCTATTTATGTTTAACATTTTCTACGATAATCACAGCAACGATTTTTTTATTCCAAATTCTAACCCTTCAAATATTTTGGTATTACCTAGAAAGCACTCTGTATTTGCCCTTTTTAAGTTTTGTTCAAACTTGAAGTTTTAACTTCAGTTTCGGTGTAGGGTTCAGTTTCAATTCAGGTAATATCACCCTCTGTTTAAAAAATTGGGAGGATATGAAGTTTTTCTCACCTTTGTTTCATCAATCAAGACAGAATAAGATCCACACCGCTGAGTTCTAAATGCATCTTTGATGAAATCAAGTGAAGAGGAAAGAATCGTGTGCACCAACAGGATCGTTGATACGCCACTCAAATGTTTTTCTAAGTGCGATTTTTAAAGTCTACATCAATATTGGGCATAGAAACTATGAACTTTAGCGGCTCGTTATTTTCAACTAAGTTTGAAGACTTAACCATCAAAATACGACTATCTTACATAAAAAGCTGACTCTCAGCTAATTTCTGAAGAACTCTCTTAACATCGCTGTTTTCTCTTTTCTAGGAGAAAATCCCTGGCTAGAAATAAACGCTTATCCTGTCCACGATGTGTGTGAGTGGCGTGATCTCAATTTGAAGTTTGTTCTTCAGTGCTACAGAGATTATTCGTTGACCAAAAATATCAAGTATCTAGGAGACATGTGGCCTCAGTTGAATTCAGTCATGGAATATTCGCTTAAGTGGGATTCCGATAACGATGGAATGATTGAAAATGGAGGTTTCCCAGATCAGACGTATGATGCATGGACAATGACAGGTGTCAGGTCAGTCCTTTTTGTATAACTCTTGTTCATCAGTAGGGAGACAAACTCTTTTCTTTTTATTTTTTTTAGGAATACGCGCAGCCATAAATAATAAAATTTAACTGGGAAATGTCTTAACTAAGATTTCGTTCGCATTTATTGCCCTAGCTATCTCTCTGGAAATTGTGAGAGGCGGAATAATGCTTGTCGTACTTATCAGGTGGCTAACGTTTTGTGTTATTTTTTGTTTAGTGCTTACTGTGGAAGTCTATATTTTGCTTCCTGCTTTGCCATGAGCAAAATGGGAGAGGCACTTGGTGACGCTGAAGCATCGGCTCTGTACCACACAAGGTTCTCAACTGCAACTGAAGTATTTGTAAAAAAACTATGGAATGGTAATTCTCAAAATTTTCTCTTTTTCCACTTAGATGTTTGAAAAAAAATTATATAACTTCATTTAGTTTACTAAAATAAGCATTTCTTCATAGGAGGAAAATTAAGAAAGAAAAAATTGTTCTTATATTTACGTTTTGTAACACTTAATGCTTAGCCCTTCTTTCTTTTTTCTCCTTTCTTTTCCTCAGTTTCACAAATACAGTACAAAAATTAAGCACTGAATTTTACAAATGTAGTAAAAGCTCTTGTTTTTATAACGAATTTCTCACGAAAAAAAAAAAAAAAAGATAGAAAGAAAAGAAATTGTATTTTGCCATTGAAAGCTGAGGTACTAAGGATTGTTTGAAAACCTGACTTAAAGTATCCATCCTCTTTCAGTCTTCATTCAGCTTGTTTTATATTTTGAAATCAATCAGAAATTAATGAATGTTTTGTTTTTATTTTTTGTTTTGATCAGGCCAGTATTACAATTTTGATTGCTCTAGTGGACCAGGGCACCAGTCAGTTATGGCAGATCAGCTGTGCGGCCTATGGTATTTGCGAGCTTCTGGGGTCAAAGATGAAGTGAGTTATTTGATTCGAATTATTTAATGAGTTTTTTATCCAATCCACCTCTATTGGATCTTCTAAATATGGGTGTTTAAACGAATTCTTCCCGGTAAGCTATCGGTTTCGTCTTAAACTGATACTGGTGGCAGTACCGACAGTGGCGATGATATCGTTAACGGCTGATCTTATCAGAGTTCTGAGAGCTTGCATTCAATGCATTGTTGCCTCGTGTGTCAGTTTGTCAGATTGCCTGGAGCGGCGGCGCGTAAAATAGATGCACACATGGCAACAGCTTATTTTTGTCAGCTCCGAAAATTCAGATTGCTATTGGCAAGAGCCCTCTCATCGTAACTTTTCTTAAAGGAATCGTTTCGGTAGCTTACTGACAACCAATAGAACAGCCCTACTTCTAAGAGTGATTCTTTTAAAGAATCGAGAAGATAGCCAGAAAACTCAACCCCAATCCTGGAGGACCAGTGTCTGATTTGGTACTCCAAGTAAGTCTTCATTAAATTTTTCTTATTATAATTCCAGGCTTAATTTTCCTTGTTTTAGATTCTTCCCAACGATCAAGTCAAGAGTGCTTTGCAAACCATTTTCAATCTGAATGTCAAATGTTTTCAAAACGGCACGATGGGTGCTGTGAACGGAATGCTTCCCGATGGCAGTATTGATGTCTCTGCAATTCAGAGCGAGGAAATGTGGACGGGTGTCTCATACGGTCTTGCCGCATTTTTCATTCATGAGGTAAGGATCTTTTAAGGTCTCAATTTTTCTGAGTGCAGGCTTAGGAGACTAACTTTTTTTTCCGTTATATTTAACATCACAGCTACATCGTGCTGAGATAGAATTGCATAAAAAGGAACATCAAAAGGCTCCATCAAGGCAATCTGATATTTTGGGATACATTTCCACAATTTGCTGATCGTCATTGATACCGGAGTTAGAATTCATGATATTTTATCTTACAATAGTCTTTTGAAAGTTCTCCTCCTCGAATTTCACTGAAGGTACATCCTTATGAGAGAAGTTAGTGTTCTTATTAAGAAAGGGTACCCAAGATTAATTCTATTTCCCATCAATTTTTGCAGAATATGGAATCGGAGGGATTCACTACAGGTGCTGGAGTTTACAAAACGACCTATTACACAACTGGACTAGCTTTTGAAACCCCAGAAGCTTTCTATGAAAACAAGAAGTATCGCTCAATCGGCTACATGCGACCACTCTCTATTTGGGCGATAAATCGTGCATTGACTCCGTCTTGATTAAAAGAGTCATCGAATCTCAAGAAAAATTATTCCTACGAACTTTTGTAAGCTCTTCACTTCTTAAAGTTCTGTTTGTTCCCCTCAGGTATGGCATATGCTAAATCACTTTCTTTAGTTGTAATTGATATATCACCAAATTGTTCTGTCCGTTTGATGATTTGTCACTACAAAGTAATTTTTTCGAACAATCTAGAAGTTAGGGTACATGTTACTAGTCAGAACACAGAATGCTGTATTTAAATAATGAAGACTAAACACTTTTCTCTCGTCAAAAACTGTTGACTCCATTTATGGCGCTTTGAGCCCCTGCTTCAGTGTTTTGAGCCCACTCAATTGAAGAAATGTATCATATTTCCATGTTAAAAAGACTTATAATGAAAGAACCATATTGTCACTTAGAATTTTAAGCAATACACTCTGCTCAGCACTGCGGAGAATATTGGCTTCCTTTTAGCACATGCAAGACTTTTCAATTGCGGTCATCATTTCTGCTATTTTTATTGCAACATTCCAGAATCAAGGTATCCAAATACATACCTTTTTTTTTCAATTTCGAAACAGACTTAGCAATTTATATCTTCTCAAAGTTTTAATGTGAATTTCAATTGAAAGACATAAAAGAAGACTTTTTATTTTGAACTTTAGAGCTTTTAATTTCTGTACATTTAAAATAATACCGAGACTTCATTGCAATTTTGGTTTGTTCATCATAGTTCCAATACTTTCTTTGCAAGTTCCTAGATTTCTTTCAAGTATCAAAAACTGTTAAGGCTGATTTTTTCAAGAATAAGGATTCCGTTTTTGAGCTGATTCTTGCTGAATATCCTTTTAATGTCTACTTAATCAAGCTATAAATACTTGGTGAGCAAGATTCTAAAGTCAGCAAAAAAGTAAACAGATAATCTTAGTCCTTATACTCTGTGTGTTTCTCAGGCGCTTTTGATACCTAGGCTGGAAGGTGCCGAGTTGAGAAATTACGGATAAGTCTAGCATGCCATAAAGGAAACTAAATCGTGGACAGTCTGAATTTACATGATTTCAAGCTGAATTTGGAGGTAATGTTGAGAGTAATAGAACTTGTAGTTGACTGGGGCTAACAAAATCCGAACTCAAGACTCTTCCTCTATAAATTACGCACAATGTAAAGAGAGGGTCAGTTTGAACCTGACAGTCAGAATAGTTTTTTATTTTTATTTTGTTATTGCCTTGTAAGTATTGTTGGAATGAATGTTACCATCATAAAAGTGAATGTACAACCATGTTACTTTCATCAGTGCTTTTGTTAATTTGCAATATAATGCCGCCCTTCTTTTTACCTGAGCAGATGACTCGCATTGCCCCTTTACTAGGTCTAGGTCTAGGCAGAGAACGATGAATTTTTTATGCTATGCTTCTTGAGTTCTTTAGACAATTTCTATTGCCCCAGTCTATTCCAGGAATAATTTCCAAGCAAAGGAACTGTTTTGTCATTTCCTTACTTCCAAATAAAAAGTGAGTAGTCTGTTGAATTCGCCCACTAGTCCGTTGAATTACATATCAGTAGCCTGATACAGGAAGACCCTAACTCCATTCCAGCCACTTCCAGTTGTCAAGGTATAACTTCGTATCAGCTTCAATGATTCTAACAAAAACCACAATTTTTAGAACTTCACATCTCAGAACTGGCGATAGTTCGGATATTATTTTTGTGGACATGGAAAGAATGGACATTTAAGAATTCTGACACACCAATGGCTTAGTATGTACTCCCAAAAATGTGACGTAGGTGCCCTTTTTATTCTGGAATACTTATATGTTCTTTCACTGCAGTAATTTGGTTAATAGGTATAGATGAACTTTTGTACAAAACTGTTGAGGGATAGTAAGACTTGTATACTATTATGTAAATAACATTTTTTGAATAATGGTTTAATTTATGTACTTTTCTGGTGTTTTCTGTGATTATGTGTAAGGCCTTGTCTCCCCAGGACCGTTTCATGAGATTCGCCGCAGGGTCGATTTGCAAGAAAGAACCTTCGGCGATTTTCTGCAGTTACCGTCTCTGCCGGGCAGAGCTCTCATATTTGCTTTCAACAAGTTTGTGTGAGAAAATAAATTAGTAAAAATCGAATAACTAAAGTAATAATTGTAGACAACGAACAATTTAACAAATTATTTAAATGAAATGAACAAGAACAATCGAGTGAACAACAAAATATCATACAATTTGCTTTCACTTCTTTTTTCTCTCTTACTTGGTCTTGGAGGTCTACAAGGACCCCACTTAGTATTACAATTAATTTTGAGTTAGTCAATGTAAATGAAACTTCGTAAGTGCAACTTTTCACTGCAACAAATCGGGAAACGTCTCAAGGAGACAAGGCCTAAGTATTCCTTCAATCGAAATTTTAAATTAATTTCATTATTAATTTTTCTGAATTTAGTTATGGAAAATGGTGAAAAATAAATAAGCATGCACTCATTGATAAAATGATAATAAATTTGATTTATGCTTGAATTATTGCCCTGAAAAGATAGGGTTCAAGTGCCTCAAAAATGTCAAACCATTCTAAGCCTCAAAAATGTTATTTTATATCTAATTAGACAGAAACCTCCCTTTTCTGGAAACTTCTTGTAGCCTGTAACACACATACGTAGAGGAGAATAAAGGTGCTGAAATGAAATATAACTCCATTTTCTGTTTCATTTTAGTTTTTTTTTATTTGTTAGGATGTAACTACAACATGATTTGCCTATTGTGAAACAAATGTATAAAATATTGAAACAACAAATACTTTAATTGAGACAGCTCAGTGTAAAATCATAATGACAATAACCTAAAGGATTTAATTCTTATATAAAACTGTCAAAAACATAACAAAATAAATTTTAGCATGGATCTCAAAGATAAAATGAAGAGTAAAAAAAACACTGATCCATTTGCAGTGGAAAGGTTAATTGCTAAATATTGACTTTAAAAAAAGGGAAAATCTCTGACACATTCCAAGATAAAATCTATTCAAGTGTGCGCTTGAATTGTAAATGCTTTGCAATAAGAGTTGCTGTTTTTATACGGGTGTAGTTTTTTTGAGCCATTGTTTGACTGAAATGAGATCTGAAAAATCTCACGACCAGTTTTTTCCGAGACTGAACTGACTGATATAAATTATGAAAGAGAGAGAGAACATGAGAGCTCAGTATCACATTACGAGCTGAATCTAAAAATTGCATTATTTTTTGGGTCTATCTATTTGGATCATCTATTAATAGATGATCAACCTATCTGAAAGTGTTAAGAAATTGAAGAGGGGCATGTGGTTTTCTCACCAAGGGAAATCACTAGTCAACCGTATTTTGTGTTATTTAAACACTCTAAAGGACAGAGATTTCACATTTTTTGAGATTTTGGAAGGAGAAAATGCAACTTGAAAATTGTTTATTGAAAACAATTTTAAAAATTCCCCTTAAATGAGGGAATTAACACAGATGGAGGAGCTGAATGCAAAGGAAACAAACAAGAAAGTCTCTTATGAGCAAAGTGAGAATTGTGCGTTTTGCAAAATGCTTAAATTTAAGCGACTTTAAAGTAAAAATCTTGTGAAACTGAAGTGCACTAATTTGAATAAAAGCAATCTGGAAATATTTATCATTTTTGTTAAAACAGAAAAAAACCATGAACATGTAATTTGACAGTGTACAGATGAAAGAAAAAGGGGGAAAATGAGACTAGAAAGATCAATGCTATTGCTACTAGAATACAAGTTTGTGGCTTTTAGTTTCCAGAGATTCTGAGGAACTTTTCAGCACCAGCTAAAAAACTTGAACAAAACAAAAATAAAATATAAGTTGAACAAACAAGGTAAAATAATAAATAGTGGACGAACTAAAATTATACCTAGAATCAAGAGAGAATAAAAAGGTTCTTATAGGATCAAAATAGTAACTGGTTAAAAACAATTTTAAAGAAAATTCAGATAACATGGAGAAAAGAATGTCCTTTCCAATTTCATTGAGAACATAATACATTTTAGATAAGTAATTATATTAAACTTAATTCTACAGTTTCAAGAGACTCATTGTTTTCAACATGTCCTTAAAACAGAAAAATATCTTATGGAAGACAACTTTAGTATTAACACCTTTATCAAAGCATTTTCTATCAAAAAGATAATATTTATTCAAAATTAAAAATAGAAAATAACCCATACTTTCGTTAAGTTACGTACCTAAATCAATAAAACTGTTATAAAAATACCTTCATATTGTGAGTTTGACTATTTGTCATGAAAGAATAGGATTCTGGTGGGAATAAAGAAAAGTCATAAATGAATGACCATAGATGAAGTTCACTCTGTTGCTTACTAATCAATGGTGAAACTCCTAAACCTTGTATCTCATTTGCAGAGTCTAAAAATTTCCGCTTCTATTTTATTTTTCTGAATAATAGCAAATCGACATCATTCCTTGAATTTTTTCAGAATTTGCTTTGCACCCAAAAGAAAAATCAAGGAAGTTTTTCAGAATTGTCGGTGAGTAGTTCTCCATTTAAAAAATAAAGTAGGACCGGAAACCTGCAACATCGCAAACCGAAATACGTGGTTTGGGAGTGTCACAGTCGTAATTCATCTTCAACCGGTAGGTTGAACTTATTCAAGGCTAAGTTCGTAAGGTAGGCTGATATTCGAATACTCAAGTCTTCAAGGCTAAGTTTGTACGGAAAACTGTTATTTCGATACTTAGTCTTCAGGAACATGGAACTTCTGACACTCGAAACTTGCATCTCGTTTTTCCTTAGGGAGCTCAGGGCTGAAGACATTTTTGCTTCCAAGAAAATGTTTGGTCTTGATCAATTTGCAACAAACAAAAGTTCAAGAGTCTAGCATCAAGAGTTACTCTCTTTTTAACTGCTGCATTTAAGACAGTGTACTTAAAATTGAGATTATTTACATGAGTAAACTGTCGTAGGTAATAATGTTAGCTGACTGACAGAACTATGAATCAGAGAGAAACACGGAGGTTTACGACAATTTTTTTTTCTGCTCATCAGAAAAGAGAGCAACCAAGTAAACAAGCATGCATCATTGACTTTGTCGACACAACACTCATTAACAATGAAGCTTCGACTATGATCTTGTTCAATTTAAAAAACTATCAAATTATCACTGGCTAGTTCAAACTCCATTTTTCTTGTAAAAAAAAGGTAAGTAACAAGTTTGAAAACAAAATACTTTGACGCTACTTTTACGTTTTATACATAAGGGGCACATTTACAAGGGTAGGTAGGTAAGCACTACTCATCAAAGTTATGATACAATGTATAGAATAGGTATGGAAAGAATTTGTGGAGACACAAGCAGTACATATTTTGAAATCCTCAAGCGATTTTAAAGCTGTGCATTTTGAATCTGAAAAAAAAATTCAATTTTAGCTTGACACGCCTCAAGCTTCTTTTACTATCAAGCAAAAGAACGAGATAGAGCAAGAATCAACTTGCGGAGTTGCTGAGTTACGCTTCGATTGTTGCGCTCCATAGAATCACAAAAAATAATGAGATCTATTTGAACAGGGGCGGACTGACAGGCGGAAACACAACAAGAAATTCTGGTGGGCCACTCAATACTTAGGGTACTTTTGGACTGCATTATCGACAAACAACTGAAATAGGCCATTCTAATCACTGATGGGCCGAATATTCCGCCCCTGTGTTAGAATGGTGAGTGTACACGTCATACATAATCGGAGATACTGCCTTGCATAATTTAAGGGTGATGAATGTCATCTACTGCGGTAGCAGATACTATAGTTTTTTTCCACCTTGCTCTTATAAATGATGCTTGTAGCGCACCTGACGCAAATTTTATTTCAAGTAATTAAAAATATCAAGAAGGGAGAAACAACGGAATGCGTTAATGCTGTTGGTACATCAACATCATCCACTGCCCATCTTAATGGACAACATTAATAATACTGGATGTAGAAACTCTCTTTTAACACGGATCTGATTATTTTTCCTGATCTAGGAGATGGCTCTATCAAAACACAATTCTGTGACGGTGAAAACTGATCACTGCTTGGAATCAGATGGATCTTATTCGATAAAATAATTTAAAGAAGATATTTTTACGTTATTGGAATGGTGATGTAAGATTGATGTGTAAAAGCGTTGATGAACACGTACGAAACAAAACAAAAGACGAGTTTTATGATGGTGAAGAAGGTCAGATAAATTCCAGCGAAAGGTTGACAAGGCAACAAAATTTATCCAAGGTACAAGTATTTTACTGAGGTTAGACCTCTTTTGGTAAAACTGTTTTGGTGTCAAGCCACAAAACAAAACACTGTTAGTTGGCGTCAAATAGTTCCAAAAGGGGAAAGGTACAGGGTCATAAAATGCTCTGTTATTTTAGATATAGAACTGATATGAAAGACCATTTGATAAGGAACAAAAAAAAAAGAATGAGGGTTCGAGAGGATAGGTATTGTTGACAGAGTGAAACTGAGCAGATATGATGACTTTGATATGACAGTTTTATCTGGGGTTAAAAATGATATAGGGTAAAAATGTAAATGATATGAAGAAGACACATAAAACTTATAGAGGAATACATTCTCATTTTGCGTTCTCATCGTTAGTCTTGGAACCTTCTTTGGCTTGGGACGCAGACATAAGTGTAAAATTAACAAAGAGTGCTTGAGGTTTCCTTAATTCTTAGGAACCATTTTTAAACACTTATTCTCATGTTTATAATGCATAGCTTTGATAACATTTACTGTCTAGGGCCAATGCAGGTAATAAATTACTCAATATGACCAATGAAAGAAAATCGATCACTATTCCTATACTTGAGTAGATTCCTCTCAGTGGTAAGCGATTCATTTCCAACACAAGCCTGGTAGAGGCTAAGAGGAAATTCTTGAAATTTACGCCTACTGATAAAGATCAATAACAGTTCAATAATTCACAATTATTGTCTTACCCTAAAACTAAACAACGATATTGTCTCTTTCCTCAAATGGGAGTAAAATTCAGATATGTGGTAAAAGGAGAGAAGCTCCAGGCAAATATAAGTAAGTTGAAAGGGAAATAAATTGCTTACTGATTCCACCTTTCTTCTGAAAAACATTTTTGAGGGCATAACAAAAATTACAACAATTATTCTAGATTTCCATAAAAATGAAGAAAGTCTCATCCAATGAAATCCTGAACATTTAGATCCATCAGAACTGAACCTCATTTTGACACTGAATACCAACTTGGATAGGTACTCAAATTACAGACTAAATTCAGAAAAATGAGTACTGAAGTAAAGATAGGATGACTCATAAATAAAAACTGTCTCTTACAGAAATATTATGCTGGCTTAATTAAAAAAAATAATTGTCATATTTCTATTTGAACTTAATAATTTATTTTTCAAGCAGCAGCTCTTTCTCTGTTGTCCACCTCAGCAAGTATCCAATCCTATGCACCCAGATAATCGAAGTTCTAGAAGATGAGTTCTATGTAAATTTGTCCTTAGATTGCTGAAAAATTTAGTCTGCATCTCGAATTATCAGAGAGTTTTAGTCACTTATGTTTCACTCAGACTGGATGAAAAAACACTGCATAGACTTTTGAGTTGCTTCGATATTCGTAAATTTCAGGAACCGATATCTTTTGAGAATTGAAAGAGACAGCACAATTTATTGAAATAAGATAATTAGATTGCAATAAAAATGAGGCAGAAAACAGATATGTGGCCTGTTAACGACACAACCAAGTAGCTTAATATATTACTGTTGATTGTTGGACAACTTAAAACAGAGAAAGGGACATTGACTTTTTGTACCTGTAATGAGATATTCAGTTGGCGGCAGCCAACCCTTTAACCGATTTTCCCTCACCAATTTGTTACAAACAACAGTTTCATGGTGTGTTAGAGGTTTAAAAAAGAGAGGAAAAAACATTTTCACTGAACCATAAAAATTACGAGAAGTTGAAATCACTTGCAACAGTAACTAATGTAACAAATAACGACAAGATCGACTCCAAGAGCTGAATTTTTGGAGCTCGGTCGTAGAGTCGAAATGAGAGAGTGCGAGGTTTCTCGACTATTATTGATGTGAAGAGAATAACACATTAGACACAAGGCATTTTTGACACAGAAGAGACAAGTTGAATCTAAAAGGTTTCACAAACATTTTTAGAAGATTTTTTTTGCACACCCTGTTCAAAAAACAAGTGAATTAACTAGATGACCAGATTCACAATCTGGTATACATACCTATGTACAGTTTGCCTAACGTTTATTCACACTAATAATTTTCTAAAGAGAGATACTTTCATTGTCTTAAGTTCTTTTCCAACATTAAAGAACATCATCTCCACAATCAATTGTTTCTGAAAGGTTTGTAACTTTCTTACCCCAAGAAAAAACAATTTTATCCACAGCAAAAAGAACGATAAAGTATCATCCCTCCACTGAGAATTGTGCGCTGCTTATTGAACACATACAAATTTCCAAAGAACAATCAAACGGAAGTCAATAAAACCTCCATACTTATTTACTACCCTTCATCCAAAGTACTTCTAACTGCCTTGGACAACTTCAATGAACAATTTGTGTCCAGATTGAGAATCATCCAACTTTTAAGTGCAGAGAAGAATTGGAAATTTTGATGCTCGTACAAATGATAAAAAATGTTTCACGGCATCAGCAAATTTGGTACTAAAAATAACAACATTATTAATTACAAGTATTGACAAGGCTCAACCATCAAGAGAAATACGAAGGCATTGCGGCAACCATTGAGATGAGGACAAGACTGACAGCTGCCTTGCTGCTTCCTCCACACTGCTCTATCATCACTTCCTGCAGAATTAAAAAAAAGGTTAAAAAAAGCCATAAAAAATAAAATATGGTAGAAAATTATGAAAGAGACGAATTGGCTAAGGCTTGTGTGATAAAAACTTGTTAACGTTGAACCAGAACACAATGAATGCTGATTGGATTGATCAAGATACCTGCATTTCTCGTTGCCTGATTTTCTTCCCAGTATTATATTCCTACAATAAAACTAAGCAACAAAATGCCTTGAAACTTTCGAAGAATTAACTTTGGACTATAAAGAATGTACTCTTTAAATTTCAAATCAGAATGTGGTTCACTTTTTGTACGTTAAATAAAACGAGAGAGGGCATTGCGTCCTGTTATATGTTGTGTAGCTGCTTCTAATTAAATCCAACCAGTTATGCAGAGTGGAATGAAAAAGTGTCAATAACTTTCTGGTCAAAAACCTGAATTTAAGGAAAAAAACTCGTATCTCAGAGATCATTCTATTACAAGTTTGATGCTTAGCTTTGTCCAATGGTTAATTGCACTGAAAAACTTTTTTGTTAATGAGTTTGATGCCACAGAGATTTTTATTGCCACTTCACTCTCAAATAAAAGCTAAATATAGTGACAACTTTGTAACATGCCATCAGTTGAGGTGAAGAAATCATTAAAGGAAGGCAGGTAGCTGTTACTAACCTCAGGATGATAGTTGATGCACTTTTCGGGCCTCCGCCGATAGATGTTTATCGAATCCCTCCGACATGGAGGGGCAGTGGAAGTATTGTCGAAACCAGGGATGACTTCTTGGGCGACAATGCTTAGTGTCTTCGAGCCGCATGGGCAAAGAGTGTCAACCACCAGTAAAATAAGATTGCTGTGAGGGATTTTCTGCACACTGAAAGGCCTGTAGACAAAAACCATAAGAGTTGTTACATATTGCATTGAAAGAGGAAACAGAAAAACTAGAACTAGTAATTGCGGTACATTTCTCAAAGATAGTAATGTCTTTGTATGAGGAGCAGGGCCCTATCTTCGCTTAATGATTGCCTGCCACAGTGTTTTCAAACCATCACAGCTCCCGTTTTGTGTGACATATTTCAGTACTTTTGAGAGCAAAACATCCATGAAATACTGCTCTGTATAAGCACTCTCAACAACTGAATTTCAAGTTTCTTGATAGTAAGATTATTTTATGTACAAAAATATGAAAGGAAATGGACCACTAGACAAGGTGCGAATTTCAGCATTCTGATTCATGTTTCTTAGCTAAAATTTCACGTAATACACGATGCGCACAACGAAAATTATCGGAATCAGCTCCTTACGAAGATATTTAATGATTTTTGATGCGTAAATTCAAACCACCCGCTCATGAAAACTCAATGCTCTACGTGATTCACATCGTGCACTAAAAGTTATCATGACAGTATCTGCGATTTAAAAATCTGGCAGCCTCGATTTAGACGCTTTGGCTCAGCTATAGCAAATTGCTCATAGTTTGAACACACAGAGGTAGGAAATGAACATTGCTCGATTGAGAAGCTTGCTGAAACCGCTGAAGTGCGCGATTTGACTCGCGTGGAGCTTTGAGTTTCTTGTGAGCGGGCAGTTCAAATTCCTCGTAACCAATGTGAAATAAAAACGTTGGAATCTTCATTAGGAGTTAGTTTCAGTGATATTCGTTGCGCTAATCGTGTTTTCCGTGAAATTCTGGTTCAGAAACATGTATAAGATTGCTTAAATTCGTACCTTGTCTAGTGGTCCATTCTGCTGTTGGTTCCCATAAGGTTCAATGGCTCCGAATACATATAAATTCTACAAATACAAACCTTTCACAGCCTGTAACATGACAGTTGGTGAGTTTTCCTTTCAGCGGATTGAACAGCCCACTATTGTTAAGCCGGTTGGGCTGGAGAACGTAAAGGTCAACTTTCTTGTGGCAGGGACGTGCATTGCGGGATCGGTTGGGTCTACTGACAGGCACAACAGGAGGGCTTGGGATGACGGGAGGAACGACCTCAGCATAATCATCGACCTCAATTTTCTCGTTGACCAACAGAGGGGGTTCTTCCGATTTGATGACATCGAAAAGAGATGCATCTGGGTTGCTGTTGGTGTCCGGGTACTGCTCAAAGCTGTTTGAGTCATAGTCCTCCGAGTAAATGGGATCTGAAAACAGAAAAGTTTTGATTCAAACAAAAAATAAAATACAGAAATTTTAAATGAAATCATTTAAATTCAGGTCCTAATAGGTATCTTGAGTTTCAGCACTGACTAAAAAAGTAGAAAAGAAAGGCGGTACAGTATGAGATTTGTACCTACTGGCGACTTGTAAATCTTAGCGGAAATTGATTAAAAACATTGTACCCAGCAAGGTTGGGATGTTCATCCAAGGTATGGTATCAAATTACTGCCTAATTTGCTGCATTGTATATTGTGCTCCTGAAAACTAAATAATTCAGTGTCCAGTCTACAGAAGTTTTCAAACGACAAACATGACAGTTGCCAAAGCTAAACGGCTACATTCATTCCTGGTCTATGATTTTTTCCTGTTCGCTCGTTAAAACATGTTGGAAAGTTATTCCTCACTTTGCTAGAGATTAAAATTTGCAGAATTCAAAATATTGGTGGTGTAACTACAGGTCAATTTAGAAAACCAGCTTCCTCTATTTGCTTTTCTGATGATAGAAACGATTTTTCACGAAATTTATCAAATGTACCGTGGAAGCAATACTCAAAAGTCCTAACTTTGACGTATTTTGTTTGAGGTAGCAGTGGGAACATGTTTCCAAAAAATTGTAACTGGTAAAACTTCATTATTCAGGACTCATCAATGATAAAACAGTCGAGAAAAGTGAGCTCAGAAACCCTAAAACAAGTTCTGGAGCCTGTTTAGAGCACACTCAGATGTATCAAAATATATAAAAATGTTACGGAATTATTGCAAAAGTGTGTAAAAATATTTTAGATTGAATGAGCCCTCCATACTGAAAATCACTGATACTCAAACAAAATAGGATTGTTCCGCATTGAAGCGGAATAATTATAATTAGCACATCAGACAAAATATGATTCTTGTTTTCATGATTCTTGCTTTTAAGCTAAAACTTGATTTAGAGTTAGTGGAACGTTCTTACTCTCGGAGTCTTCTTGTGCCAAGCTCCAATGTGGGTCGAATATCTGAATGAGATGAGTGTGAACAGCAATAACCATAACGTGTCCAATTATCCATTCCAGGAGCCAAATGACTGACCTCAAAGGCTGTAAAAAGTAGAGTGATCATATTAAAAAATAATTTATGCAGTACTTTTCACCTCATGAAGGAAGCTGAAATTGTACACTATTTCCATTTCTTTAAGAATAGTCGGTTCCTCAGAATATGAACAATATTTTATGACAGATTCAAGTTTTGTGGGAAAAAATGAGAAAGTTCTACATATTTTGAAGCTATGAGCAAATGCTCCGACTTCAGTCAATTTTTCCTATCAGGTACATATCCATCCTTTTTGTCCTTCAACTTTAAACGATCACTCTTTTCCCCTTAGATGAGGTTTTTCCTCATACAATCAGGGCTTCCGTAGTTTTTAAATACGACAATACAATTTTCTCAGAGCAGGAAACTTGATTTGTACAAGAATTCAACTATTATGACTTGAAACGAAAAAACTTGGCTTCTCCACTACTCCCTTATAGAAATTGAGATGAAATATGATGTTCTTGATAAAAAGTACTTTGGATTTAATAATTACAGTTAACATGGATGCGGAGTCCTTGGAGGAGGATCTGACATCATCGCAAGCCCCTTGGTAGTCATGAACAGACATTTTCTTGTAGATGCCATCTTGAACGAGTGAGTCCATTATTGTGCCATCTGCCTGACCGAAGAACATACCAGTGTGCTCTGGTTTCTCAGACAGAATAATAAAGCCGTTGTTGTCCAACACGTAGCAATCCAGATCTTCCGATGCGCAAGTTTTCTTGCAGCTGGTGCCCGCACCAGTGCACTGAAATAGAAAATGTAAAATGTACTACTGACAATAATTGACAGAAAGATTGGGAGATGGAGATACTTTGAAACTTACTATGAAAAAGGTTAAAATTGAAAAATGCAGACACGCCGACGGAAATGATATGGTTGTGGTGGAATTTAAGACCTAAAGTGTACACACACTTCTGAAAATAAATTGATAGATTCACACATTTAATTTTCTTGGTTTTCGATACTAAAACAAAATCACCAACCATTATAACAAAAAATTCAACAGCATGAAGCAACAAAAGCAGATTTTATCGTTTATTTTAAAACTGATCTCAAATATAATATTTTACAGTGAGACTTCACAGAAATTTTTGTTTCAACACAGAACCTCCAGATAAGGAATGAATCAAAGCACAATGCTATATGTTTTCTTTTTGAAAGATCGGAGGGAAAACAAATCACACAACAGGAAGTCTAAAAATCAACTCCTTAACAACATATAAGTTTTTAAGTAAAATTGGTTCAATGGGAAAAATACAAATGACGTCATTTGTATAATCGAACTTCCATTTGATCTGTGTCTAAAAGACTTGTTAGTATCTCATTCATGAGTTGATTTCGGAACTTCTCGTTGCCTGAATTGTTTCCTAAGTAAGATTTTCAAGAGAACATATCTGACGTTTCTTTTCATTTAGACCTTCTCTAGTGGTCCATTGTGAGAACTTCAAAGACATAATGAAATTGATCAGACAAATTCCTGTCTTTTTTATGAGATTTCTGAACAGTGCTGCATGTTTTTTGACTTATTGACAAATTTTTTCTGTTAAACCATTTCTGATTTTCCTTTTTTCAGTCCTTTTTACTTCCTAATTTGAAAACTGTTAAATTGTCTTTACATCTGTTTTTTTGGCATCTGGAAATACAGCTATCAATTAAGTTAGGTAAAACTAAAAGTAAAAATATACCATTTCTAAAAAAAAGAACTGATTTTTAATTTTTCTCAACACATAGAGAGAGAAAATCTCTGATTATTAAGTGTAGAATGTGAATCATACCGTAGACGTGATATTCTTGAAATGGGAAGCAAGAGATGAATGCTGAAATTGGAGTCCAACAACGGCTGCAGGAGCGCGATGCCCTTTGCTTTCCACAAACACAGCATGAGTTGCTGTAACCAATGTTTTTGGATCGTCTCCTGAGGAAAAATTAGGATTAAAATTTTAATACCACTGCAACGTCTGATTTTTACATTACATCCCTCAAACAACATTTGCCTTGGTGGCATTTATTTTTTGATAAAAAGCAAATCTTGTATGTAGCTTTGCAGCAATTAACAGAACTCTCTAAATTTGTTGAAGGAAATTTCTGTCAATTGCTGGTTGCCAAAATGACTCCATTTTCCTGGAGAACCTTTTCCTCTTTTGCTGAATGCAACCCTCGTATTACAATAGGACTTACGCACAGGACTAACGCTGTCATATATATACAGACTTACGTATATATTATGCATATTAAAATACAGACATGTCCTCTGTTAGGCATGATGATGAATTGAGATATTTCAAAAACACCTAATGAAGCCTAAATTTATTTTGACGATTCATTCATGCAGCTTTGGAATTCAAGAGCTGATCTGCCTCAAAGTTTTATTTTCTATGATAGAAGATCTATTTTTAAATGTGCGTAAAAAACTGGATATTGTTATCATTGAGGAATTGATGGCACATTTTCCAGTTTTGGACTAAGACGGCATAGAAATTTGAGTTTGAAGAACATTTTTTTTAAAAAAAAAACAAGTTTTTTCAGGAACACTTGAAGTGATATTCAAAAATAAAAATTTGAATTTGAAGACCACTTACGAGCATTGAAGGGGACTGAAAACACAAAACTTTCAGGCTCAATGGTGTGCTGATCAACCGCACGTTTGTACCATGTTTCGTCTATTGCTTTGCGGTTATTTTCACTGAAAATCCTTGGGAGAAAAAAGAGAAAAAGAATTAGATAAGAAAATTGCAATGGTAAAAATATAAAAACAGGTTTTCAATAAAGTTCACTAGCTTGCAATAAAATTGACAAAGAGATCTGCCTCCAGGCTAGCAGACAGTTTTTTATGACTTACTTTGGATAGGTTTACTTTTGGAAACAACAAAAGAGTTAAGGAGTTTCGTATAAAACAAAGTTTTTCTGCTGTAATTCTGATATTTGCAGGTATATTTAATTTTTAAAAATCGGTGGATCCCAAAATTAATTCTTCCACTGTTATAAAAACTAAAATGGGAAAAAGTAATTCACTCATTGACTTACTGATCTTGCCCTGATTCAGATTGGTCTTTGGAGTGATCTTGCCATCGCAAGAGTCCACTTCTGGTAGCGATGAAGGTCAAAGTAACTCCAAACATCTGATAGCCTTGTCTGAAACATGCAATTCAAAGTAATTGTTAGTAAAATTATAGCTGAGAAGCTGTTAGCAACTTATCGTAATAGACAATTCACATCAATATAAAATCAAAGTTAGTAGGGCGATTAATGAGAAAAAGATTAGTTGAGGCAGATGAAAACAGCATTATAAGAGACATTAGTAATGATTAAATAAACCCTTGGAAAGCATTAAAAAACCAAACATGATTAACAAGTTTTATTAATGAATTTTATGAAAAAAGATAGAAAATAGATAAAAAGAAAACGCCTTGATGCATCAGAACAATCAAAGTTTAATTAAAATAAGTAGAATTAATTTATTGAGGAGATTGAATCGTGCTTCGAGTTCTTCATCTGTGATTAAAAGCATCTTTCGTAATTTTTTTAAAAAAGAGAGCACACTCTTTGATCAGCTTGGACTGCATTTATGAAGCAGAGTTCATCCAATTCGATCGTACCGGACGTGGATTCAATTTGGTGATGGAGAATGGATTCACCAGAAAATCTAATCTACTCTGAAAAGAGTGTTTATGCTGCGCATCAACTCACACAGTTTGTGGATCTGTATGTTCTCCTTCAAATGCCTTCAAAAACTTAAAATTATAGATAACACCTCACAAATACCAAAACAGGTTTTCTCAGCAGCGCTAGTACAGCACTGAGTCAAGAATGCCTTGGGTTTAGGGCATCGTCAAAATCACATTTGCATCCGAATCGAGTGAGTATAAAAACGCTGATTCAACTCCACATGTTCTGTCGCCAAAAGTAGATCGATTTGGCTTCTAGTTACCTCGGACTAAATCAAGTCTACTCACTATAAACGTGGTCTTACTGCTAATTCAGTTATGATGAAGTTCTACTATTAGTCCAGAATGTAATGGAATAGTAGCATTATTTGAAGAAATGAGGAGTTACATTTTTTTTATGAAAAAAAAAACTCTCCTGTGCACAAAATTATTTTTGAATTTTGAGAGAAGTCTGTCACTGACATTATTCTAATATTTACTAATCTCCGTTCTAAATTTTACACTGCACTGATGATTTGAATCTTTTATTAATACCATAATATCTCAAAAAAACTTTTAAATAAAAAATAAAAAAAAAAATCAGTTTTACGTGACTGTCAATAGAAAAAGAGCCTTCGTGCAAAAAGCAAAGAATCAAATTTTTTAGGAGCCTAATTTTTCTCCATTTGGGTCGGACGATTGAACTTTGAATCATTGATAGTAAATACTCTCTAAAATCCCAAAGAATAAGAATGTTGGTTTATTTTTTTTTGGGGTGCCATTAAGGACTAGAGGTGGTCCTGTTACTTGCTGATTATAAAGCCCGAGCAAAGACGATTAGAGCTTAGAACATCTTTTTCTCAAAATTATGCTCTTTGAACTGAATTTGAAACCATCATAATTCACATTTGAGCTGAAATTTTTGACTCTTTCTTTTTCTTGCCAAAATGTTCGCAAGACAAATTGTCAAGCAGAGGTACTGATATATAAATTTTAAATATTTCAGCTCTTGGAGTCTTTTTTTAATTAACAGTCACACACACATATGAGGAAGTTTCGATTGAGTCCACTTTTTGCTGCATGGAAATATAGAGAAAGAAAAGAAAGAGAAGTTTTATCAGGTCAAGATTGAAAATTATTCGAGATAGATAAGACATGGAAATAAAATTCGAAAAAATGTTGTAGAAACAAGTTACTGAGCATGAAAAATTGTAGGGCCAATGGACCACTAGACAGAGTGAAAAAATAGGCACTATGACATATTATTCCACAAAAACAATTTTACGAGAAAAACAATGGAGACGAGAAGTTTTCCAAATTATCTTATAAAAGATGAATTAGCATTTCATTGGTTTGTCAATTCAAAATTCTCGCTTGCCACAAAACTAAAGTATACTTAAATCAATCTAACAGGCAGTCAAACTACATATAATTTCAGTGCTCTTTATGATGAAGTATTTTCTTCGGAAGCTGAATTTTTCTTTACAATTTGCTAAACACAGGTCTCAAAGTAGGTGGGAAATTTACGTAAAATCTTGGCAGATTTGATGTTTATTTAGTTTTTTTTAAAAGAGGGAAGTGTGAATTCACTGATTGTAATGTTAACTGTGGACCTTGAAATCTCATTCATTGGTTGATTTTCAACTTTTTTGGCAAATTTAATCTATTGTGCGTCAACTTTTGACAAGGATACATTTCTTGCAGTCCTCTCGTGTTCACCTGTTTAGTGGTCCATTTTTTTAAAAACAATTGATCAGTTGAGAAATTCTGCAGGCGAAGCAAGATGTCTAGAAAGGACTCTGTTACCAGGATAGCATGTCAAGAAGTATTTCAAATTTGAAAGTTTACATTCATTCACTTTTAAATCTTTCATTTATATTCAAACGTTACCAGATCAGACATTCACAAACATTTATCCCAGGAGAAAGAATTTTTGCATTTGTACATGATCCATTTCACACGACACAAAACGGTTGCGTGCATTTTCCCACATTATATTCAGATTCTCCTATAATCTTATCGAAAACTTTCAATCCATGGAATTGAATTCCATGGATTGAAAATTTAAATGCAACTACAGAAGGGTATTCAGGCACGGTTGTTGTAAATGAAGGCAATTAACTTAGTAAAGTCTCTGCCAGAGAGACATTGTGTTTGTCTTTATTATTGGTGTACATTTTCTCTTGATTTGAAGTTCTTTAAATTAAAATTTGAATGAGTAGTAGTGTAAAATAGATGTGGATACAGCCAGTACTAATAATTCAGCGTGAGATATGATTTGTGCCATAATCTTTCCCTCCTTTTTAAGAGAAATAAACCATCCATTTGTCCAAAATGAGCTTTGATTGTTTCAGGCTCATCCTGAAGATTAGATTCACCCATAGTAATCACTGATACACGAGATAAATCTTTATTTTAGAAAATTGCTGAAAATGGTTTAGCAAATGCTTAAAGGCATACAAAATTTCAGCAGAAATTTGGAGATGAAAATAGGAAAAAAAGGATATTCATGCATCAAATTACTTGTCATTTAAGAACAACAAAGATATCAGGTGTGTGGAAAGGCACCTTTTCCTCCAGTCAAATGAATTTCAGAAGAGCACTTTTTGGCAAAAATGGAAAACTAGGGCAAACCTAATTCATTGGCAGAAAGATCTGTAAAACATCTTGAATAAGCTCTTTACATCAAGGGTAGAGTGGAATAGAAATGCAACAAGTCGCATTAAGTTTGAACCAAGAAGAGGTTCGAATTTTTGTACCTCCGTAAGACTCAATGTTAAGGAAAAAGCTCAACCACTGTTTTAACATTCAAAGTATTTTTCCCTCAATTTTATACTAACTCTTGACAGGGGAAAATTCATGACTTGTCGAATTCAAAACTAGGTACATACCACCAACTCATTTTTTTCCTAAATACGACTTTCTGCTAAATTCGGTCCAGACATATCAATGCTAAGAATCCTAAATGCTCTACTTTGGTGTACTTCAAAATTTGCGATTGAGGAACCTTTTCTGTTTTCAATCCTTGTTTTTCCTGAGACCAGGATTTTCTGATAATCAGATTATAACCGTCTAACGTTAATCAATGTTTTAATTTTAGAAATTATGTTTGAGCAGACAAGGTGTTCTAATTTCTCTTCTCTGATGCAGGGTACCAAAAATAAATACCAACATTAATATTTAGGAAGGTAAAGCGCCTTTCCAAGACATGGGTAAAGAAGAAATCTGGTAAAGGATTGAGATAAGATTTCATATAAAAAATACGGTTTCAGGACATTCCGTCCACGATTTTTTGTCATTTTTAAAACGTGGAAAATATTTGTAAATCCTTTTCAAAGCAATGAAATCGATATTAATCTCAATGATCCGTATTTGTGTTGATAGAAGCTATAAAAGAAAAAATTAAAGTGCTTTGAAAATCATTAATTTGGACATAGAACCACCTTACTATTTACAAAACACACATTATATATTTTTCTGCAATACATTTTTTTTTTTTTTTTTCATCAACTTAAATGAGAATAATCCATGCAGAATGTGCAAACATTTCAAAATAATGAGTTGAAAAAGGCTGACTCCACGGGTTTAAATATTAGAGCCTGACATAGAGCGCAGCGAAGCCGCGTCCTGCCAGATGCCAGCGATAAACGCGCACTGGCGCCTACAAACCTAATAGGATACTTCAAGCATTGCGCAATGCGTGAAGTATCCTCTTAGGTTTGTAGGCGACAATGCGCGTTTTGCGTTGGCCGTCCGCCGCGCCGCGCCGCAGCGCGGCGCCTCATGCAACTATTTTAAAACAGAGGTGTTGCACAGTGTCATACGAAATTGAAGGCGCTCCAGCATATTAAGAATGACAGCCATCTTTCAGGAATACGGAGCTTTCCTCCCAAAATAAGTCAAAATATAACGGCACTTAAAGAGATCAATACTCCAAAAACTCACTAAGTCCTGGCATCAGTATTTAAGAACGTTTAGTATAATTTTTGAATTACATTCGAGAAAAAAGTGACTCAATTTAGGCAAAAAAATTCTTGAGTATGCCGTCAAGAAGATTTTATTTTGATCCAAGAATAAAATAGCTGAATGAAAGCGTGTTTCTGCTTGATGTAAGTGACTTTTCTTTTTATAAAAGCATATATTCTTCTTTAAACAAGCATTATTTTCTTCGTTGATTCACAGGGAAATCTTCTTGGCGGTGAATTTGAGCTTATTTCTGCTTGAATCAAGTCACTTTTTCCTCTAATGAAGTTCAAAATCATGCTGAACATTATGGAATACAGACACTAGGACTTAGTAAGTATTTTGAATACAGCTCTTTTTATTGTCGTCGTCACTCGATTTAATTTGCGAGGGAACTTCGTGCTTTTGAAAGATACCATCAATCATGATACGTCGCGGTGCTTTCAATCTTGTATGATACTGTGCAACACCTCTGTGGCAAAATAGTTACTCGAAGCGCCGCGGCATGACGGTGTGTACGATCCTGTGTACGGTACCTAACTTCGCGATAACAAACAAATACACACAAAAAAAAAGCAAACACTCACTCTTCCAAGACACTATACATTTTCACCCAAAAACATCGTGAGCAAATGTCGTTAGTATTTACACGTGGACCAATTAACTTTGGGTCTCAACTGGTAAGAGGACCAAAACTCCCCTGCCGAAAAAACGGGTGAATGTAGGTAAACTACTAGGGAAACAGGTGCGCGGCCAAAAAATCGTTGACGAAATGTCCTACAACCAAAATGACAGGATCTGCTTCAAACAGAGGCTAATGATTACTGTAAACCATCAGTATGATTATATGTAGAATGATCTTGTATAAACCATTTTAATTAAAAAGGCGAAAATAATTTTTAAAAGAATACAAGTGAAATCCTGTCATTTTTTAAGCACTTAATAATAAAGAATATTACTTGGATTAAATCAAATTAAACAGGTTAGAAAAGAAAATAGAGTGGAATGAAGTCTAGGGCAGCTGAATTCTGAAAACATACAAGACCAACATTTTTACTTTTCTCGTTATTAACAAAACAAAACATTTTCCTTTTTACGGGACAAACGATAAGTCTATAGGTTCCTGCAATTTAATACCTGTACTTGATCTCTCCTGATTATTATTATTTGATTGCAAATAAAACAGTCTCCTTTAACATTTTTCATTCTCTTATATGCGAAAAAAATTGACTTGCGAGTTTTCAGAACTTAGTTGCCAACCGAAAGACTGGTCACAGAAAATAGTTGGAACTGCCTTTGTTTACCGACAGTTTGGTTAATTGTAAGCCCGCATTTTTGAAGGTGTCTTTTGGAGGGATATATTGTAATTCTTCAAAAACTAAATATACTAACATGGGGGAGCTAAACAAATAAATGGCAACAACAAATAAATAATTTTTAAGAGCAATAAGCTGTGCACAAGATAAGTCATCCGGGTTTTCATCCCTCAGATGGAGATCAAGAATAATCATTATTTAGGAAGAGACAAGGTGAACAAGAGAAATGAATCCACTTGAAAGATAAATTAGATTGAAATAAAATTTGAGAGGGCGAAGACTTCGTAGAAGAAAAGAATTGGGCCTCTATCAGTGCTTAGTGAACTAGATTTAAAATTACAGCTCTCTCGTGTGTTATGATTGACTTCTGAAGCTTTGACATAAAGATTTCTTTAAGTCATGATTTAGCTCACAGTTTGTTGGCTCGATTTCCCGTTTGTTTCGTTTCGTTTTTTTAGAGACTTTTGGTTTAATACTTCTGAAACTTTACCTACTTACACTGTATATTCTCACATAAGTTACTGAGCTAGGTAATTGTTGTTATACTCCCTTAATAATGAACACCCATAAATTTTTAAAAAAATATCGATATAAAGTAGTTAAATGAATAAATCTGAAATCAGAAAACTCTTTCAAAAAATTGAATCAACCCGACCGATATAAAATTTCTGGGCAGTTTAAAGGGTAAAATCATAATTTTATTTCAGCTTATTTCTTTTGTTTCCGAGTGTGATGGCAAACTTTTTCTTAGATTAGAAGCTAAATATTAGACTAAAACTCTTCTTTTAGAAAGTCTTCAATTTGAAAAACAACAGTCATGTGGAAACTCATAATGAAACTAGAAAAATACAGATCTTGATTTGCAATATTGCAAAAATCCTATTATTGTTCATTTACCTATAAAGTACCTAAAATCTCTCTGAAACGAATTGTTGCAATACCAGTTAAGTGATTTTTTTAACTTCTGCAAGATAGTATTCTCAGACATTTTTATGTATTATTGATATATGTGCGTTATTTTATAAATAAAACAGTAGAAGACATTTTAAAGAATGGCTAGATCAATATGCTCTTGTTTTTCTAGTTTCATCATCAATGGGGTGATATGAAAAATTTGAAAATAAATACAGATGGCCACAATGCAAAATCACGTATTTCTATTGCAGTATTTCAAAATTTCTGCTCCTGGATCATTTTTTTTGTAGTGAAACAAGTCAACTTTATAGCACGAAATTTATGAAAAATATTCTGCATATAGAGAAAAAATATCAAGGAAGTTGTCTAAAAATTACCAATGAAAAAAAAGTATCACAGGAGATCTGCAATCTTGCAAACAAAGATACGTGACTTTACCCAATACATATACACACAAAACACAGAACTTTACAGACAGAATGAAATTAAGAGAAACACAATTTTAAAAAAATCAGGTTTCAACATAAAATCTTTTTCCAATGAGGAGAAAGAGTTCATTTGTAATCCATTGATAGAAATTACACAGATTTTTGAGCAATCTTGTTTCAATCATTGACTTGACTATGAAAAGGGCACTTCTTCAGTTACATTGTTCCAAAATTTCGTTTTGCACTTTAACTCTTTACAGAAAAAAAAACTCCCCGGAAAAATTGCTCATGGAAAGATGAAAATTTATCTGAATATTCTTCATAATTTAACAATATCATCAGCGCAAATCTCCAGTTTAATGATTCAGTAGTTTTCTCACAAAATAAGGAATGGTGATGGCGATTCTGAAACATTGTATCGGAGAAGAGCCCTTTTTGCAATCAATTCTTCAGTTATTCTTCCTAAAATGAATGTACAGTTGCTATTTTCTAAGTGAAATAAGACGTTTGATCCAGGAGCAAAACATTTCAGCAACTGGACTTTATTTTGAAATAAGGAACTAATATTCCTGGCTCACTAATTAAAGCACTTATCTGCGTAGGGAAACTAATGGCATACATGTTGTTTTTACTTGGAGCCAGAAAAAATAGTTCCACATTGCAAAATGTGGTCCAACTATGCTTTAGTAGCTTTATCCTATAATATGGAATGGAACACAATCTTTAATGCATTTTAATTCAGGTTGAAGGTGCTTCAGTTCATTTTAGTATTGACAGGGAACACAGACACATTTCTAAATGCTCACGTTGGCTCTTGAGCGTGGAAAATTTGAAACTGTCTGATGCACTTTTGGATACATATCGACGGTGTGAGTCAGCAATCACATAACTCGATTTGCGACGTTGCAGACTTCCTGTCATACTTCATTTTTTAAACAGAAAACTACTCAACGGCAATTCATTAAAATTGTCTTGATTTTTCTTCTCTGTATAAAGAAAATTCTACATAAACTTCAAGGAATGATGTCAATTTGTTCTCCTTAAAAAAAAACAACAACATAGGAGCGGCGATTTTCAGACACCGCAAACGAGATATGTGATTGCAAACTTATGCCATCGATATGCTTCTTGATCTTATAACTTCACATCATCCTAAAAAAGTTTGAGTTGATATATTTGTGCATTCCTATGCCAAGCTAGCTGATAATTACCTTATCAAAATAACCAACCATATACTTAAAAAACCATATTTTCTCCAGTATCAAAAATTTAATATTCACTTACAGGACACTAAGTCCTTAATCTTATAGAAAATAATTAATAATCAATCTCTTCACGGATAAGATACCCCTTTTTTATGACAAAAACTGGGAAATAAAACTTGCCCACTTTGCTTTTAATTTGGCTTAAAATTATGCAGGGGAAGATTGTCACATGGAGGACTAGAGGGTAACACAGATAGTCTTGGTATGTTTTGCTCAGTAGTATTCATGGTAATGTCCCCATTATCCGACAATTTATGGCAAGGGCCACGTCAGATATCAAGAAAAGCGATTGGATAAGGGAAATTACCAAAAGAGACTGGAAAAGTGCCATTTCAGGCTCTGTTTGTAACTAAAGAGAGCAAGCTTGGCCAAATTTCTGTCTTCCTTGTTAAACATAGTCATTTAATTGGAATAAAAACACAAAAAACTTCATACATATTCCACTTTCAAAAACCGGTTTTCGTTGTATCGTCTGACTCAATTTTGACTACATTGGATAAAAGAAGTTTCGGATGATCGGGGCATTACTGTTTATAAGAGCAAACATGAAAATCTAAACTTTTTACCAGAGTACAGGAATAAAGCGAACTAATTTTTCTTATGGAACTTATTTCTGGAGAGAAAATGGTTGAATTTTGGTTTTAAATTCATGTTGATAAACATGACACAAAACTCTCTAAAAATGAGTAAACTCCCAGCTTTTTCTATTGTGTTTGGGGTATGGAAGTGATATAATTTTTGCATTTTGAGTGTCTAAGATGTTCAATCACAATCAAATCTTTTGTGAAAACTTGAGATGAATATGAAAAAACCAGATGCATTTTTTGACTCACAAATAAATCGTTTGAGCAACACTAACACTTGAAACAAGATGCATCGTAAAAATTCGAAAATTTAAAACACATCAAGAATTTGATTGTGATAAAACACCTAACACTAGCAATTGATGCACTGACGATGATGTAAAAATATGTAACAAGTAAGAATCACAGAATCAAGAAAGAAAATCGTAGAGAGCTATCTCTACGATGCGTAAGACGTTGTTGCATGAGCTATTACTGTACCTGTGCAGGAGTGCCATGAGAGTGGCCAGGGGGCTTAAAACAATTTCAAACGGTTAGTGAGGGGCTAAAAGTGCTGCAAAGTCAAGCTATGGTGCGATTGTGCAAAATGAGCATGCAAAGAAGGAATTTAAAACCTATGGAGTGTATCATTGTAATCTAAGACCTAACTATCTTTCAGGAAAATACTATTTGTCTTCAATAAGCCGTTCCTGCTTTTTTTTCTCCAAGTGGATATAGAGGTTTTGAGGAAGATCATTTAAAATAAATCAAGGTATATGTTTCCGTTTGAAAATCTTTTGATGGATTCTGTATGGGTGAATGTTTTAAGGCGAATCTTCGACAAACTCAAGTGAGTATTAAAATGCCAAATATATTCGGTTTAAGTACGGGTTTTGCTAATAATCTCCAGTAAGAAAGAAATCTGCTACATCTGAAAGTTTTAACCGTTAATCTTCAAAAACATTTTTCAAAATCTCTGAATAAAGTCAACCGGACATTAAATTCTCTCTTTTATTTCATTAATTAAAGAAAAATACTTTGAACTTCGATCATTTTTTCTTTACAGAAATTATTTCTGTGAATAAAAGCTGAAATAAGGGTTCAGAAGTAACAAGTTCATTTCTCATTAATAACTCTTCTTGATGATAGAAACCTGTGATTTGGCAAAACATATTTGATACATCCATTGTTATTAATGTCTGCTGAAGATTCATGTTGCATTATTTAAATAAAATACAACTTGAAAATGCGACACATCCTATCTTGGTGGGTTGAAGATTTCGAATGTTCAGCCTCATTCATTAGCTATCAAGGAAAACTGGAGCTTCTAAATACTGAAAATNCCGAAATTGATGGTCTGTGCTTTTTTTTAGATTACTAGGGAACACCTTATTTGATTCTTCCATCAGAGTTCGGTAAAATAATTAGTGATATTTTAATATTTCATCCTCAGATGCATAAAAATTACAAAAGATGGAGGTCTTGTAAAATCAAGAACTAAATTAACCTCAAACTGGACTTAATAAGCATGCCAAAATTCTTGATCGAAGGGAAAAAATTAGTTTGACTTTTCCAAATTAAAAACAGGAAAAGTATCCAAAAGTGGTCATTTCTTTTCCTCTAATGGAGACTGTCTGAAAATGCTAGCAACAAAGGCACACACAAATATTGAAAACCAGATTTGATTCTGTTAATAATAAATATTATTTCCAGAGATGTGTTCAGAAGGTGCATGGAAAGCATGGCAAGTGCATTTTATATTATGTAAAAATATGGTGTCTAGAATTCTTCAATCGTCTCATTTCCTGGTTTCCAAGAATACATTTCTTGATCCAAATACGCACTCTCTCAATATAAAATCCTTCTGTTTCTACAGGAAAAAACCTAAATTTGCTTAAGAATTCAATTCAAAAGTATTCATTTTTCTCATGTTCCGCTAACTCTCGATCATATTTTTTTTTTTTTTTTCATGTTTCCACTGATTCCCTATCGCACCTTTCCCGCCCGGCAAGTGGTTGCCTGAAGTAGATGCGGGAATGTTGTCACAATGTAACTGCCAAAAATAATGTTGCGGCAACGTTGCAGCAACGTTGTGGCAATGTTATTTTTGGCCGTTGCCGGACGGGTTACCTCATAACTCCCAATAGCACTCCTTTGGTTAAGATTGAAACAAAATGGCCTTGGAGTAGAAAAATAGGAAATCCCTGGTTTTTAACACTGACATCCAGATGAACCAGAGGCTTTTTGTTCTTTGATAAATCTCGATACTACCCAATTTTTCGAGGTCCTAGACACCATGTTTGAAAAGAGGTATGGATAAGGAAAAGGCTCACTTCTGTTTTCTCGATAAAAAAACACACACAACTACAGGTTAATTTAAAACACAAGGGCGGCAAAGAGATCTGTAGAATTTTTGTGTAATCTCTTGGCTCTAAGTAATTTAAATCAAAAGTTTTTTTTGCTGCAAAAAAGCATATTCAGTTGGAAAATTGTGCAGAAATTAGTGAGTGCACAGAATCTGAAGCGTAACGTAAGGATCAACGCTTAGAGGGCAAAGAGACATGCCCGAACATCATGAAAGAAATTAAAACTTACTGTTTTTCTTCCTTGAGCGTTGATAAGCTTGGCCTTTCCCATCCGTCCGTGACTAAGGCATCTAGTACCAGTGATTGCATCAAAGTTTTATCACCTGTGAAGGAGAGGAAAAAAAAATTCAGAGGTCAAAATAAAATTGGCATGAAATCTGCTGAACTGTAGTTGTTCTTTGCCTTCTGCAATTTCATTTATATGCTTTATACTTATTAATGCACAGATTTTTAGAAAACGATTTTCTTCCTTGACTCCTGTACATTCGTTTTATAATAATAACCTATTCCTTCAGAGTAAAGTAAGGTGATTGCCAGGAGTTTTCAGCGGTACTGAAAGCTTTAATGATACAAGTAGCTGCCTGTGATTTGCAATAACTCTGTTCTGTATTGCATAAAAACCAAACTGCCTAATATCCTCAAAATTTACAATCAAACTCCAGAATTTCCCTTCAATTCTCACTAAAATTACTGGTTTTTCTCGACATTCTATCAAAATTTCCTGGGTTGAGTAGAAGAGTCGTAATTAATTTTTTGAACGATATTTCTGGTGTCCCCTGTTTGACACAATCAGCGTATCATATAGTTGTGTACTTTTTGCGCCCCTCAGTATTTTCCAGTTGATCTAAGACATAGGCTCATCTAGACTCTTGAGTAAAACCTACGTTGTATCGCTTAATCATGCTTTCAATTGAGGTATTAGACAGTTTTGTGTGTTTCAATAAAAGCAGTTTTCTTAAACTTCTTCTCTTTTAGAACTTCAATTTAACATTCCAAATTCACTACATGCTCTCTATTAGGTTTACAAGATACACGAGTCAGTATTTTATACTACTTCACCCTGCATTTTAACATTTAAATTGAATGAATTAAAAGTAGGAGAGATGAGAATTCAAAATTTAATACTTACAAAAATAGGAATCATGTTCCATTTTTTTGACATCACTAAGACCTGAAAATGAACAATGTTGCAATTAACATGTGCTCTCTTAATAGCAGTGCAAAAGACAGACTACTGAACGAGAAACATTAAAATGGGAAAGGGCACTCACGTTAGGTTATTACTATTTGATAGCATATTAGATAGCATCGAGCAAAACTTTCCTTGCTTTCTTTGAATTAATTTTTGAAAAAAAAAGTAGCTCAAAAATCAGTTACTTCAAAAAATAGAACACAGTATTTTAGATGGTGATCTTCACATGGCGATGATCTCCACCACAACCCCTTCCTCTCTTTCCTTCTTGCAAGTAGAACTATTTAGACACAACATTCCTAACATTTCACTTTCGTATGGAGTGTTGCTTAAAGTTTGAAGAATCTTTCCCACAGTAGAACTCGTCAGGAGACACTCATTGGGAGCTTGCTCGAAGACTCGATAAGACGATAGCTCACTTCTGGAACAAGCAGTCTGATCAGCTCATAGTGAGCCTAAACCTCATTATCGGCCATTCTGTGCTTTTCTTGGGCAATATCTGCGCGTAAATTGTATTCTTCATTTGTCTATTTTTTACCTGGATCTCTTTGCGGAGCTCTCGGTCTTAGTGACATCCACTTCCATCCGGGTTGTTTCGTCCGGGTAAGGAAGTGCAAAACTTGCTCTTCTGGCGATTTGAAGTTCATGTAATTGGCATAATTGTACTCGCAATACACCCTGAGCAAAAGAAAAAATACAATTCATTAAAATTCCAGGTAAAATTGAAAAATTAGGAGATTCCTCTGACATAACAGGGCAAACAATAAGCAACTACTTTTTTAACTTAAATTGTGAGCAGATTAAAATTACATTCTCACATTTAGACCAGAATTTCATCATGAACCTCTCTACTCAAGATGAAATTAAATCAAGAATTGCCTCGGTACAACAGTTGCGCACGCATCTAGTTTCCAAACTTGCCTTATTCTCATCAATAGATTAACAACAAAAAGAAAGATTAATGATCCGATTAAAACACAACAGCTGAAAGATTGAATTTTAATAATTTTGATTTTAATGAATTATTTAAATTTCTAGTGAATTTACGAGGAATACTTTCAGTGAACATAAAAATTGAAGGAAAGAAAAAGGAGCTAGAAAAGCAAATACTTACCATTCAGGGTGAACTTTCCAATTTTTGCCTTTAAAATATTCGGTGACTGCATGTAAAATAAAATGATGGTTTTTTTTTACACACTGTTGTTGACATTATATATTATACAAGGTTATAAAACAATTTTACTATTTCATTCATTACTAAACAAGAAAATGAAAAGTGTCGAGGAGTTCTTGAGTAATATTTGGGACCAATCATTGAACTGAAATACAAGAATTCCGACTTTCTTTTGATCTGTGTTAAAAATGCTGGGTAATATTTCTTTCAGGGGTTGATTTCCAAACTTTACATTGTGAAGGTATTAAATTTATTAAGTTGCATTGAAATTTGGAAAACATATAGATCAATTGACCGTGGATAAAATCATCAACAACTTTGAAAATTAAAATAATATATCAGTGTTGATATATTTGATTTAGAAATTCAAAATTCATTAGATAAGTTTGAAATAATAGGATGCAAATTATTTGTTATAAAATTTTGAAGAGATGACTGACTTTCATGTTGATGGACATTTTTAGAACATAGTGATGAAAAATTATCTAACCTAGCAGTATAGTAGAAAACAAAATTACGTACCGTTGGCAGGGTCAAGTTTTATTTCTCGTTCACCGTTAACTTCAAACAAGCCATAACCATCCGGCAATGCAAGACCCAGAGAGAACGGAGTACCTTCTATTGGATGATAGAAGTATTTGTGCCTTCGTGTGGTGACACGTCTCTGAAAACAGAATTTTGAACTTTAATACATTGTAACAAGGAATAATTCTTGTCAAAATCCATGATTTTGTTTACTTATTTTTAAAACTCTAAGATTGAGAGTTGACAATTGAAGTAGCACCTTGTCTAGGCATGAATCAAAGAACCCTTGAAAAAATTAGTTTAAGGTTGAAAAACCTGTAAAGTCAGGACTGAAAATGCCTTACTTGCATGTTTCCTCCTAGGTGGTCATTGTATTAGTTTTTTAGGCGTTTAGTGGTAGGGATTATTCCTTTTTGCAACATGTTTTTATCAGGTTACCTGATGTTACCGGCAGGCCTACCGTGGTTTTTATTGTTACCAGACAGAAACACAAGAATGATAAGTTCCATGGTATGACTGGAAAAATATGAATATTGCTTTACCATGTCATTATAGTGCACTTTGATTTTGAACTCCGTTTCTCCTTCTTTCTGGTCAATCATGTCATGCCGCAACTGAAAGAGAAATGAAACTTGGTTAGGGAATTTGTAGATGAAATGAAACTTATGATACAAAAGAAAGGTGCTGTAAACAGACCCTTAATCATTATCTGGGGAATGTATTAACTGTAGATAGTTTATGCCGTCATAAACTAGGTTATGGTAAAAATCTATTACATCAGTTTCAGTAGAAAGAATTTACCTCTGAGTATTATAATATATCTAATAGATCTGATACAGCACTCAAGTATGCAAAGTTCTTTAATTTTTTGTGACCTAAAAACTCTTACAGTCTTCTTTGCCGTTTTAAAGGAGTGCACTAATGAGGTACCGAGACACTAGAGACAGGGGTGCACATTTTACTATGCTTCCACAATTTCGCGCGATAAGCTTTTCCTCTTCCACAAAAAATTTTCAAAAAATTTCCACAATTTCGTGACTCCTTCCACAAAAAGTGATGACCTTTTTTTTGTTTTGGTGAAAAATATGAGATTCAAAGTGAAGAGCGAGAAAAGAAACGGAAAGAAAGAAAGAAAGAAAAAAAATTTCCACGAAATTTGGGACGCTTCCACATTTTCACGCGATACTTTATCGCGTGATCTAGTATATTGTGCACCCCTGACTAGAGAATTTTGGGATTGTTTTGCTGTTTAAATTAATTTTCCAGGAATTCCAGGAATAAATAAATTATAGAAATTAAGGCTCCTAAAAATTGAGGTCGGAAAGGGTTCATTTGAGTATTCCAGTTGATGCCAGTTGTAAATGAAGAATCAAAGATTAACTTACATCAAAGAGCAAGGTATTATTCTCAAAAAGATTTCCTTCTGAATCCACCAGCTCCACTTCTAATAGGTCTACATTTGAGTATCTAGGTTTCAACTTCTCCATGTACAAATCTTTGCTTGGCTATAAAATAAACATCAAAAAATACAAAATTAAAAAATGCTGCGTTTTCATTTGGAAAAAATACAAGAACTTAAATTACTGTTGCCACTCACAGCTAACCCACATTCCAGTATTCACCGATCGGAAAAAAAACAAGAACACAAACAGTTATTACAGTGAAACAGTAACTGACAGTAATGTAGTAACAGCACACAGCAGTGTAACAATGTAACAGTGTGCGCAGTGTAACAGTATACTGTGGAAACAGTTGTTTTAAAAAAACTCAGTGGTGTTGTACATTGCAAGTGAATTCTGAAAATGCAAATGTAACACAATTTTCAAGTGTATGAAATCAATACTGGTTATTGGCTGGTGCTTTTAGTAAGTTTAATTGTTTTTCAAGGCGGATAAAGGATAGTGGTCGCATTTCCTACCCTCTTGACGGCACACGGCATCGGGTACGTTTCGGGTACATCCTGATTGCATGGCAAAGCATGTACCCTCTACGCGTCACAGCCTTTAAAATGGCGGCTCAACTTGAAATGCGACTACCTTTCTTTATCCGCCTTGATTGTTTTCTACGCTGACAAAGAGACTGTAAAATGAATGATGTACAATTAAAATGCTTCCCTTGTTCTGTTAACGGATAAAAGTAAGATAGAAATTGCTGACAGCTAAACAATAAGTGACTTAATGTAGACTGAAATTTTCACAGAGAGTTGCCTACTTCGAACCAAGAAAAATTGATGAAAAAAACTTCCTCCAACAGTTTTTCCAGCTATTTTTTTATGATTACAATGAATTTCTTGTATTTTATATGAATTAAACCTGATTAAATATCATCATTACCACGGTCAGGAGCTCAGGATGATACAGCACATGTCCATTGTTGTTGACAATGAATGAATAGCCATTGACACCAAGCTGTAAATAAAAGAAGGATTAAGATGGTTTCATCAAAATATTAAGGCGCAGTGTCGTGATTTTTCACTGACACAGACTTCAATACACTGCAATGAGGATGTTTTAATCCACATAGTTACGACGAGAAGGTTAGTTCTTAATTATGCAATTTTTAATATCTATGATGTTTTACTATAAAAATATATTCAACATCCAAGAACTTCTGAATCGTTTGAAAAATATTCAATTATCAAGTGGACAGAATTCACAGATAAATGCTTGAAATTTCAGGTTTATTGATGAAACAGGGAATAAATTAGAGTTTCCTATTATGTCTGTATTCATAAAATCTTTTTTGTTTTTGAAATTATCTCTTTTGAATGTTTACGTAAAGAGCGATTCTGTGATTTTTAAAGTTGAGAAAAATCTTTGAGAAAATTTTTATCTTTGTCGTTTTTTCAAAATGAAAGTTAAAAAAATTCTACTTTTTAGAAATGAGACAATTTTGATTCCATCAAAGTAAATGGGTGAAGAGTTTGGTTCAATAATATCACAATACAAAAACTTACCCTGTATGGAGGCACAAGCTTTTTTATTTGCTGAATCGGTACATCTGTACCCACAACACCCAACAAGTTTGCAGTTCGTACCTGGAAAAATTAAAAGGAGAGAACGGTTAAGTACCTAATGAAAAAATATGCTGATGAAATAAGTTGCAATTTTAAGCCTCTATCCCTTAAAAATAAAAATACATACAACAAATTCTCACTGTGCAAAATAACACACAAATATACATTTTAATTTTAGCATCAAAGAGAGAGCTACACAAGTGTGATAAAGTGAAATATATAAAAAAAAAAATGTTTGAATCATGGTTTGTTTTGATTTTCTTCAATATATAGGGTATCCTTCTTTCTGGAAACTATTTCTGAGGTTTTGTTTGGACCTGGTGTATTTATTTAAAAACTATGAATGATAATCAAATGGGAAAGATTTTCAGACACTTACAGAATAGTTTCGCCGATCAAAGACAGGAGTTGATACGGTCGTCATTAGTTGACCCTCTTCTATCAAGCTATTCACAAGAGAGTTTGCCTGCAATCAAACACAGAAATGTAGTAAAATAAAGTTAACTGTGACAAAAAAAATAAAATTTCTTCAATTCTGATAGCTTACGTAGACATTAAAAGAGGAAAAATTAAACGCTTTGATTCAAATTTCAACACAGCATAACTGAACATTTTGGGGAATTTTTTTTTAAATTAAAATTTTTTAATAAAAAATTGGCAATATTCAGAAGAACATTGATGGTGTATGTCTTTCACCACAGAAACGTAGATTGTACTTTTTGGTGAACATTTTTTTGAGCTTTGAATTGTTTTCTTGTACAGATCTTTCAATCGTAAGCTGAACCTCTCATTTCATCAAAGAGTTGAGATGAGGCACTTACAGTGCGCTGATGACGTTGGTGACTGAAATCAGTGCTTGCAATCAGTTTAAAAGAAAACAAACAGGCTCTGCACTGCGAGCACAGACTCAATTTTGCAAGTCTCACACGGATTGTTTGCTCCGATTCATGGACTCAGCGATCAGCTTGCGAAGTACGAACTTCAGCAATGTATTATGCACCTAAATGCATAAACTGCCCTAGATGCACTTAAATGCCGTTCCTCTAATGCTGAGATGGTTTTGTAAATACACTTACTTTGCCTCCGGGGTAAGCAGGTGTCCAAGAAACAGGATGATCCTGTTGGTACATCACCATTGGCCGAGCCATGACCAAGATATAATTTAAAACTCTCTCCCTGATTTCGTCAAAATCTTTGATATGTTCAAAATAACCTAGAACAAAATCAACAAATGAGGTATAATTTGGAACAAAGTATTTAATAATACAGGTTAAAGTTCCTGTTAGCTAATATAAGATTATTTTTTACTATTTTACGCGGAAGAAATACTTTGTACAAGCAACATACTTTTACACAAGAGATATTCTTATGCCTGAAATTCTATGAATTTTTTTAGCACATATTCACATTGGCTGAAGTACAAATGTCAAACATTTAACATGAAAATAAGATTTTTCATGTTTCAGGCTTCATTACAATTTTTTCTAATGGTTTATCATAATAGAATAATGAAATGGCATATTTTGTAAAATAAGAGAGAGTTCATCATAGTTTTAGACTTCTAAAATGATTGCTTGATAATTTTTCGAGATAGCAGAGGGAGAAAAGGTCTTCATTTTATGGTTCTTCATGAGGAAGGAACTGAATCGAGAAATTAGGATGATTTGTAACGGTGGTAAATTTGTGAGAGCAGCATTTTGACAAGTGATTTTCTGGTTTTTAAAGATCTCTCATTTATCCAGCTTACCTTTATTTGCACAGGCCATCCATAGCATTTCCTTGGCGTTAGATGCATCTTTACCAACAAGGTAAGTGAATACTCTCACTGGCATGTGCGGGAAGTTGTACATTTGGAAAACATCCTTCAAATTACTAGATGGACCATCAGAAATCAACATGATTGCTTGATTGCATTGGCAGCCTTGTCGTGTGCGGTTGTACTAGGAACAGAAAAATTACAAATGAGCATAGCTACAAAAAAATTAGTGCTGTAAATAATTGTAAAGCAATAAATTACAGAGATGTATAAAGTTAATGAAAAATACATGCAAAGATGTTACAACACCTTCTGAGAAGCATGGTCATTTACAAACGAGATTTATGAAATCTTCTAATTGAATATCTATATTAAGTTGTTCCAAAAAAAGGAGAAAGTTATCTTTTTTGAAAGGGCACGTGGTCATAAGGAACTAAAGCATAGATGTTGTTTCTATTAGTACATATGACAAAGTTTTATCTTGATTCATGAATAAGGCGAACATTTAGTAAAAACGTTTACAGTGGCAACTAACCAAAACAGAATTGGATATTACTCTGATATTTTGTGTGCACCTACGGAATGATTTCTCCACTGAACAAAAAAGTCAACATTTTTTCAAAATTGAGTCACGATTTTTTCTATAGTCATAATGCACTTATATATATCAAGCCGCTACCTCAGCGCACTAGAGCGATCTGCGACTCAAAATCACCATCAGAATCGATCCTCCCACACACCATCGGGCAGATTACACTACCTGATCTCCCCCTCCACTCCCTCCAGCCAACCTTTGATAATAAACCGCTCATAATGCACTTACCTTGTGCAGAATTTCGAACGCCGTAACAAAAGCAGCGGTAAAATTTGAAACACCGCTAGAGCCTGTGCTTCCAAGAGCTTGTTTTAGTTCATTCTTGTTTTCATCAGTACCCTAAAACAAAGAAAAAGAAATTTAATTGTTGCCCCATTAGACATTACTTTATTACACTCGATGAAATTAGAAACAATTAGACTTGACAACTACTATTGGGTATGACGATGTAAAGGCAAGTCAAAGACTGAGAGCCTAGACTGGGCATGATCAGACTTTCAGAAAGAATTTGCAGAGTCAAAATTGGTTATAATGGTCATGACGGTTTTAAGAACTGATTGAGACTCCATCAGGATTGCTTAAAGCTTTTAGCCCCTCTGTATTATAAACTCTTTCTTCTTCAAAATTTTAAAGGTTGTGACCTTTTTTCTTACCTATCATCACAAGTTGCAGCAATTTTGCAAAAAAAACAAGCAAATTTCATCGCAGTTCTGCGAAACATATGAAAATTTTATCCCTTTTTTTAGAAACAGGCAAATTAGAATCTATTTTGAGCTGGCCTTCCCAAATTGCATACCCTTTCTCACTTATTTACCAAAAAATCCCAGTTTTAAATACTTTTTTTGAGAGGAAGGGATCATGTGCAGCGTGGGATATAACTTACTTGAACCAATAGGTCCTTGTAGCAGGGCAGTATTTCTTGAGTAGTTTCACTGAACTTGAAAATATTGACGAAGTCATTGGCGCCCAAGGTATCGAGAATCATTCTGACGGTAGCATGAGCTAAGTCTCTGGTTTTCCCGGACATGCTCTTAGAGGTGTCTAGAAGTATAACGATGTCTTTAGGGCTTGTGGCAGCATTGACAAACCATAGATTGGTCCGAAAATCGTCTAGGTCTTTTGTAGTGTATTCTTCAGAAGGCCACTTCATAGCTGAAAACAGGAGTACAACTTAAGATTCAGGGTTCAAAAATCTTCAAATTGGGTAGTTTTAAATTGGAGAAAAGAGAAAGCAATGCAGACAGTGGGAGAAATGACGAAGACCCTGGAAAAACCAACTGCCTAAAGATGGAAGTGGTAGGCAATTAGCAGAATTGTCGGCCTCCTGTGGTGTAGTGGTTGTAGCGCTGGCCCTATGACCAAGAGGTCCCGGGTTCGATTCCCGGCCAGGTGATCTGAGTTTGATGGTCTCAGGCAATGGTCACCTGGGGCTGGGGTAATAAGCGTGGGATTAGCCGATAGGCTATTTGAAATTGGTAAAAAAAAAAAAAAAAAAAAAAAAAAAGAATTCTTACACGTGTTTGTAATGTATTTAATTGTTTCTATCCTCAAATGGACAGATCAGCATCTTTCTTAGAACAGTTGATTCTTTTTGCTCCCTAGATACAGCCAAGTTATCTCTTCCCAAAAAGAGGAAGTCATACCATGATATCATCACCTTTCGGCCATAGTATCACAAGCGCCATGCGGCGTTTAAAATTTCTACTGTCATTTTATTTTTTTACAGAGAAATTGTTGGTTGAATCTGTCTGACAATTTCCCTGAATTTCATCGGCAGCACAAAGAAACTTCAATGACATTTTCAGACAGCTTCGTTGAACAATTTCTCTGTAAGGAATAAGATGGAGGCGGAAATTTTTAAACATTGCATGGCGCTTGAGATACTTTGGCCGGAAGGTGACGACATAAAATTGCTCAGAAATTTTAGTTTTACAACTTCGCTGAGAGACAGATTTTAATCAGAAAAACAGAGAATTCTCTTTTCCGTGCGTCTGCATCTGCTCAATTTTTAAGCTGTCAGATTTCTGTCCATAACTGTTTCTTTTTTTTTCCCTCAAGGAGAATTTTTTGGTGAAATCAAAACCAAACTACAAACTAAGTTGTACTTATACTTGAAGTCCTTCATTGCGCCATTAAGTACCTATGGAAGCAAAATCATAGAAGAAACAGGACTTAAAATTACCTGGAAATCTCCGGAGAAATCCAGAGGAGCTCCCGAAATACTGCCATGAGAGACCTGGATCCATCTCATAATTATTCACAAAAACAGGATCTAGGTGTTCTGACCATTTCAGTGAATTTAGAACTTTTGGGTCTGAAAAAAAGACAGAAACTCAAATAGAAAACATTCATTATTATTGGTGAAAACGTTTTAAAACTTTCCATGTGCTAAAATCATTATAAATGAAAATTATGTTGATACATCTACCCAAAATTCAAAATTCGACAATGATGAAGAGAAACATAAGTGCCTAGCATGAAAAATTCACACGACTCTCTGATGGAACAGGTAATACCGCGTTTTAAAAATAAAAATATAAATTATTCAAGCGGTCTCAAAAGCCCAATTCACACTATCAAACTTTTCATCCGACATAATTGAACGAAAAGTTGGACACAAAAAATTTGATTCAATTACCGTTGCAGTGTGATATCGTCATCTGCCTGCGGTTTACGAAGATACAGCTTAGCTCATGTCGGTTGGAAGATTTCGTTCCAACTTTTTTGCCAATTAGATGGAAAGTTGAACGAAAAGTTGAATGTGACGTCACATTCAAGTTTCCGTTCAATTTTTCATCTAACTGTCGTTTTCTCTCGTCGGTTTCACACTATCCAACTATTCATTTTACAAGTTGCTTCCAAGAGTTGGATAAAAAGTTTTATAAATTGAATTGGGCTTTTAGCTTCGCAAAAGAAGAATAAACGAGACTAGGTACCTACATTTGATCGGTGACCAACATCTTTGTCAAGTCTGAACTTCACACTCGAAAAAGTAACCATTAATATATCGACACATTCTGTTCTTCGGATGCTTGCTGAAATTTGAATGCAGGTATAACAATCTTGATACCCTTGCTAAATACGTTACTACTGATTTAACACATTCTTTTAAAGCAATAAAGAAACCTGAGTCTAATAAATGGAAAGAAGAATCACCTTTCCTTTTGCCTCGGTTGTTTACAAACTGTGCTTCCATGCGTGTTCAATCATCGCATCACGTGCTGCGCATGCGCCATGAGCGCAATGCAAGTCATGAATGAACCATTCCAAACAGAACGGACCAATGAGCGCCCAAGAATTTATCAACGTACACATCGTAGTACTATGCGTAGTATTTTATAGTAAGCGTTGCCAGATTGAATGAGCAAACAACGGTCTTAGCTGTTAAGGCCGTGAAACGTAACAAAATTCCTGAAATTCCGATTGGAATTGGTCAATTTTTCATCTTACGGGATCTAGTAGCATGAAAACGAACTGAGCCCCTCTCAAACCTTTTCTTAGAGGTGCTTATATTCGATAGCGTTTTCCGTCGAAATATGAAAATTCAGTTTTTTGACTCCACTCGGCGAAAATTTTTAGCATAACTGAATAATTAACCTCCTAGTAGTCTAATGTTCTTCCCCTGGTAGTTAAATGTGGAACAGAAAACTTACAGGTATAGGTACTGACTACTGAGTAAAAAAATCAATCCCCCTCTCCTTTTTTTGCGGAAAACTTTTCTTAGGGAGGATTTCAACCGTCTGTGGAAAGAATACGCGTTTCGAAAGTTGGATGCGTTGTTACGAAAAAATGTATCACTTTTTTCGATCATTTCATAATAAAACCTGAACTGGGTAGCTCAACAATTGCGGAAAAAATTACGAATTGGCGCAATGATAATAGCGGGAGTATTTAAATTATTGATTGATAACTGGAAAATTGATTAGATATGTAATTATTTTATTCTCGCCTTCAATTGGATAGAAAATGTGAAAAAAGCACTGGAACGGTCAATTATATTCTTGAAGTCACGTGTACCACTTATTTCTTTAACTCTTAACAACTCAGCCCAATAATTAATTTTATCCTCTGGGAGACCTGCGGACTCTTTCATCGAGGAGATGAAACTATTAACTTTACTGGTTACTACTGGCACAATTTTGAATTTTGTTCAAATTCGTCCATGCCTTCGTCGAGCATCGGTGGTTCAATGGTAGAATGCTCGCCTGCCACGCGGGCGATCCGGGTTCGATTCCCGGCCGATGCAATCTTGTTTTCTCTCAGTATTCTACGATATAATTAATAAAAAGGTGTAGATAGATTAAATTTGTTTTAAAAATATTTTAAAGTAGGTATCACGCTATTTATCAGTGCGTCAAAAAAATTTTATCGGAAGTACATTTCATGAAGGCAGAATCGAGAATTTGTGTGGGTTGGAGGGGAGGGGGGGGGGCACT